GATTCAAAACTAAAGTAACAAGCCAATTTTTAAAAATGTAAGGAGTAGAAAGTACAGATATTTGTGTAAAAATGTAAGGAGTAGAAGTAAAAAGTCGCCATAAAAATAAGTAGTAAAGTAAAGTAAAAATATCAGAAAAATCTACTTGAGTACAGTAACGAAGTATTTGTACTTCGTTACTTCCCATCTCTGACCGTCTGGTGCTATACTTAAGAACATTATTATTCCTTTTTTTTATCTCAGCAAAGTTTCTGCCTGAGAACCCCTGAAAATATGAACAACAAACTGGACATAAAGCTCAAATAAGCTTAAGAAACTGAATGCCACATTCAATATCTTTCTAAGACGATTATATGGTTTAGTAATGAAACATTTTATGGCAGGATTAAACACAGAAATCAATCACAAATCTTATGCATAGAACTTGGAAGTGAAGACTATAAGCGACGTCATTCATGTTTAAGGATGCCCAATGAATCACACTGAATGATTCATTCATAAGTTTAACCCCCCAACGCTCCTCCTCCAGTAATTGATGTTACGTTTCACCACTGATCAGTCATTCACTGTTAAACCAGGGGGATGATGTGTGTGTCCAGAACACGTGAAGGAGACATATCTAATCAGAGTAAGTGTGATCTAAACTCTTTGTCTTGCACATATGAAGATTACCTCTATTAAATACATTATATAATCACTGCAAATTGAACGGCCCACATTATGTCAAACAGCTATGGACACTTTGCCCTTTACTAAGATGGTTTATAGTTAGAAAAGTGTGCAGACCTCTTGAATTAACTTGAAAAATAAACATAATTTGAAGTTTGTGTGGCCAAACCAAAGAAAGCCCTTATATTGGTTGTGCAGCACTGATCAGACAAATGACAGCTGTCTCCAACAGTAGAACAGGGATTTTGCTTTCATCATCAGGTCCTAAAAATAAATCCTATCAGCTTACCAATGAGTCTACTGTTATCCAGCCTAGGGACATACAAAGGCTTTTCCCAGGAGGAGGACTTCAAGTCTTGTGCTGAGGTGTGGAGTCCACCACCACAACGCCTTGACATGGGCTTGTCCCGCTGCTGGCTGTCCTTAATAACCTGTAAAATTAGATCCAATAGGGTCCTTCTCTCATTCTGCTTGGCCTCTTTGCTGTCCATACACTGACCCGAGGTGATTAGCAGAAAGGAGATGGTCAACAGTATGTGCCATTTCCTCTCCCCATGCATGGCTTGACTGTCTGAAAACAAAATTAAGTTTGATTACAGTAAGAAAGTTGAGAGCTTTTTTGAAGAAAAGACTGACAGACATTTGCGTGAGAACATAAAATAATAAAAAATAAAATAAAATCTATCTATGGACTGTATCTAATGTAACAGAAGCAAATATTCTGGACAGATATTGTCTGATGGGAAACAGGTTGGGCAAGACATGTGTATGATTTTCTAAATAAAACCAATTGTTTTAAATAAATCTAAAACTCACCGGATGAAGAGATCCTTATGTCCTGGAGAGTGGACACAGTTGTCTTAAGCAAAATCTTCCAGGCGTAGTCTGCGGTTCCGATAAGAGAGAGAAAGAGCACCCTGCAGAATGTGCTCAACGCCGTCTTTCTTGAAAAATTGCGTAGCTATTTATACCAAGTGCCACCTTCTTGAAGCTAATACAATCGATTTCGAGTGGGTGGCAAAGCGATCTTGACATCTTCGGTGTGTATTTTTCCCCCCTCTTTTGTCCCAGAAACATATGTTCATATTGGCGTGCGCCACACTTTTACGCACAACGACACGACGAGTTTAATTCTCAAATAGTTCGATTCCATCAAATAAAAATGTTGATCCGTTTGAGATGAAGTGTTTGAAGGTCTTGAAAAGAGAATAAAACGCGCTTTAAGATGGTTAAAAAGAACCAGACGCACGAAAAGGACTGAAGCGCAACAGCGCGCAGTGAAGTAGTTTTCCAAAAGGGAGCAACTTGTTGGATGCTGGATGCAGAGAACTGGAGAATCTGAGGGCCTGTAAGCTTCCAACCGAGCTGTCAGCGTGCCGATGTTTTTGTTCACTGATATCCAAGTCTTGTGACCTCCTAAGCGCTGCAGCGAAAGCGTCTCCAGGATCACCCATCCGGCCAGATCCTCCCCATCACAAGCCTTTTAGTGTTATCCAACTTGGAAGAAATGTCGTTGTGTGCAATGATCTATTTAAAACATGAATTGTTATAAGGTAAAAAATAAATAAATAAATAAATAAAGCTCTGATTTTCCTACTTCAATTAGTGATACGATAAATAAAAAGACTAATGCACAAAGGAGGACTTCTTAATGTTGGTAATCCGCAGTTCAAGCATGAGTCAAACTACATTAAAGAAACAACTGTCTTCATTCTGAAGGATAACGGTGCGTTTAAATGAATTAGAATAACTTTAACTTGTATCCATGTCAGTAGGCTATCTAATTCTAGAGAGTAAAACATATAGTCAATAGTCTATATGCATTGAGATATTCCCCGTGTTCATTTAAGTTAATTGAGGTGATTTTGTCTTACAGGTAATTAAACAAAATCTTTGGGTTTGTAGAGCCTATGAAAAATGCTTGTTTGGCTCCTTAACAATATGTGCATGTGTAAAATTCATTTAGGATGAATTACTACATCTATGTTAAATAGTTAATGAAGTCCAGGTTCATTACAGGGCAGTTTTTTTCTTGTGTGTAGTGTTGACAATGGAAATGTCTACTCCATGTGCTTAAGGTAAGGCAAGTTTGTGGAAGTTTGGGGTGTGCCAAGTCCTGTTGGAAAATTAGATCAAGATATTTATACAACTATAGAAGGAAACATGAAGTGCACAAAAAAGATGTCTGAAATGACCCTTGAGTTGATCAAACACAGCAGGTTGACAGGTGCACTGGCTTCCTTAATCATTATTGTGACATCACTGAGCTACAACTAGACCTCAAGCAAATTCTTTGTGTTTCCGTTTGTGCTTAGGATTCTGGGATATTGACTTCCAAGTAAAATGATTAATTTATTTTCATCTAAAAAGAGCAGCAACAGTCGGGTGCTTCTTTAGGTATAGTGAGATAGTTCTGAAGTTGTCTCTGGTTCAGGGGTGGCTTAACATGAATAATAAAACAGATGAAGCCCATGTTGAAAACATGTCTGTGGTAGCTCTTAAAGTATCTCCCTGAGACTTTTAAAAGGTATTTGTTTAGCTGCTTGTTCAGAGATTTTCCTTCCACTCACTTTTCCATCACTGTTATTGGAAACCTTATCCGGTGACTGTAAGCCAAATCCAGAAACAACATCGATTTACATTTTGAAAAAAATATATAATTCATACAGAGGCATATGTAGTTATACTTTGTCACTATACATAAATATGATCTGAATAATACCTTAAGCATTCCAAGTTCCCAGAATAAAATTATAGCCAAGGCATGGATTTCAATAAGATAATGTATTCAGAAAAACAGTGATATAAGCATAAATACTAGTAGCTACTGCAATTACTGAGACATAAAATCAAATACACTTAATTTTGCCAGAATTAAAAGAAAATCAGTCAATGGCTAAAGGAGCTATACGTGCGAAAAATAGATTATGTTTTTATATTGATACTTGTAGTACATTGTTATATTATCTTCTGAGATTTTCCCTATCTCTTATTTTGTTTCTTGTAAGATATAAGAAATGAACCTCTCAAAAGATAATGAAACACTGCAACAGGAGAATCGATGCAAAAAATATATCTATCTGTGTTTATAAACATCTGATAAAAAAATACCTATGTATGTTTGGTCATTACCTCCAATTATTTATCTTTTACCTCCAAAGATTAACTGTCCACCTTGCCATCACCTCAACTACAAGCCAGGTCTTCAAAATGTTAACTTAAATATGCACATACATGAACACACACACAGACTTCATGCTAAAGTAAGAGTTTTTTTTAAATGCAGAAGGTTGTTATTTTATTTCCATCCATGCAGTGTAACTTGGGGCTGGAAGCATTTCGTACTGCTCAGACATACAGTCCCTGGGACTGACTTTGTTCTTTTAGCCTTCATTTACATTTTGTAAAGATATGTCTGTCTGACTTTTTTCCCAGAATTCTGATTTTTTTCCCCTCAGAATTCTGACTTTAATCTCAGAATTCTGCCTTTAATTTCAGAATTCTGACTTTTTTTTCTCAGAACTCTGACTTTAATCTCAGAGTTCTGGCTGAATTCTGACAGCTAAAAAACATGTTAGCATCAAGGCATGACTGTTTTAGAGACTAAACTAGGTCTCTAGTTTTCAATCAACTTCTGCTCCTCCATTAATGAAATGGCATCACCGGGACCTCTCGGGCACGCCTAATTCCGTCATTTTCCACCAATGTGTCCCTGGCCCTTTCAAACAACTCCCATCTTTGTCAGTGTGTCACAATTCTGAGATTAAAGTCAGAATTCTGAGAAAAAAGTCAGAATTCTGAGATTAAAGTCAGAATTCTGAGAAAAAAAATCACAATTCTGAGATTTAAGTCAGAATTCTGAGTCGGAATTCTGGGGAAAAATGTCAGAATACTGAGATTAATATCAGAATTATTAGAAAAATTTTTGAATTCTGAGATTAAAGTCAGAATTCTTAGAAAAAAGTCAGAATTCTGAGATTAAAGTCAGAATTCAGAGAAAAAAGTCTGACAAAAGACAAAAATATGTCTGACTTTTTTCCCATATTAAGCTGAAATAATATTTAAAAATCAGTTAACTTAACCCTCGTACGTATGCCCGTCTGTCCATGTATATCAATTAACTATTTTAGACGTGCAATTTATTATTATAAATAAAGCCGTCGCGGTTGTGTAAGAGTTTATGCTTCTTGTCTTTTATATTTATTATTTTTTATTGTTATTTCAACCAGAAAAGGGGGGAAAAAAGTTACAGTACTACATCTCATCATCATACAACATCCAGAAACTACATTTGGGGGAGACCCATTCAAGCCCAGCGTTTGTTAGCCGTTACCATGGAGACGGGAGTCGCCATTAGTTAATCTGCGGCCGCCCTTCTCTGAACGCCAAAATGATCAGTTTTTGACGTCTTAATCGATAACTGAGCTGCTTTACTTCCCACGCCACTGACATATCGAGAGATGTCGCAGAGGTAAACCTTCCAACCAGTCTCATTTATGGGTGATTCGTTCGGTAGCATTTTAAATCTTATTTTGTTAGCTGCTAATGGAAATAATGTAGGCGAAAAACTAGCAGCCGCTAATTACACTAGTTTTCACTAGATGTGAATGGCGCTAATGATCTGCATTGGATGGCACACATGACGTGAAATAAATATTTATTAACATTAAACCGAAGCCAAGAGTAACGTTTGTTTTAAAAATGTAAGGAATAGAAAGTACAGATACTTGTGTGAAAATGTAATGAGTAGAAGTCAGAAGAAGGCAGAAAAATAAGTAATGAAGTATAGATACCTAAAAAGTGTACTTCAGTACAATAACAAAGTATTTGTACTTCGTTACTTGACACCTCTGTATATCAATCCAAGCCTGTTTTTCTTTTTCTTTTTTTTCATCTAAACCTTTCAGAACTTTTATTCAGACTTAACAGCTTTTAATAATATACGTCTTAATTTTGGTCTAAAATATTATGCCTTACTACATTTCTAATCTGTGACCAACTTTACCTCTGAGTTTATTCTGTTTCAGTTCATATAGCCAGATGTGGAAGGAAGCCATGTTAGAGCTAAGTCATCTGCTGGCTGAAGAACTCCCCCCTGAACCCCCTCCACCACAGCGAGACAGGCTGGTCTTCTTCCAGCAACTGGCAACACTTTATGTGCGCTACATTCAAGTCTTCAGGCAGCTGGAGGAAGCCCACAATGGCCTGGTCCATCCTCAAAAGAGACGATTAATTCGTGTGATTTTGAATGGTGTGATGGGAAGGATCCTCGAGCTGAAGAACGACATGGTGGAAACAGAGTTTTCAGAATACCACTATGTGAATGATGTCCTACATGCGCTGAAACTCACACCTGTAAGTTTTAGTTTTGAAGTAAGAGTGTTTTTTTTTTTAGAAAGCAGGGATACATTTACAATGCTCTAAAAATGTTTTGCCTCTCTTATAGAGTTATTCTGCTTCTGCTTCAAGTACTACTTGAAAGTTTCAGATCAAAGTATAGCTATTTTATCGCTAAAGAAAGTGCGATAAAATAAAAGAGGCACTTATGAAAATATAAATACTTATATGAAGGAAAAAAGTCATCTGAAAAAACTGTCTGTGTGATTCAAAGAAACTCAAAAAAATCTGCAAGGCCCATTCCAAGGCTTTTCGTCGCCACCAGACTAAGTTCCATGCTCCATCAATGGAGAAAAAATGGTCAACCTTCATAAGAGCCGATGGCCAACCATACCTCAGCTCTCAAGCAATTCACAACAGAACTAACATCAGTATTTTAAAGCACTGCAGGCATTATCCCCTCTGTGCACCCGTTAACTGCCACACCTCATCCGCAGGACTATGTGATACCTCCAAATAAGCAGCCTCGTATTTCCTCAAAAAGGCTACTGTCGGCTTTCCCAATGGTTTTTGTGGCAGGCTAGACTCTGACAAAGCATTAATGAACCAACTGATTTAATTAATGCTTTGTTTTTAGGCATCTCAAAATAGTTTTTTGTGATTTGGGTGTGGACAGGTAACAGGTTAAAGTATTTATTTAAAGCAAGTCCAGTCACCAAGGAATAAACAATGGATAATTCTCTATACCTAAAATGAATACGTTCCCCGTGATTTAGCATTAATCAGTAAAAAAATAAAAAAATAAATAAAAAAATTAGGCGCAATCACTGAGTTGCCCAAATATAGTAACACCTAACTCCTGACATCTTCCGACAATGATGTCACGGTGCGGTAAGCTGAGCGTAATTCTCACTGGTTTGCAAGCAAAATCAATGGGAGCTTCTAGACACATCTGCAATCAGCAAAAATTATTCAGGATTTCGAGAGGACTTCACCATTGAAATTTGCAAGAGCTATAGTTAAACGGACAATGCCCACGTGCATGGCAGTTGGCTGCTGTAATACATCAGGTGAAACTGATAAAAAATTAGTTATTTCACCTTTCCGATTCATGATCCTCCACGGATTGATTCGTCGTTGGATTGCCAACTAAAAGAGGGAGGATTTGCCATCGAACTTCTGGCCAGGGAAAAAACACATAATATGTAGCCAACATTTCAAAGAAGAAAGTTTTCAAGATGACTTGGATAATGGTGCGTTGTGACAAACACTAGATAGAGTACTTGGACTTGCTCAACAACCGATAACGCACCGTGACGTCACAAACCGGTAGGTGGCAGTAGTGTTCTTTGACAAACATTAATGTTTCCAATAAAGCACAGTCAAATAAAATTTACATATCATAATCATTTATTGAAAAGTGTATAATAATATCATATTTAAAGTGCTTTCAGAAGTTTGAATTCTGAGTATGACTTTAACAATAGATGATGAAATGGGTAAAAATGACTTTCACTATGGAGTTTCAAGCTGAAAGCCCCCGCTCCCTCAAAAGAACTAAGGAACATCTCATAATTGGCATTAAAACGTTTTACAGAAACAAACAACTACTTTAGGGTTTTGTGAAAATACTGAAGAGACAAATGTGGAACTTTTTGGAGGGTATGTGTACGATCACACATGGACTTAGAACTTAGTAAGCTCAGTAAGTTGGGGTGACTTGATCTAGGACAAAACATAAGTTACGTGGTAAAAAAATATGGGCGGTGCCTAGCCAGTTGATAATTTCCAAATATAGTCCATTGTTTGACCTTTTCAACTAACAAAAAAATGAATAAGATAATGTCCCCAGAAAAAAAATGATGTTAGAATATGTCATTAAACCAACAGTCAGTCATGGTGATGGCGTAATGATTTGGGCTTTTTTAGGAAATGGATGCTGAATGAACCGGTTGTTTTACTCCCCAGCAGAGCATCCTCAAGGAGAGTATTCTTTCTCCACTTGGCCTAAAGCTTAAAACACTTTAGTTATGAATAACGACAATAATCCAATGACACCAAAATATGTACCTCTGAAAGTGGCAAAGCAATGAAAAAACTTGTTCAAAGCCTGAGGTTTGGTTTGGCCCTAAATGAGCTGATCACATGAGATAACTCTCCAGTGTTACTAAACAACTCCAGGAAGAAGTGTCAAACAAATTTAAATTACAGTGAAATAAAAGATTCATTATGAATTATTACAATTATCAGATAGCTGTTGTTTGATCTAAAACCTTAAACTGTAACGAAAAGCTAAATTATTGTAAATACTTAAGAGGACAAAAACATTTTTATTGTAATGTATATGGAGGATGTCACAAATTCGCTCTTGTATTTTTAGGCCGAACTTGAGATACCCATTCCACACTTTTTTCTCAATGAACGCAGCAAAGAAGTTGAAGAACGAAAAACAATGGTGATGGAGATTTTAAAAAAGGTCGAGGATACGGAAAATCCTGTTGTAAGTTAAAATTAAGCTACTTTTGAATTAAAGCCTAAAAAATAAGAAGGTACAATTTCTGTACATATAAAATGTTGTAACATTTTGGAAACATATAGTGTAAAACTTTGCTTTATATCGAAAGCAAGAACAATGATTAGCTTTTTTTTTTTTTTTTACTGCTTTGTCTAAAAAAATTTTCTTTTCCTATTATTTAGTCTCTGCACACTTCACTGGACAGGCTTATGACTGAAAAGGAAGCCATACAGATCTTTCAAATGGTAGAGAGGGCGCGGCAGGGCAGAAAAAGAGCTAAGTTAAGCAAGCAGACGAAAAGAGCCAAGACCACTGTAGCGCTTAGCCCTGAGGTTGCTGCCATCCGGATTCAGAAGGTCTTTTGTCACAAACATGGTATTATTGGCTATTTTCTCAGTCTAGGCTTCATCTCTTTGGTAATTGGTGTGGTTGAAATTTATTCGCAGGTCTGGAGGTCTTATATAGAAAGAAAGAAAAGGGATGAGATGAAGTTTTCCTTTGGAATAGTAAGTTGGATTTCATCATTTTGTTACATATTCTGCAGGTTTTTCTAAACTACTATGTTTTTTTTACTATTGGCCTTTACTTTAGATGTATAGTGGAGGATTTTCTGACCTGTTTGAAAAGACCCACCCTCTCTACTTAAAAAAAATAAATTGCAAGTGCACAACCCTGTACCTGCTCCTGAGAGGGAACGTCTATTAAACATATCTGAGAGCATGCTCAAGCCCATTTCTCCTTGTACATGCTCAGTTTAAAAGTTGCTGTTTGCATCGCTCATACAAGCTTACTTTCCAAAAGAAGATTTGTACTTTTTCCACCATGTCAGACTCACCACCGGTAAATGAAAATTGGGATGAGCACATAGGAAGGCCTTACGTAAACATATCACCAGAATGATTGACAATTAGGAGGACCACTTATTTTGATAATCCACCCGGAAAAAGAACATCCTCCACTATACCATTAAGTTTAAGCTGTTTGCTGTTTGCTCTAATAATTTTTTTAGTTTGTTTTAACAATTTGCTTCCTTAAATCTTGGAATAAGTACATTTTTTAAAATACTGTTGTGTCTACACTTGCTAGGTAGCGTACACGGAATATGACACCCCTTCTTCAGCAGAGATTGCTGCCCAAGCTATTAAATCTTCTATTCAAATACAACAGAAGAAGCACGAGGAAGATTACCTAAAGTCAGTGGAGCAAATCTTGAAGCAGCTCAGAGAAATCGAGTCCCAAGACATGAGCAACACAATGAAAAATCAGATTCGGCAGTGGTTTTATGAATGTCGGTGAGGTTGGGCATTTGAGATGAGGTAGAAAATATTTCCAAAATTAGTGAAGCCTATGAGTTAATCAATGTTTAAAATTCTTTGTTTCAAAGTGACGCCACAGGAGTTTTTCCAGACTACCCAAGTGAAGAGGATGGTGGCTCAGCTCTCATATTTTCTGAAAAAACCCCTCAGCAGGTACAGTGCATCCTGACATAAACTCGTACCTGTGGTCTTTTAATTATCTAGGACCAGGTTGGACGCAAGGAAGACGTCCAGGGGACATCACAAACCGATGGCCGAATCACCTCAGCTAATACCTCTCAAAGCGAAGGAAAAGCAGCTCTACTTTAAACCACTCATTGATTGTGGAGCTCCTCACCATATCTCTATAGGAGTGCCCAACTACCTTGTGGAGGAAGCTCATTTCAACTCTTGTATCCATGATCTAGTTCTTTCAGTCATGAACATTGTGATGGTAGGAAATCAACATGTCTATTGAGAGCTTTGCCTTTTCGCTCAGCTCTCTTTTTGCCACAACAGACAGTTGAACCGTCTATGTTTCAGCATTATCTTCTCTGACCTGAAGAGAGCAAGCCACTTTTTCCCTCTCAAGAACCATTGACTCAAACTTTGAGAAGCTGATAATCATCTGGGCTGCTTCACACTCACCTGCAAACCACCTTAGCACATGTTGTAGGAGGGAATGAGCAGAACCAAGTCATAAAATCTGCTGGTCTGCAAACCAGACCCTCTCTGCAATGTGGATCAGACTCCCGCTAAGCTTTGACAGAGATGGCCCCTAGTAAAGGGCCATCAACTTTGTACTCATGTGGCGCCCCTTACAGGGCACCACAGGGGAAACAGTGGAATCAGTTCTCCCAGTCCACAAAGCACATGTGGAACATTTGGGCAAACTCCCAGTAATCACTGAGCACCCTTCAGAGGGTGTAGAGCTGGTCCATTGTTCCGTGGCTGGGGAAAAAAACCCCACACTGGTCTTCTTTAGGCCCTCTGGCAGACGCCATTCCTGGGAGGCTGAGAAATGCGATCCCCTGTAAGTGGAACACACCCTCCAGTCCCCCTTGATAAGGGGAACGACTACCCTGGTCTGGCAGTCTAGTAGTACTGTCCACATCCATCATACAATGTTGAATGGTTGTGTAGACCATGACAGCCCAGTAACATCCAGAGATCTGACGTACTCAGGGTGGATCTCATCTAACCAAAAAAACGTTCCATTACGGAGGTTTTTGATAACATTGGTGACTTCAGCCCAGGTGATAAAAAAACAAAAACAACCCAGAGCACCTAGTCCCTGCTTCCATCATGGGAAGGTGTGTCAGCTACATAGAGGAGATCCTCAAAGTATTCCTACAATTGTCAGACAGTGTACTTGGTCAAAGTCAGCAGCTTTCCACTCCCATAGTAAACAGTAAACAGTGGAAGTGAGAAGCACTGCTCTCCCCCCTATAGACAATGGACAGTTTGCCATAAGGCTTACTGATAGCTCTTCTCCATGGTCTCTTCAAAATCCTGACTTAAACACAAAGGTTAATACCTCCTGTGTATATCAAATATTAATATTTTCGCATTTTTTAGTTAATGGAGGAAATTAAGGAATCAGAAGATGAAGAAAAAAGGAGCAAGATGAAGAAAAAAGAGGAAGTAAGAGTAAATGTAAGTGAAAGAATTTACAGCACGCAAAATATTTGCACAAGTTCACCACTTCATAAGTCATCCTGAATCTAGATTAGATTTAGATCACAACATGTTTCACAACATGTCACTGGTTCATCTAGCAAAGTCTTGCTTGTTTGTGAGACCTAATAGATTTTTGTCCTGAGCCACAGGATGAGGATGCGGGGTTGAAGAAGATGCCCTCTGCTTTCCTTTCAGACTTGGAAGCAGCAAACAAAAGGTTTGAAGGTAGGTTTAAATCCAATGTTAAATGCATTTGCAATCAAATGCTGTTGCAACTTTGTTGTTTAATCAAATAACATGCACCGAACTGGCTGTTAGTTTGTCAGCAAATAAAAGTGTAATTTGAGTTTAAATCATGGAAGTGCAGTTAACAGCAGATCACATTTGAAACAAATATAAAGCTAATTCCATTTAAAATATAAGAATGTATTAACAAAGTAATTCAACCCTAGATCAATCATATTTCAGTTAAAAGGTCTTTAATAAAATAGTGAATCTCAACTAAAGTAAGTTACTTTGGATGCATAGAAAAGAAATCAAATGGTTGAAACCCGTAATCAGTAAAATTATGCAATGATATCACAGTTTAGCATGGATTTTTTTATTTTGAGAAACAAAGTTTATTTTGAAGAGTTTGGAATCAAGTCAGTTCAGCTTTTAAACTAATTTAATAATAATTGAAGTTTACTGATCTCACATTGTAGAGATTTATCTCTGCATTTTACCCATCTTCTTGGCGAGCAGTGCGCTGCCATCTTGGGGCACCTGGGGAGTAGTGTGGGGTTAAGGGTCTTGCTCAGTGAGTGGCAGTCTGTGGGAGTGGGGCTTAAACTCAGAACCTCAGGATATTAGGCTCTATGTCCTAACCACTAGAAGAAATAATGAAAATATGACCATATGAGTATACCTTTACAAAAGCAGGAAATACTATAACCATGTACTTTGATGCAGTTATTTTCATCCATCTTAAATAAAAAATAATTAATTAAAAACATTTTAATTTGGGCTTGATCTTTGTTTTCACAGCGGTTTGGAAAAACCGTGATGAGTCAGAAAACTTCACTCAGATGCACGAGGTGGAGTTGATAAAAGAAGAAATAAGAAAAGTCATAAAAGCAGAAGTTCGAATAAAGGTATTATTATACCAATGTTTCTCCTGATTTTATTTTTATTTTCATTGACATTTAAAAATCCATTTTGCAAATCTGAGAAAAATTTGCTCATCTTTTCCTTTAAAGTTGTGAAATGTTTAAGAAGTTTCTTCTGTCACTTTTTAAAGTTATCTCTCCCCATCTCAGTCAAGAACGTTTAGTTTCTTATTTTGCAGCCAGTTGTTTGTTCGGTCTGTACTGCCTCAGCTCTGTTTTTGTGGGGATGAATGGACAGACGGATGGAAAAACAGATAGATTGCTGAATGTTTTTTTTTGTCTCACTGCTCTCTCGTTTTTCTTCTTTCATAAGGTTGATGAAGAGATGCGACAGGAACTCTCTGAGTTAAAGCTAGTAGTGGATAAAGACAAGGGTGCCAAAGCAAGAGCGTATGCTAAGGTATCTACTTAGAGTCTAGTCTCAATTAATATTAACTTTTTTTTTTATATATATATAAAAGTATTACCTGCATATATTTCTTAGAAGAAAAAAGTATCCAAGGGTGGAAAAAAGAGGAAAAAGGAAAAAGATCTGACAGCTGATAGGTGATGTTTATCATCTAATAATCATATTTTTTTTTTATAAGTTTCCACCAAAATTTCACAACAATAAAGAAAACTTTCTTTTCATCTACTAGGACTTCTGAGTCTCTTTGCCAGGAGCTGGTGGAGCAAGGATTAATAAAACAGGCCAAAAATGTTAGGATGCAAGATTTCTTGGGTAAGAAAGTATGCTGTTTAATGTATATTTAATTCATGAATATATCAATACTGTAGTTGTATCTTCAACCTTTGCTTGCATTTTTCCCCACAGTTATAAGGGATGAAAGGGGAAAAAAACAAAAACAAAAAGTCTGTCATTTAATTAGCTATGATGTGGTGCCCTCTTCTGGCTTCTTTATTAGCTTCTGTGAAAACTGTTAAAAACACTATATATTTAGCTTTTAATACATTTTTGAAATTAGTTTATTCAGCTTTGCTTATAAATATCACATTTAGATGGTGCCCGCATTTTTTATGAATATTGGGTCTATTTACTTGCTGTAATAAATTAATAATATTTTTGTATCAAGCATAGCAATATATACTTTATCCCAAAACAATCTATTTTACATATCAAAGAGCCTCAGCCAGTTAATCATTAGAAATATCAAAAACAGTGTTATTAAAATTATTTTCTTCTTTTTTAGGAGAATCTAATTATCTTGGGACTGTTCTGAGACAAAATGATGTTGAGCCCATGCCATCATTGCTAGATGTCCGTGAAGTCTTGACCTTATATGCAATTTTACCATTGGGTATGACAGTTATTTTAAATACTTAGTATTTTAAACAAATATTAATGTATGTAACATGAAACATTGAACATGTTTGGTATGAAATGTATTTGGTTTGCAGGCTCTCAGGAGGTTCATGAGAAGGCTCCTTTAGTAAAATCCATATTGCTGGTGGGGCCCACAGGTGTGGGTAAGCACATGTTGGTCCATGCAGTTTGTCGGGAGACAGGTGCCACCCTGTTTGATTTGTCCCCCTATAACACAGCGGGAAAATACCCAGGCAAGAATGGACTGACAATAATGCTTCATATGGTCTTTAAGGTAGGACGCTGCTTACCAACTTGTTTGACTTGGAACAAGCAGAACAGATTCCACAGACAAATCTTAGCTAGTTGAGTTAGGTAAATTGAAACTTCAAATACATAAAGGTACATTTAATTGTTGTTGTTTTTGTAAGATGTCCTGTAAATGTTTATATAAGCTTTTAAAAGAGGAGAACTCTCTGTAACTGTCAGCTTTGAATAGAACATCAGTGCCAAATTTGGCAGGGGGGCAAATATATTATCACACAAATACTGTTGGTGCCCAAGTAATACCTTCGCTGCAAAGAGTATTAAAAACATTGTCATGCGATTTTTTACTACTGTTATTTTATAGTTTTCAATTTTCAATAAAAAAAATAAGGAATAAGAAAGACAGCAAACATATAAAAAATGTACAATGCAAGAGTGTATGTATTCAGAAGTTTGTTTTCTGGTTTTATTTTTATTTTACTTTTACGATTTTTTCTCTTAAAATCACAACTTAGTTTCCTGAACACATCAGTCATGTATACTTAAAGAAAAAACTAAAAATGATTTAACTTTATTGATCTCAAATTGGAGAAATCTAGCTCTGCATTTAACCCATCCCTTTTGGGAGCAGTGGGCTGCTGTGGGGTTAAGGGTCTTGCTCAGGGACCCAGAGTGGCAGTCTGTGGGAGTTGGGCTCAAACTCGGAACTCGAAGCTCTATGTCCTAATCACTAGGCCGCCTATACCTCCTATGTGTATTAGTACATTCAGCAATCTGAAACGTAGCCTAATTAATGTTTTTTAACTATTTGTTGGCAAAATAGTCCAAATTCAGATCCTCATAACTTATTTATATGTAGGTTGCGAGGCTTCTGCAACCATCTGTGATATGGATTGGAGAGACAGAGAAAATTTTCTACAGAAAAGTTCCCAGGGAGGAAGAAGAGGTACCTTTATACAATAAAAACTCTTTTACAGAACTGTCATATTGTAAAGTTAAATGTGTTCATTGATTGTATTTTTTCTTTTTACAGTTAGACCCTAGGCGACTAAAGAAGGTTTTGCCAAAGTGTCTCAAACTGATCAAAGGAGAAGATCGTGTCCTGATAATCGGAACAACAAGAGACCCACAAAGTGCTGATATTAAAGCGTTGTCTAAAATGTACAGCAAAATCATTCTCATCCCCAGACCTGACTACGGCTCAAGATATGGTAAAACATAATATGCAATAATCCTTTTAAAAATTGACAGTTCATTTTTTAATAATGTGGAATCAAGCCTCTTTTTGTTTGTTTTTTTGTACTTCAGTTTTATGGAAAAAACTTATCGAAAAGCAAGGAGGTAAAATAAAGACAGTTGACCTCAGCAATCTAACGAGGTTAACTGATGGCTACACTCCAGGCCATATGGTTCAAGTCATCAACAGCCTAGTTTCCGAAGTTCACATCCAGGAGCTGGAAAAACGATCCTTCATCGCTGATGATTTTATTCCACCATTGAGCAAGCTGGAGCCCGTGTTCCAGAAGGAAGAGGAGGCAATAAAAGTATGTAGAAGTTGCACTATTTCAAGTTTTATTAAGATTATGTTCTATACGTCTAAGGTGTGAATTTAAGACATTTCCTTTATTTCAGAGCTGGTATGCGAAGACACCTCTAGGAAAAAGGAGATATAAAGCCGCCACTGGAAAAGAAGAGCAAACACCACCTAAAGGGAAAAATTCAAAGAGGAAAGATAAACATCAAAAGAGTTTAAAAAAAAAGCAAAAAAGCTGATAAAAAGAATAAAAAATAAAATCAAACCCTTCCAATAAAAATCAGGCTATCTTCAAATGTAAAAAAACCATGTTAAAAAATAAAATGGTCTGTGAAATGAGAACACCTATGTCGCCATCCTCTGCTGTTTTTCATGTCCCAACAGCACTCAGCAGAGATTATTCTGTTGATAGAGTTTCAACGGTCTTAACAAAGCTCCACAGCACATGGAGCTGTCCATCAAAAGGGCTTAGACACAGCTAGGGTTGCTGCTGGCTTTGTTTCATGCAGATGAGAATGACCCATAAATTGTTAACAATAATCAAAATACAACAGAGATACCAAATAGATTTAGTTTGAGTGTTGTGTTAATCACACATAATTAGTATCTGCTCTTTTTTATTTATGTTGTTTTGGCTAATAAGAGATCCTGATCTGCATAAAGGTCATCATGCAACCATTAGATATGAAAGCATTTTAAATATTTTTTTCTCTTGATTCATTGAGATGGGTTACTCCATATTCCTTAATCCTCGATGTTCTTTTAGTGCAGGGATAGATGGAAACCCCCCTCAGAGATCCATTGAAATGAATTCAGCTGACCTGACGTTTAAACCAGAGGCTGCCAAACACACACACACTGTATAGAGAGGGTTATCAATATACAACTAAGGAAAACACCATTTACGTATGAGCCAATCATTCATGTCCAGAGAAAACCATCAAATACCCTAATCCTGTTGTTTAGATTTAGACTGCTGATGTTTTCATTGATGCTGAGAACGAGTTGCCTCCCACCACAATTAAAGCCAAAGCTATCTTTGCCTTCACACCGGCAGAGTGCTATTTTGGATGTTAGTATGTGGGGAGAGATATGTCAGCTGTTCAGCACTGTGCTCCATCACAGCAAGAAAAAACAACAGTGAGCATAATATATGCTCTCAACTTAAGAGACTGAGATGAAGCAAACCGATCTGGACTTACTTTTTGTTGGTTAAACGTCTGCAGTTCACCTCAAAGTGTTTATGTCAGGTAAGACCTGTGGCTCATTTAACAGTGGGTCATTTATTATTTCCCTAAAGCATATAAAGATGTAAGGATATTTTCCTGCTGTAAAAGTAAGTTTAGGTGTTATTATCGCATTTGGCTCAAAGTCATCTTCACAATACACAAGTTTCTTTATGTATCCCAAAGAAGCAAGCTAACAAAAGAAACCTGATGCCTTCAATCCTGTTTTACACAACATTCTGGGCTATTTCATTCTTTAAAGAATGTACATTTGGCAACAGTATGGTAACACCATTAGTTTTTTATTGGAATGCTTTTGGGAGATTTATTTGTCTACTAAATTTACACAATTACTGACATTTTGTTGTCAGCCTGTCAACTCTGGTATCTCGGGGGATAAACTACATTGCCAAAAGGTTTGAGTCACCTCTTGAAATGACTACATTCAATTGTTCCACTTGCTTTTATGGTTACATGTTTACAAAATCCAGTTCCTAGTAATGCAGACTGCTTCTACAAAGACCCATAAAAGACAAAGTTGCTCTCAGTAGAGAAATCACAGTGTGGTTAATGGCTATTGACTTGTATGTAATATCCAGAATTCACAAACTCTGTATGGTAAAGAGCTAATGTGGCCTTCAGATTAGTTCTGGAACAGTATGAGCTTCATGAATGTGGTTTCAATGTCCCGACAGCTACATTCAAGCTTTACGTCACCAGGTACAATGCAAAGAATGTGACGTAATGGTATCAAGTGCACCTGCACCAGACACTAGAGTAATGGAGATATGTTTTCTGTTTGGAAGAATAACTCTTTGCTGTCTGGCAATCCATAAGACAAGTCTGGGTTGGTAGCTGTCAGGAGAATAACGCCCATTTGACCATTTCATCAAGTTAAAAGTTCAGTTCACGTGGGATTATGGTGTAGAGTTCTTTTATGCTTTAAAGTACCAAGACCTTTTGGGCTACTGTATGTTTAAGAATCTGTAGGAAAATTCAGGGCATAATCCTTTCACTTCCAGCCTGACTTTACAGAGTCAGGTTATGGTTATTTTACACAGCTTTTTTCCCAGTATGAATATGATTAGAGTCTGGGTTATGTTGACAGATTCTAATTTCTTTGAAATCTCTGAAACTTGGTTGACCAAGGCGATAACTGACAATAATATAAACATTGTTGGATATAGTGTTTATTGTACAGACAGACCTAGAAAATGTGGCTGCATTGCTATTTATGTCACATAAAGATTTGATGCCTACACAGTCCTCTTTCAATCCATCTCCCAACAACTAATATTGTTAGCTCTAAATGTAGAAATTTAGAAATGTTAGTTTTCTCCGTTGTTCGATACTGCAGCATTTTACCCCAGTAAAAACTCTCATGTGCTGTCTACCTATGTCTTAGTGGCTCTGGTTCTGATCAAATGAAGGATTTAAATTGTATTAACAAGCATTTCATGTAATTGGAATTTTCATCTAATTGCAAGGGAACTGATTCTGCCTTAACTTGTGTAAATCACCTGGTGTTCTATGTTGAGCATCTTAGGTTGGTGCCTTTCTCTGTCACTGAAGTCCTCAAAGCTTTAGACAATAGAAAACCTCATGGACCCAAACTGATAGACTTTTTGTGTTTTAGAATGGAAGCCGAGCCCCGTGCCAATCATTGTTAACCATAGTGTTGAAAAACAGGAGATTCCTTCAGTGTGTAATTCAAGTTGACAAAAAAGGACTTTTCTCTTCAATGCAGAGAACAACTGGCCCACTTGCATGAAGATTATCCATATGAAGGAATGAGCCTGAGGTCCTTGGTAGATACATTTTCAGAATTAGGAACTGTGTTAAGGTCAGCGTGTTTGTGCTTCTCTTGCAGTACCTTCAAAATGATCCTTTTGAGATTTTAAATGAAATAAATGGGGGAAAAAAGGCCAAGGTCAATATTACCAACACAGATTATATTATTATCTTGTCTTTCACTCAGACATCTGAGACTATTTTATGACATTGTTTTGATGACTACTTATTTTGTCCATGCAGATTCCTTTTTCTTGAAAGTAAATATTCACACATCTTCTCAAAAGCTGGACACATGGGGGATAATAAATGTGGAGGGATAGTTGCAGCTGCAGGTATGTTTTACAACATTTCTGTCAAAACTACTTTTCAGTGGTTTTACTGCTCTGGTAAGGAGGTTCTCAAACTGAAATCTGTGTTTGCCAGTAAACCGTCTGAAAGTGGTGAAGGGTTTGGAGGATGTGGAGGTGTCAGAGTGTGAGAGCTGCTCCTTGGAGGTGACTCTTAACTTGGCCTACATAGAGGGCATTTGGACCAGAAATGGGACAAAAGTAAAGTCAAAGCCGAGCTGTCGCATCAGCACACATGGGAAGAAACACTGCCTCATCCTGAACCGGGTGGCTTTGGGAGATGCTGGTTTATACTGTTTCCAGGCTGGTGAGGTGCAGACTTCAGGAAGGCTGAATGTCAGAGGTAAGGCAGTAAAGCACAAACTTAACCAAGACATGTAGTACTGTGGTGTCTATTTAGTTGAAATCCAAGTCAGAATGAGTTTGTTTTATATAATGACTCAGATAATGTAAAACATGTACCGTATGTAGTTAATGGCAACACTCTGCCATTTCAAGGCTTTATATGGTGATTGACATCTCTGATGATTCATACGCTCACAGTTGTATGGTTATACACCAAAAAACGACCTTTAATTAGAGTTTTTATTCAATAACAAAAAGGTATACATAGGTTAATGATTGATTTAGTTGATAGAACTCTACCTTTCTCTTTTTAACATTCTAGAGGAGATGAAAGCATACAGAGGGATCTTTGAGCATCACAGTAACATGTGTTGGATAACCACCTCTCTAAAAGACCAAGTGATTTGCTGCACTCTTCTAAACATTGTTGCGTTCCATCTCCCAAAGATCAGAAAACATTTGTTTTCACCTGCTGCCCTTAGGTTTGAATGTTTGGAAATAATTGTTCTCCTATAATTGAGAGGCTGTGAGATCTTGGAGAAGCACACCTTACATCTACTAACTTCTGCAAATCACCAAACCCACCTGGAGCAATCGCTGCTGATAAACCTAAATTTTTTATTTGATCTGTTTCATTTTATCTAGTCCAATCCAAACTTAAATCCAAAACTTAAAACAATTACACAAATATAAAAAAAAAATTGTTTTTAGTTCCATCGATAACAGGACAGTTACAGTGGCTGCTGTTTTTTCTGACAGCTAGGGACATATACATTGTGAAGGAGCTGGAGGATGTGGACACGCTTGAACGTCGTCCTGTCAGCTTTTTATGTGAAGTCAATCAGGTGGATGTGGATGGTCGGTGGTATCGCAATGACTGCAGAATCCGACCTGGGGACACCATCAAGATAAGACACCAGGGTGAGAAAGTTACCCATTCACCAACACAGCCATTCATAGCATTCACGTTTTAATCTAAATAAGGACTCAAAGAAACATACACATGATTGATTAAGGCACGATTATACTGGTATACATTCTAATCTGATTTCAGGTAAAACGCACACCTTGCTCTTCAAGTCAGTCAGACCAGAACATGCAGGGGGGATCAGATTCACTGCAGAGCGGGTCTCATCTCAGGCCACTCTCACAGTAAAAGGTGAGCCAGCATTTTTTGGCTGCAGAATTAGGTACCTTGAAAGTACAACCTCAGTATAATAAAACTGTTAAATGTGATTATTTCTCACCATCGTCATCTCAAAATCTACTTTTACTTTTTTGTAGAGCTCCCAGTTCAAATAGTTCGACCTCTAAGGGTCAAAATCGCCATGTATCGCCACAGAGGTTTGCTGGAGTGCCAAGTGTCGAGGCCTAATGCTCAGGTCAGATGGTACAAGAGCAGTAAAGAGCTCCTGCACGGCGAGAAGTATCAGCTAATCAGCCAGGATGTCTACAGGCAGCTGACCATCGAAGATGTTCGCTCCTCAGATGAAGACACCTACACATGTGATGCAGGAGATGATAAAACATCATGTCAGCTTCTGGTGGAGGGTGGGATATATGTTTTTATAGCAAAAATATTGAAATAGATTTAACATTGGCCGCCTTATGTTTGATTTCCAACAGTTTTAAGCTGTAAATAGAGGTTTATGAATAGAACTTAATATATTTATATGTTTCTTGTCTTAAAATGTAAAAATCTGAAAAACACAAGCTTTATGGTGATGTTTTATTGTTGCACCTGCAGAGCAGGCCATCAGCATTGTGCAGGGGATGAAGTCTCTGGAGGTAATGGAGCCAAATCCAGCAGTATTTCAGGTGGAAACCAGCTTAAAGTCAGGGAGGCCCCCGAAGTGGACCTTGAATGACGAGGTCCTGGAGCACTCTACAGGAGTGAACATTGACAGGCAGGGGAAACTCCACACTCTGTGTTTCACAAGCACTGACAGCTCTATGACAGGGCCTGTAGTCTTTGTGGCTGGGAAGAGCCGTTCCACCGCACAGCTCACTGTCAAGGGTGAGTGCTCATGCAATCTCTTTTCACTGTTACTGTTGGATTACATGAAAACCACCTTAAAAATATTTAAGTATATAATTTGTAGTACTAACAATTTAATTTGAGAAAGTAAAAGGATTGCTGTGACATAAATACATTGTAAAGTTTATGAGGAATAAGAAAATAGACATAACTGTTGTGCATTTGTGTTGGTCTGTGTGTCAAAAAGCTGATGTGATCATTTGAATTTGCCACAACAAATTAAAAAGTATCTGTTGTGGCCCAGGCACCATTGACAAGTAATTTATGCAGGCAAAAAGAAATCAACTTTACAGGTAGTCTTTTAGTTCTGTGTTTTATTTCTCCTTAAGCAAGCAAAAGGAAAAGACAAAGATTTCCTCAATGCTTCTCTTGTGCTGGTGAAAAACCTTATGCCCATCCAGATGCATACTGGCCTTACCATTGTCAGCCTATTTATTAACGTAATTCCCCAAATTACTCATAACTAACAGGTAACAAAGAAACATAACTAAATAACCAAAATAAATAAATAAATCTCAAAACAAATATTAAACAATAAAGTAAAATAAATAAACGAAATGAGATTATCCACAAAAAATAAAATAAAATCTTAGTTAAATATTAACAAAAAATAATGGGCTCCTAAAGTGTCTGACGGCCAAATAACCAGTTACTCAAGAAAGGTCTAAATTAAATAGCTCACAAGCTTCAAAAAAATATCTTGAAATTTTCACAGAAAGAAAATAATGCAACCGTTTTTGGCATTTCCTTAATCATATTTAGTTACTCAAACAACTATTTTATGTCCTACACTCCTAACATGAAATAATTGTGTTAAAGTAACTAAACCAAGTGATTTGTGATTAAGTAAATGCCAAAAATCGTTGCATTAACCGATGGATAAATGTGAATCTAAGGACAAACCTAAAATTTTTTTTTGAGTTAATGCAAGGTAAGTTTATTTATAAACTGCATTGTAGATTTAGACTGTTTAAAGTTTTAAGTTCCAAAGTTAACGCACATGTTAGAATATAAAATAATAATTACTGCAAGATTTACTCAAAAGAATGATGAACAAAAAAATGAAATGAAAATTTTACTGAAAACTTACCTCATTATTTTTAGATAGTACAGTCAAAGGCCATTTTAAACAAATACATTTTAACTAATACAGAATACACTTTAAGCGACCTAGATTTTCAGAATTTTTACAGTTTGGGAGTTTATTACGTATTAGTGGTGTATAAGAAGTAAATGCTGCTTCTCCATGTTGTGTTCAGGATCTGGGTATGCAGAGTAGACTTGAGCAATAAAACCTGAGAGATCTGGGTGGTTGATACACTGAGAGGAAGTCTGTAATATATTTTGTTGCTATGCTATTCGGTGATTTATAGCTTAACAGCGATTATCCTCATTCATACAGGGACCCAGTGTAAAGACTGTACAACTTAGATGATGTGCTTCACTCTCTAAGTGTTTTTCTTTTTCAGGAAATCTGTTGTGATTATTTGTATTGTGCTCTCCTGACTCCTCACTTTGTAGAGCAAATTTTTACTCCTAATTCTCTGCACAGTACATTTCTTCAGAAGGCTTGCACCAGACAGCAATATACACATCTTATGGCTTTTTGTATCTTCTTTGTATCTTTTTCTATTATCGATCTTCTTACTTAAAAGTCAGATTAGAGGAGTAGGCATTCCATTGATTGTCATGATGGGTTCACAAAGAGCGACCCAAATATGCAGAACTCCACTGACGGACACAGGAATAAAAGTTCAACAAGTTTATTTTGATACAAGCACACAGAATGTACTGGTTCTGGCTCGGGCCTGGACACTGGTTCACCGGAGTCTGCGTGAGAGACAGTTCAGTTAGCGTTGCAAGCTGGAGCTTGATTTCTAGATGATAACTGATTGTACCTTGAGGGTTCTTGAGGTTAGCTTTGGGAGAGTCACTGTTGGATCTGGAGAGGAGTTGATCAGCAGAGTCCGCTTGCTGCTTCAGCGTTTCACGTCTAATAATGAACAGACCTTGGCTTAGGGTTTTCCAGCTCTTAGTCCTGAGCTGCATGGAAGTTCTCTAAGGATCTTCGGGTTTGGCTCAGAGGGTCGGCTCGGCAGGTTAGCTCTTCCAGAGCTTCACAGAGGAGACACTGGTTTCCTGGAAGACAGAGGCAACGGTTAGAATCCAGGCTGGATTCAAAGTCACAAAGTTACACTGAGAAACTAGGCTTAGGCGCTGACCAACTGGATCAACACTGCGGCGTTGAGGCAAGGTCTGAAGACAGCTTATATAGTGGATCCTCTGATGATCTTGATGGGCTGCAGCTGTGCAGGAGGCTCACTCAGAAGGATCCACGGCGGACTCTGCTGGAGAAAGGTGGAACTTCTCCAGCTCCCAACAGTACCCCCCCCTCAACGACCGCCCCTTGGCGGTCCGGAAGAGGTCGAAGGGCAAGAACGCTCGTACTCCTCGATAAGGGCAGGATCGAGGATGTACGAGCCCGGAACCCACTGGCGATCCTCCGGTCCGTAGCCCTCCCAGTCGACGAGGTACTGCCAGCCGCGACCTCGTCGACGGGAGTCCACGATGCGTCGAACGGTGAAGGCTGGATGACCATCGACCTCCAGGGCGGTTGGTGGGGAGTCGGAAGGCGGGCACAGAGAACTCGAGACGACAGGTTTGACTTGGGACACGTGGAAGGTTGGGTGAATCCGGAGAGACTGAGGCAGTTAGAGACGGACGGCTGATGGACTGATGACTCGGGAGATCTTGTAGGGACCTATGAATCTGGGCTAGAGTTTTCGAGACATCCCCTTAAGGGGAATGTCCCGAGTGGACAGCCATACCTCTTGGCCTTCTGTGTACTCGGGGGCGGGACGTCTCCTGGAGTCAGCGAAGCGTTTGTTGGTTTCTGAAGATCGGTTGAGGGTGGCGATGGTTTCTCTCCAGATCTTCTGACAGCGTCGGATGTGTTGGTTTACTGACTGGACCGAAATCTCTCTCTCGTCTTCGGGGAAAAGTGGAGGTTGATAACCGAGACTAACCTGAAAGGGAGATTGACCAGTGGAAGCAGATTTGAGGGAGTTGTGTGCGCATTCGATCCAAGTGAGAAAATGACTCCAGTCCACGGGATTGTTAGAGGTGAGGCAACGAAGGGTTGATTCCAGCTGCTGGTTCATCCTCTCCGTCCGTTTGATAGTGGATGGTAACCTGAGGTCAGAGAGGGTTTACAGCCGAGAGCAGAACAGAATGCTTTCCAAACCTGGGATATGAACTGAGGACCCCGGTCCGAGAGGATCTCTTGGGGAATGCCGTGTAAGCGAAAGACGTGTTTGACGAGGAGCTGGGCTGTCTGGAAGGCCGTGGGGAGTTTCCTAAGGGGAATGAGATGGCAGGCCTTTGAAAAACGGTCAACAATGGTGAAAATGGTGGACATACCTCGAGAAACGGGGAGGCCGGTGACAAAGTCAATAGCAATATGGGACCAAGGGCGCGAGGGAACCGGAAGCGGCTGAAGCAGGCCAGAAGGAGGTTGATGTGAGGCTTTATTACGGGCACAAGTGGAGCAAGCCAACACATACTCCTTGACATCTCTATGGAGGGTGGGCCACCAGAAGCGTCTTGAGATCAAAGCTATGGTTCTACTGACTCCCGGATGAGCAGAAAACTTGGCAGCGTGCATCCATTGGATGAGACGGGACCTGACGGAAGATGGCACATAGGTTCGGTTAGTGGGACCGTTACCTGGGTCGGGTTCAGTAGCCAGGGCGGAGTTGATAAGGTCAGTGATTTCCCAGTTTACCACTCCCACAGTGCAGGAAGCCGGGAGGACTGGTTCAGGCGTCTCGGGATGATCGACGGAGTAAAGACGAGAGAGAGAATCGGGTTTGACATTCTTGGATCTGGGTCTGTAGGAGATAATGAGATTAAACCGTGAGAAGAAGATAGACCACCTGGATTGACGAGGATTGGCTTGCTTGGTTGACTGGATGTAAGCCAGGTTCTTGTGGTCAGTCCATACTAGAACCGGATGCTCAGCTCCCTCCAGCCAATGTCTCCATTCCTCCAGCGCCAGTTTGATGGCCAACAGCTCTCGGTCTCCCACATCGTAATTCTGCTCAGCGGAAGAAAGTCTACGGGAGAAGAATGCACAAGGGTGGATCTTCTGATCCGAGTCAAGTCTCTGGGATAGGACTGCTCCAACTCCAGAATCTGAAGTGTCCACCTCGAGAATAAATTGTTTAGCAGGGTCAGGCTGCATTAGCACAGGTGCTCTGGAAAATAAAGATTTCAATTTATCAAACGCAGCTTGCGCCTCAGGGGTCCACTGAAAAGTGCGTTTGACAGAGGTCAGAGAAGTTAATGGAAGGGCGGTTTGGCTATAGTTCCTGATGAACCGACGATAAAAGTTTGCAAAACCCAGAAATCTCTGTAGCTGTTTGCGGTTCTCTGGAACTGGCCAATCTAACACTGCCTTTATCTTGTCCTCAGATGGTTTTACCTGGCCGCCCTCGAGCACAAACCCCAAAAAGGTGACTGAAGACTGGTGAAATTCGCACTTCTCGGCCTTTACGAACAGCTTGTTCTCCAGCAGTCTCTGTACAACAAGGCGGACATGTTTCTTATGTTCAGCGAGGTTCCTAGAGTAAATGAGTATGTCATCAATATAGACGAAGACAAACACATTTAAAAAGTCTCTGAGAACATCGTTCACGAGGGCCTGGAAGCAGGCTGGAGCGTTAGTTAGACCAAAAGGCATTACCAAATACTCAAATTGGCCCAATGGAGTCTTGAAGGCTGTTTTCCATTCATCTCCTTCTCGGATCCTAAGAAGATGATAAGCATTCCTTAAATCCAGTTTAGAGAAAACTGTAGCTCCTTGTACAGGTTCGAATGCAGAGGCGAGTAGAGGAAGTGGGTATTTGTTCTTTATTGTGATCTGGTTCAAACCTCGGTAATCAATACATGGTCTCAGGGAGCCATCTTTCTTTCCAACGTAGAAGAACCCAGCGCCCAAAGGAGAAGAAGATGGGCGGATTATTCCTGCAGCTAATGATTCATTTATGTATTTTTCGATGGTTTCTCTTGGAAATGTTATACAACCTGCTGCTAGGTAGTGGTGCACCAAGTAAAAGATCAATGGCGCAGTCATATGGTCTGTGTGGAGGTAGGGACGTCGCACTGACCTTACTGAAGACAGGAGCTAGGTCATAGTACTCGGAAGGAACAGAAGAGAGGTCAGGAGAGTCCATCTCCCCCCCACCTCTAGGAGACCCCACCAAGGGGGCAGCCGAACGGAGGCATGTTTCATGGCATGAAGTGGACCAAGATTCCAGGTGACGCTCAGTCCAATTAATGTGAGGATTATGCTTCTCCAACCACTCGAAACCAAGCACCAGAGGGGAACATGCAGAAGGAAAAACAAAAAATGTTATTGTCTCTCGGTGGTTACCTGACAGAAGTAGCTCGAGGGGCTGAGTTTGATGGGTAACTTGGTGAAGTCTCTTTCCGTCAATAGCAGAAACACTAAGAGGTTGAGTCAGAGGAATTGTTTCAATTTGGAGTTGTTGGACGAGGTTTGAATCGATTAAGTTCCGTTCACAGCCTGAATCGATGAATGCAGAAAAGGAGAGGCTTTGGTTAGAACAAAACAACGTGGCAGGAAGCAACAATCGAGGAGATTTCTTAGTGTTAATTTGGCCCGCCAGACTCCTCAGATCCCCTGGCGGGCCCAGGCTTTTGATTTAGCAGGGCAGGAAGCGATGAAGTGTCCACTCTCACCACAGTAAATGCATAATTTGCTTAGAAAACGTCTTTGTCTCTCCTCTGGGGTGAGCCTAGTGTGTCCCACCTGCATGAGTTCGAAATCTCTTTCGCCTGAATGAGAGGCCTGAATAGGCAGCGGTAGAGACTGGGACATAGGTCTCTGTATGGGCGGCTGCTCTGTAGGAGAAGAACAAACAGTCACGTTATTTGAGGCAGAAGAAAGTGTCCCCTGCTTTTTAGAACTGTTTCTGGCACGGATTCTATTGTCCAATCTGATCGTAAGACGAATTAAATCTTCGAGGTTTGGCCGCAGTGTTCTGTCATGATGGGTTCACAAAGAACGACCCAAATATGCAGAACACCACTGACGGACACAGGAATAAAAGTTCAACAAGTTTATTTTGATACAAGCACACAGAATGTACTGGTTCTGGCTCGGGCCTGGACACTGGTTCACCGGAGTCTGCGTGAGAGACAGTTCAGTTAGCGTTGCAAGCTAGAGCTTGATTTCTAGATGATAACTGATTGTACCTTGAGGGTTCTTGAGGTTAGCTTTGGGAGAGTCACTGTTGGATCTGGAGAGGAGTTGATCAGCAGAGTCCGCTTGCTGCTTCAGCGTCTCACGTCTAATAATGAACAGACCTTGGCTTAGGGTTTTCCAGCTCTTAGTCCTGAGCAGCATGGAAGTTCTCTAAGGATCTTCGGGTTTGGCTCAGAGGGTCGGCTCGGCAGGTTAGCTCTTCCAGAGCTTCACAGAGGAGACACTGGTTTCCTGGAAGACAGAGGCAACGGTTAGAATCCAGGCTGGATTCAAAGTCACAAAGTTACACTGAGAAACTAGGCTTAGGCGCTGACCAACTGGATCAACACTGCGGCGTTGAGGCAAGGTCTGAAGACAGCTTATATAGTGGATCCTCTGATGATCTTGATGGGCTGCAGCTGTGCAGGAGGCTCACTCAGAAGGATCCACGGCGGACTCTGCTGGAGAAAGGTGGAACTTCTCCAGCTCCCAACATTGATGTACATATTAAAGCTGTATTCATACTAATATTGAAGACACACAGCTAGATTATTATTATTGACTCACTTCTAAAGGCGGTTTGTTGTGTTGTATTTGAGGCTGTAAGAGAAAACTGATCTCAAAAGACATGTTTGAAAACCTTTTCTTGTTTAGTTTTTATTACAAACTATGTTCTGCTTTTTATTTTACATGATATCAAAATTTAATAAATACTTAATATGATCAGATACTAGTAACTATATGCTCTCAAAGGTAGTGAAAATAAAGAAAAGGTGCATCTTTCTTTTGTAAAAAAAATGTCTTTACCAACAGTATGGTTTTATCAATTATATATTACTAAGTTATTGAGTGAGTTACAACAATTTGCTTTTAGTCTGTTTTTCAAAATCCTAAAGGGACAACATTTGCCCTACAGCAGAAGTGAAGGAGCTTTTAGGAGAATAAACTTTTATTCAGTGAGGCTGTGAAATTTGAAAATCAGAAAATAAAATTCCAAGGAAAGTTGTGTTACATGACTGCCTTGTCTTTGTATTGTCTTTGTATTTGTTTATTAAAATGTAAGACTAGATGGATGTTTGGAGCCTTTGTTTGGTTTAGATAAAACTTTTTTGCTTAAGGTACAAAGTACTCCTATATAAAATGTTATATTTCTTGTTTATAGCAATAACCAAGCAATGACACTCTGCAGAAAGCTAATTTATGCTGATGTTTTCCAACTGTCTGCTGTATGTATCCTCATCAGAGCGACCTCTTGAAGTTGTTCACCACTTAGATGATGTGGAGGCAAAGGAGAGTAGCTCTGTGAGCCTGAGCTGTGAGTTTGCCCCATCACCCCGGGTGGTGCGTTGGTTTAAAGGTCGCACCGCACTAAAGTTCTCAAACAAGTACAACATGAAAAGAGAGGGCAAACGAGCAGAGCTGATCATTCATGGCCTGACAGGGATGGATTCGGGACAGTACCGCTGCATGGCTGGAGGTTCACAGAGCACTGCGCAGCTCAAAGTTGAAGGTATGTCAATAAAAAGCTTTTTCCTGATCCCTATGATGTTTGATTTGATTTATAATTACTTTTTGTATCTAGAAACATACAAATAAATAATAATGCTCTTTTGTTTGTCTTACAGTAAAAACACTGAAGCTGGTCAAACATCTTGATCCTATTGAAATTGAGGAGGATGGCGCTGCCACTTTTTCATGTGAGCTAAACTATGTTGTTGCAAACGCAGAGTGGCTGCTGAACAACATCCGCCTCAATTCTAACGCCATCAATCGAATCCAGCACATGGGCACAATGCACAGTCTCAGGATGCAAAAGCTTAGACCACAGGAGAGCAGGGTCACATTTAAAGCAGGTCTACTCACTGAGACAACTGTCTTAAAGGTCAAAGGTCAGAAACAAAATTATATGAAGTGCACAATAAAGAAAAGCTCTGAATTTAGGAAACACATGAACTTGCATGAATGTGTTTTGTCTCCAGAGCGTCCAGCTGTGTTTCTCAGGTCTTTGGAGGATGTTATTGGAGAGGAGAAAGGGGAAGTTTGCCTGCAGTGTGAAATCTCTAAAGATTCAGTAACTCCTGTCTGGAAGAAGGATGGGGCCGTCCTGTCACCTGATGAAAAACATGAGTTTGTGCAGTGCGGGAAGTGCAGAGCACTGATCATCCACACACTGAGCAAGGAAGATGCTGGTCAATACACCTGTGACCTGAGTACCAGTCAGTCCAAGGCTAAAGTAACAGTACATGGTAAAGGGAATTCAAACAGCACTAACAGTTCAATCTCTTAATCTTCTGCACTTGTTATTGCTGTCTGTAATGGTCTGCAGCTACCAAGACTGATCCCAAAGCTTCTGTTTTATTTTGTATTTGCAGATCTTATTATTAGCATTGTCCAGCGGATAAAGACAGTCTCTGTTCTGGAAGGTGAAAGCTGTGTTTTCGAGTGCCATCTATCTCATGATCTGGATGATGAACCACTTTGGACCATCAATGGTCAGATGGTGGTTACAAACAGCCGCATTCAGCTAGTAAACGACAAACGCATCTATAAGATGACCATTAGAGATGTCCTCCTTTCTGACGCTGGTGACGTGGTTTTCACAATTAAAGATCTGAGTTGTAGGACCATGTTGTTTGTAAAAGGTAAAAAGCTGTGTCTCATTAATGTTTATATGTTTATTCAGTTTATTCTAACATTGAGAAAATACTTGCTTTCCCTCTTTAGAGAAGTCTGTGCACATCTTTAGGGACCTGTTAAATGTGAAGGCCGTGCCTGGGGAGGATGCTGAGCTGAGCTGCGAAATCACCAAACCAGATGTCACCATTCGATGGCTGAAGAATGGACGTCCCATCAGGCAGAGCCCTAAATATGAGATGAGCATAGAGAAGAACTTGGCCCGGCTGTTGATCAAAAATACCTCCATCAGAGACTCTGGAGAATACTGCTGTGAAGCTGACGGTGTTGCTTCCAGAGCCAAGGTGGAGATCAGAGGTAGTTACCGTTTTTAATCTTTTAGTAAAAGTAGAAATTACAAACAGACAGATTCAAAAGTAACGTATTATATTTTCAGATACAGTTACTGACATTTTTATTATTTACCATTATCCACAGGTGTTGTTAAAGTAAACATTGAATCAATCCCTTGGCATTAAGGCTTCTAGACTAAAATATCATTGATTAGGTTTAAACTTAGTCCCACAATGATGACTGAAGGGCATTTGGTTGACCTTTGATTTAAAGTTTCAGCTAGTTTGATTTTATTGTTTTATAGAAGTGTTTATTTTTGAGGATTTTTACACATAACCCACATTTCAGGTCTATGGATAATGATCAGAAAAAGGCAAAATATGGCAGTTGTGTGGAAAGAAATACTTTGTTGATTTCAGAGGATAAATGGTAAGGAAGTTTAAAATTATCTAATAAGCTACAATTTTCACTAGTTGACCAAAATGTAACATTCAACAGACTGGAAATGTTTTCTCTCATCCAATGAGACTTGATTCCAGCAGCAATATTAGGATGGAGGGTCATAATTTAGTGTTTCAATCCTGAAAATTGCATGAGGTTCTCCATTTCTTAGTTTGTAACACTGTGAAATCGTCTGAGAATAGTGCCCTCTTTAAGAGAGCATACCTTGATATAGGCAAGATTTTCTACAATACAGTATGCTACAGTATGTAAACTGAGTATGCATCTTGGCTTGACTTACTGAATATACTTTATTTTATTTTAGAACTTCAACACACATTTGCAAGGGAGTTGAGGGACACTCGAGGAGAAGAAAAGGGTAAAGTGACACTGGAATGTGAGACCAGGCGGCCAGCCAAGCGCGTGACATGGCTGAAGGGCATGTTGGAGCTCAGGTCTGGGAAGAAGTATGTCATGAAGCAGAAGGGAGTTGTTCTAACCCTAACCATCAACTGTCTGGAGAAAACAGACGCGGATATTTACGTGTGTGACGTTGGTACCATGCAAAGCCGGGCACATCTGACTGTGCAGGGTGAGGCCAAAATGCATGAAGTGTGAAGGTGTTTGGAGCACAATTAAGTCATTATTTCCCTTAGAAATGGAATGAGGTTTCTGTTGTCTTAAACTGGTAGTTCCCACACTTATCTACCAGGCCCCATTTTGGGATACAGAACCTCCTCCAGTTCCTCCAGTTATGCCCTTAACAGCTTTTTTCAGCACATTAACAAAACAAAAAAAGTCAACTGCAGTGAATTACATATTGCCTTTAAATGCCAAAATGCCATCTTTAAAGTTTAACTATTTTAATTTCAACTGTTTATCTCACTTTGCAACATAATTGAACATTGCAATCAATACATTTCAAAAGGAATAACTCTCAGAATGGGTCATTCATTCAATTCATTTCTACTAGGGCCATTCTGCAATTACACTGCTCGTCCCAGACTTTAGGTCAATATTCAGGTAAGTGTCATTTACAGAATGGCAGATGTTGTAAGGCAGAATGATCATCAATGTCTGGATATCAGATAAACAGTATAGGGCTTGGAAAGGAGCCAGAGGGTAAAAAGACACAGTAGAGGGCAAAAGAGCAAACAAAAATGGATGCCTGGATTTCTGATGGAGCAGGGCAGTTGATCGTCTGGTGGGAAGGTAGAGAAGGGAAGTACAGCCACTGGTAAAGCAAGAAAACAATCAGGTGTGGCAAAGGGGCATTGGAGGAGGTTGATCAGAGCATTAAGACATAAAATGTTTGTCGTATGATGAAGAATGGTCACTATAAAAACTGTTGTTTAAAGAAGATACTAAACATTTAATAATAATTTAACTTTATTGATCTCACACTCAAGAAATTCACCTCTGCATTTAACCCATTCCCTTTGGGAGCAGTGAGCTGCCATTGTGTAGAAGCCCGGAGAACAGTGTGGGTTTTGCTCAGTCTGGTATGGGAGTTGAACTCAGAATCTCCGTGACCCAAGCACAATGTTCTAACCACTAGGCCACCACTCCCCGAAGTAGGAAACCCCAAAAGTCTGTTCATGTAGGTTCGTCTGGATGGACAATTTGACCAACATGTAAAATGTTCCATCTGGCAGGGAGATAAGACTTCTCATTACCTGAGACTGCCATTACCCCACTAAAACATGGTGTTGTCATCTTCATAGTGCTGTTAGAATGCTTTTCTTCCATAAAATAACCATCATCTTCCAGAATGTGTATCTGATGCAAGACTTCAAAACGGATTTTTGTCGACCCTTTCTAACTAGTTTGAATGAATTTGAAAATACTGTACAGATGCTTCTAACTTACTTTTTAAGATTTATAAAACTGGTAGGGAAATACCCTAAGAGACCTGGAGCTATAATTATAACAACATGGGGTTCGGAAAAATGTTGGCCCTGCTTGGCTTTTTGTAAAACCTCAACAAACATATGATATTTATTTCTAAAGTATGTAGTACACAAGTATTGAACTAGCTAAGGTAATATTGGATCCTACAACATAATGTACAGTGAAGTTTGTTGTTTGAATGTTGCAAAAGTTAAAAGCTGATACTTTTGTTGTGTCCATATTTTTTTCACTCTTCTATATTACAGATCAGAAAGTGATAATCTTGGATGAGCTCGAGGATGTGGAGTGTCTTGAAGGTGACACAGTCACATTCAGGTGTCGAATTTGTCCCGATGACTACTTGGGGGTCAAATGGTACCTGGATGAGACTCTGCTTTATACTAACGAGCTTAATGAGATTCAGATGGGATCTGGGGGCTTCCATACTCTCACATTTAGACAGCTTGCTCGGAAAGACACTGGCACTATTTCGTTCGTGGCAGGTGACAAAAGATCTTATGCTTCACTGCTAGTTAGAGGTAAGGAGCTTTTTGTGAGTTTTTTAGAATATTCATGTGGACCAGTGTTCCAGTCAGAGGTGACAAGTCTATCTTCATGTTATCAGAGAGGCGTCCTACTATCATCAAAGCACTGGAGGACTGTGAGGCTTTTGAAGGAGGTGGTTTAGTATTGTCTTGTGTCACTTCCAAACCATGCCACATCTTGTGGTACAAAGATGGCTGTCTGATGTGGCACTCCTCCAGATACTTAATTACCCGTTCTGGCTGTGAAGCACGACTGACTATTCGAGAGGTCAGCAACAGTGATGCCGGAGAGTATGAGTGCAGCGCTGGATATGTCACAACTACAGCTATCGTCACCGTTAAAGGTATAAACCTGAAATATATTATGTATTATCACCACGTTTTGTGTATTTACTGTAGAATTAGTGCAGATAAAGGTTCTTGTCTTCTTTAGCCATCCCGGCAGAGTTCACCAAGCCTCTGAATGCCATGGAGGCCAATGAGGGAGAGGATGTTACGTTAACTTGTGAATACTCCTTACCTGGAGTCCAATTTCAATGGAGGAAAGGTTTTGTGAATATCCGGCCTGGAGATAAATACGTCATGAAACAGAGGAAAACCATTCTTTCTTTGACCATCAAAGCACTTCAGCCTGAGGACACAGGAGAGTACACATGCCAGTGCAGAAAACACCAGACCACAGCCAGCCTTATAGTAAACGGTGAGCTATTTGGTGAAGGGTTTTCCTTCACATTTGTCCAAAGATCTTATAATAAAAAGTCTACTTTTTCTCTCTAATATGAAATTCACATTCTAGAATTTTATCAAATGCTAAGATCTTAATGGAAACAAGAGACAGGCAAGATTTTATGTTTAAGGTTTTTATCTTTCGAAGAAAAAACACAAGCAAAAAAAATAACCTATCTACTAAAGTTTCTTTGATTTATAATAGCCTGTTTTGCCATTACTGTATGACCTGGGGGATTATTATTTCAAAACTTTCTTTTGCCCAGCAATTCCCATTACCTTCATTCAGCAACTTAAGAACCTGCAAGCAGAGGAGGGCAGTAGTGTGATATTGCGCTGTGAAGTTTCTAAACCTGGAATAGCAGTGGAATGGAGGAAGGAGCAGGAGCTGCTGACGAACGGCATCAAGTTCCAGATGAGGAAAAGGGAGACCACCTTTGAGCTTCTGATATGGAAACCTGTACCTGAGGACAGTGGGGTTTACAGCTGTGTGTGTGCTGATCAGATAACATCTGCTACAGTCAAGATTACCAGTAAGATGTTATTAAGCAATGAGCTGATATGATGATTTTAAGAATAATCTGGAGTTGGTTATTTAGCTAATTTTTATCCATGACTTTTCAGCCCTGCCGATCACCTTTAAACAGAAGCTAAGGAACATATTGATTGAGGAAGGAAACAATGCTATATTTCGCTGCGAACTCTCCAAGCCTGGTCAAACTGTAGAGTGGAAGAAAAATCAAGGTGGGGTCATCAGGAATGGAGAGAAGTATCACGTGCGACAGAGAGACACACATATTGAACTCAGGATCCTAGATGTGACTCCTGATGACAGCGATATCTACACTTGCATCTGTGGAAACATCGAGACAACAGCAACTCTGACTGTTAATGGTAATAAAACCACAAAGTTTCATTCAAGTTTTATCTTAAGTTTTAGATCTTGCTGGGTATAAACGATATTTAAAAAGAAAACAAAAAAAATGCTAAAAAAAAACTATATCATATTTGATTTTAAACAGCTCTTAACAGGTTTAAATATATTTTTTCTTGCAAGACTTAATGCTGTACTGCAGATGAAGTTACATAAAAGTAGAGATTTTTTTAGAATGTTACTCTTATTATTAAATGCTAACTATCCATACCCTTTTGACCTTTCAGCCATTCCTATAACGTTCAAGCAGAAGCTGAAGAACCAGCAGGTGGAAGAAGGACACAACATCACACTGCAATGTGAGATTTCTAAAGCTGGTGTCCCAGTGGAGTGGTGGCTTGGAGGAGAGAAGCTCGAGAATGGAGACAAGTACCAGATAAAGCAGAGGGACTCCAGCCTGGAACTGACCATCAGGGATGCTGCGTTAGAGGACAGCGGCGTCTATACATGTGTGTGCAGGGAGCAGAAGACTAAAGCCACTGTGAAAGTTATTGGTATGTTTTTTCTTTTTTTTGTGTGTCATTTTCAAAAGTATTTAGCAATGGTCACAAGTTTACAGGCATTTGTAATGCACATTTAAACAATATTAATGTTTGCTTAAGTTTATGCATTCAATCAATATTATTTTAGGTTAAAGTAATAAACATGCATCTTCATGATCGAAAAGTAAAAAAAACAGGTTAAATGAAAATTGAAATTTATTAAAAGTTTTATCAAGTTCAGACTCGATCAGAATAAGATGAATATAATCAAATGCAAACATACATCCTTTGCTAATATTTGCATAAATGTCGAACAGCTTTTTTGCACCTTTTCTCTCTGAAGTCTTGGCCAGGTTTTGTCGTTTAAAAGTGGGGTTCGCCCTGTCAGGTGTCTTTTCAGATCTGGGTTGGATTATTTGCTCTTTGGCTTTGCTCCAAGTGTTTCCCAACGGGGAATACTAGTCTGGTTATTGTAGTTATAAGCAGCATCTTGTTTCTCAGTTCCATTGGTTAGTTGTTGTTCTGATGAGTTGCTGTTTAAACCACAGGTGGGGTTATGTCAATGTTTTAAGAACCCGGTAAGGTTGACACTGGCAGGGTTTCATAATTTCCTTAATTAGCATTTACTTCCCCATTCACTTCCAGTCAGTTAATCTTCATTTCCAAGATAGCCATCCTCCTTAGAAGCTTGTAAAGTCCCGTGTGGTTAAGGTATTTTGCGCTGACTTGGAGTTGTGCTTCTCTGCATTATGTTCAAAAATAAAAAAATTTAAAGTAGTTCAGCCAGAGAATCCTGGAAATTTTTTGTTTTCTCCAGCTTTCTGTCACTTTGGCTAAGAGATAAGAAGATATAAAGTAAGAAAAAAATAAGCAAACGGGGAGTGAGTGAGAGATGCATCTGTGCAGGGAGAGGCGTGGGAGAGGAATAAGGCTTAAATGTGTGTTAAGGGACCATGATCAGAAAAGAAAAGCTAAACAACATTTGCCAGAAAAAAAAAACACATTCCTTTTAGAGGAAAGCTTTATTGTTGAAGGAGACAGATTGAACTATTTAAAGATGATATTCAATTTCAACCATATATAGGTGAAGGAAATGGCATCATGGATTGCTCTGGAGTGACTAACTTATATTGTAGAGGAAAGGGAGCACATTTTGAAGAGTCATGGTCACCACTGGCCAAATTTCTGAAAGACATCAAAGAAAATGGGAAGAAGGATGCAGATTACTGAGTTTCTTTGTGTGTGTTTTATTAATCTGTCTTTCTTTTTATGTTTGTTAATTTCAGGGATTAAATTGTTAAATACAAATCTTATGTTAAAAAAACAAACAAACCAAAAAACAAGGGTAATATTAGTCAGAGTAAGATCACTGCTTTGGATCTGTTTGGCTGCTACTGGTTCTTCTGCATTACAAAAAACACATTTATCAAAGAAAGTTATCAAAAAAACACTCTGGTATCACCTCAACTGCTAGATGGTTAAAAGGAGGAAACAATTGCATGTTTCAATATTAAAACCTATCTTTAGAGTAGATAAAATATCAATAATCAATCAGTTAGTTACAGAAAACATTTTAAAGAAGTTCTATTTCTACCAGTTATGACGTTCAAAAATATAGCACAGATAGATAAGAATTGAAATTATCATTGTTTCTTAGTAGATGTTCAGATGTACCAGCAGCAGGGTGATCAGCAAGACAAAGCACATAGAATTAGAAAAAGGAAAATTTACTTCATAGGAAAAAACATGAAAAAGAGCAAAAAAAAAGCAGAACTAAGGAGGAAATTTGGAGAAAAAAAATACACAACTTGTAAAACCACATTTGTTTTTTGGACTATTTAGGAGAGATTAGAAAGCTGTGCAATAACCGCAGGGATGTCAACACCATGTTTAATGGGAACAATAATAGAAGTAAAGCCTAAAAGCTGATTGGAGGAAGGATCTGTGATGACGTTCCAATGTGCTCCTAGGATGCAGCACTCCCTCACTAAAGGACAAAGACACAACAGAGCATGTTATTATTGGCTACTCAAAGTATGGAGTTTAAGGGGAACATTTCACCGCATGTCATCAGAGGTGTACTTATATATATGAACGTATATATTTAATTTTGAAGATGCGTATATTACAGAAAGTTCAATAAATGTATAAGTTGCACACTCTATTCAAATATTCCATTCCACCCTGGAGAAACTACGATTCAAATGCATCATGTTCTCATATTCTATATGGCATTCCAATGAAAAGTGTACAATTTTTCCCCGGCACTAAAGTACAGGGTTTGAGCTTTTATTGTTACCCCTTACCTTAGCGTAGCTTTAATTCTACAAATTATTTCTATTTTAATAGCAGTCCCTGCCACATTTAAATCGAGTTTGAAGAGCCAAGAAGTGGAAGAAGGGACTAGTGTGACTCTACACTGCGAGCTGTCAAAGAAAGGAGTCCCAATTCAGTGGCAGAAGGAGGGTCAGGTTCTGTCTGAGGAGTTAAGCCGTGACAAATACCAGATAAAGGTTGAAGGAAAGAAAGCGCTGGTAACTATTTTCAATGTGCAACTGGAAGATGCAGGGAAGTACAGCTGCATTACTGGAGATGAGAAAACCACCGCAGAAGTCAGAGTCAGACGTAAGTTTGTACATAAGAATAAACTATGAAAGCATTTACATGATGACCTGAATGATAAGAGTTGCAGCAGGTCTGTACTTTATTTTCATTTTAGAAAGAAAATGACAGTTGAACCCCCATTTCTTCTCTAAAACCCCATTACAGCGCTTCCTGTCACTTTCAAACGAGAACTTCAGAGCCTGACAGTCAAAGAAGGAGACTGTGGAGTTTTTTGCTGTGAGCTTTCCAAACCTGATGCTCCTGTGGAGTGGAGGAAAGGTAGAGTCCTGTTAAAGCCTGGAGAGAGACATGAAATGAAACTGGAGGGCCGGCTGACTAAACTGATCATCAACAAGGTGGAGGAAAGTGATGCTGGAAAATACACCTGCAAGACTAAACACAGCCAATCCACTGCAGAGCTCAGAGTCCGAGGTGAGACCAAAACCTCCATAGCTTCTGGACTTACACCAGAATACCTTCTAATAAAGATTTCATAGATTACGATGCTCTTTCTGTAAAATCAATTCACAGTGTATTCTACAGCATCACCTGAGCGCAGACGTCAAAGAGGTCAGCCTCAAAATAAAAACCAAAAATCACACTCTCTGAGTGAACTTCATTATATCTGAAAGCCATAAAAAAACAGACATTCCTTCTTCATATCTGTCACCCACCTATTTATCCAAATCATGGCTTTTTGTCACAGTGATTTGCCACCACTGTTAATTACTTCTTCCATATCTGCGGTTTCCTTGACTCATTTGTTATAATACCATTTAGAATAGTTTTAGTTGTTCATGAATTATACATGTCAAACATGGTGGATTTCAAAAATGAGACACCCTTGTTGTAAATGCCTGTTGTGAAAGATGTTAAAACAGGACCATTAGAGGTAATTTACGGTTTCAGCATTCAGTCTTGTTTGATAATCAAACAGTTTCCCATGGTGATACATCTATTAATTTAAGATGGCATGGCACTAAAATTCCAAGGCAGAAGTTTCAGATAACATTTTTGTTTTTAACATCTTTGAGGCAAAATTGATCAGAATTTAAAGCACTTTTTAAATCACCAAAACCAGCTGAAGAGAAGTAACCCCACAGTATTATGTTGCCTCCCTCATGTTTCGCCATGTTCTTTCTATTATTTTTTATTGTGGCAGAAGGCTTAACATTAAGTTTGGTTTCGTTGATCATATTATTTCTGGGAAATATTATCAGGCCAGTACTGTGTTTCTGTCAGGATTTGGTTGTGGTTTGAGGACCCAAATGCAGAGGCAGAGAGGCAGAGGTAAGTTTCTGGATTACTAATGAACTGTTAACAGACAACAGAGGCAGGAATCCAAAAAGTCAAACGTGAAAAAAAGTCAAACAAACCAGAAACCATGGAGGCATCAGGGGGAAAAAATCTCGAAGAGGAAGACTCAGTGAGACAGAGTTGGAGGAAGTTAGACGAGAAACCAGCACTGAGGAACTGCTCAAGGAGTGTATTTATGAGAGACTGAACAAAGAGAGGATTAACGAGCGGATTGGGAGCAGGTGTAAACATAGCAGACTGGAAAGGAGCTAGGGAAAAAGGAGAACACAAGAGGGCAGCAGAGTGCAACAAATAAAAAACCTAAAACTGAAAAATAACCAGAAAAAACAACAAAATGAGAATTAAACCAATAAAACTAGAAAACATGCAGCAAAGTAAAACTGAATATTCTAAAGAAAACATAAAAGAATCAAGACTGTGACAGTTTCCTTAGTAAGAAGTACTGTGTGACAGTTTTGTGTAGCTCTCTCCTGACAGATATCTTTGTGCAATAAGATCCTTTGCAGCTTCTGCAAATCTATGACTCAATCAAAAGGATGCCTGTCACAAAATGTCAGGAAAATAATTCAAAGACATCTTTATTTCATTTATCCTATGGTTTATTTTCATCAGTGTACCCAAGAAGACTGGGCGTAGAAATTGAATCAAAATATGATTTAAAATAGTAGTTGTTCAAGGGTCTGGTCTAATTGAGTTCATGCCAAACAGGTCATATGTAACTGATTGCAAAGCTTAACTTTCAAATTTATGATTTGTACTCATTTGATTTTTTTCCTTCCTTTTATGTTCCCCTTTTTTCTTTATTAACACCAGAGATTTCAACAGGGGTGTGTATATTATTGAGATCCACTGAACATTCCAGAACAATGCAAGGTTGTGCTTGGATTGTGCTGCCAGCCTGTCAAAAACTCACTCCCTAAATAATATTCTTTATTTAGTCTGGTATAAGTGGATAATATCTACTTATCGCTTAAATAGAAAGAACTCATTGTGAGCATGATATTCTACCTGAGGAAACCTTTTCCCTGAGACACCCTTCATTTCCTGTCATTACTGCATCTTTTTCATCTTGTCTGAAGTACAGCACCGTGACAAAAACTGAATATCTTAATTGTTCTTATTGACAGATCTTCCTCCAAGTTTTAAACTACCGTTAGTGAACCAGGAGGTCACAGAGGGCAACGTTGTGTCTCTGCACTGTGAGCTCAATAAGCCTGCTTCCTCTGTGGAGTGGAGGAAAGGAGGAGTGCTGCTCAAGAATGGAGACAAGTATCAGATGAGGAAGAAAGACCTGCAGGTTGAAATGAAGATTACTGACCTCACTGTTGAGGACTCTGGAGATTACACTTGTCTATGTGGAGAGGAAAGGACGACAGCTCAGATCACAGTGAACGGTGTGTAAAGCATTTCATTTTTATTTTCCTCGGTTAGGTTTATATTAGTTGATATTAATGTTTCAAAAGATATTTTCAGCATAAAAACAACAAAATGAAGAGCACTAGAGATTGCCCTGTTTTGTTTTGTTTTTATTATAACCCACACCATCCAATTTTTTCCTTATATGTTATACTTCAAAATATAAAGGAATCCGAGAAAGAATTTATAGAATGTATTCAGTTAGAAAAAATTATTTCTCCCTTTATTCGTTTTTACTGGTATTCCTTATGCAATCAATTATGCTGCTATAATGTAACTGGTCACAATTTGGGTATTTTACTTTTGTTTACTGCAGAAAGGCCGATAAAATTCATTCAAGATCTGAGAAATGTTCAAGTACAGGAGGGTAATGGAGTGGCACTCTGTTGTGAGCTCTCCAAACCAGGATACCCAGTCCAGTGGAAGAAGGAAGATATTGTTCTAACCAGCAGTGAGAAATACCAGATAAGGCAAAACGGCTCCAAAGTAGAACTTCTAATCAGGAAAAGTCTCCCAGAGGACAGCGGCTCTTATAGTTGCATTTGTGATGATCTTAAAACTATGGCCAATGTTGCAATTACCGGTGAGACACTTCACAACCATCATGAAAATAAATTATGGTGTGCACTGAGGCCTCAGTAATTTTTCTGGCTTTCTCTTCCTCAGCAATTCCTGTGACTTTCAAGCAAAAACTAAAAAACCAAGAAGCAGTGGAGGATGGCTGTTTAACATTACGCTGTGAGCTCTCCAAACCTGGCCAAGCAGTAGAGTGGAGGAGAGATGCACAGCTGCTGTTGGATGGAGAGAAATACCAGATAAAGCAACAGGGCCGATCGGCTGAGATGCTGATTAGAAATGTAACCCTTGCAGATGCAGGAGAATACAGCTGTTCTGCTGGAAATGCTGTGACTTCAGCTGACATCAAAGTTAGAGGTATGTTTTTGTTGATTCTGTAAGGGAAAATGTTGACATTTTTTTTTATCAGAGATAACTTTCTAAACTTGTTTTTCCAGCTCTTCCAGTAACATTCAAGAAAGAAGTTCAGAGTTTGGAGGTAAAGGAAGGAGACAGTGCTACTTTCTGCTGTGAGCTCTCCAAGCCCGGAGCTCCTGTCGACTGGAGAAAAGGCAGAGTGATCCTCAAGGCCGGTTATAAATATGAGATGAAACAAGAAGGAGGTCTCACCAAATTAATCATCAATAACATTGAGGAGAGTGATGCTGGGAAATATACCTGCAAAACAGAGGACAGCCAGTCCACTGCTGAGCTCACAGTCAAAGGTTAGAGGAAAGAATACAAAAATATAGTTTTTTATCAAATGTTTTTTTTCACCTCTAAAGCTGAAATACTTTTGCTTTTGTCAGTAGATGTTCTTTAAAATATATATATATGTTTTTTTGTTCAGAAAGTAGATGAAAAAAGTTCTAATATATTAGAACTTAACTAATACCTAAAAGTAGGCACGGAAGAGGAATAGGGCCACTGGAAAAAAAAAAAAAAAAGTTAACTGATTTTTACATTTTATTTCAGTTTAGTATGGGAAAAAGTCAGAATTCTGACTTTAATCTCAGAATTCTCAGAATTCTGACTTCAATCTCAAAATTCTGACTTTAATTATAAAAATTCTAACTTATTTATTGTCAGAATTCAGTCAAAATTCTGAGAAAAACGTCAGAATTCTGAGATTAAAGTCAGAATTCTGAATTTTCCCACACTAAACTGAAATAAAATTTAAAAATCAGTTAACTTTTTTTTTTCCAGTGGCCCTAATCCTCTTCCGTAAGTAGGTATGGGGTGTACTCTATTTTAATTTGTTTTTTTGTTTTTTTTTTGCAAGAAAGAGGGGCATATGCAAATTTTAAACTTGATTTAAACATATAATACAACTTAATAATAAGTACATAATTTCTTCCTATTGCAGCTCCTCCTGTAACATTCAAAACAAAGCTAAAGAACCAGCAGGCGGAGGAGGAAAACAGTGTGACGTTGAGCTGCGAGGTGTCAAAGCCCGGCCTTGCTGTAGAGTGGATGAAAGGGAAAGAGCTGCTGAAGAGTGATTTTAAATACCAGATTAAAAACCGTAACATCAACATGGAGCTCACCATCAAAAATGCACAGCTGGAGGACAGTGGACTTTACAGTTGTATTTGTGGAGATGTTAAGACCACCGCACATGTCACAATCACACGTAAGAAATAAACATCATGAGGTTAGAAAACTGATTTGCTGTCAGATGTTAGAAAAAATATCTTGATCATCATAAAAATCTGTAAAAAGTCTTTAAAACTGCTTGTAAAAGCTCAGATAGAGGAGGCTTTATTCTGCTTTCATGAAAGTGAGGAATTTCTCTCTTATTTCAAAGATTATCTAAAAAACCAACAAGTGATTATACTTTTTGGCTCCGTACTAAAATTGGGCCAAACAGACCCCCATCATGTTTACATGAAAATGCAATGTTAGCATTTTTACAGCATTATGCACTGTGCCCACCCTCCTCAGACAGCCTTTAACACAGTGGCTTGAAATCAGTTATTCTATTAGAGGAGCTGTTGGATCACAGGATTTACTGGTTGTTGCGTACAGTATGCTTCTGTAACATAAAACACTGATACAATGATGGTAATTAATGCTCTAAAAATGTAAATTATTGATGCATGGTACTTAAATATATTAAGATTGCCTTTCCTTGGTAAACCTAAATAAGAATTGTGTTCAAAGCTTGACCAATTGGACCCGTCAGTGTTTATCACAGCAGACTTACAACTTAAAGTTACAGTGGAGGATTATCGCAGATTTTTGAAAAGATCTGCCTTCTACACATTAAAAAGAAATGCACATAAACAACCCTGTACCTGCTCCCGAGAATGTCTCTTAAACTTGTAAGAGAGCATGCACAAGCCCTTTTCTCCTTGTGCACGCTCTGTTTAATAGTTGCTATTTGCATCGCTCATAAAAGCTTACTTTACAAAATAAGATTTGCTTTTTTTTTACTATGTCCGACTCACCACCGGTAAGTGAAAATGTGAACGAGCATGTAGGACGGCCTTACATAGACATATCACCAGAATGATTGACAATTAGGAGGACCACTTATTTTGATGATCCACCTCGAAAAAGAACATCTTCCACTATACCTTTAAGGAGAGGATATTCTTACTATAGTATTTGAGAAAAGGAAAAGAGAGATATAGATAGATATTTAGTTTAGTATAAGCTACAGGGACTATAGGGTTTTTTTTGTGCAAACTGATACAATTAAACATATATAAGTCAGACATTTTAGACAGCAGCAGGAGCATTATTCGCTTTTAGTTCTAAGATATTTAAAATAATTGTCACAAAGGTTGTATTCTGAATCCTATATTCTTTTAAAGTTTTAAATGACCAACTTTTTTTGTCATAATCAATAATGCAGTGGTTGTGTGAATTTATATTTTTAATTTTATACATCCCCAGCCATTCCTCTCACTTTTAAAATGGGCCTGAAGAACCAGGAGGCTCCAGAGGGAGGGAATGTGTGTTTGCGCTGTGAGGTGTCCAGGGCCGGGGTGCCCGTGCAGTGGTGGAAAGGGGACGACCAGCTCTGCCATGGAGGGAGGTTCCAGATGGCACAGAGAGGGAAGGAAGCTGAGATGACCATCAGAAACATACAACCAGAGGATGTTGGAGAGTACAGCTGCGTCTTCGGGGGTCAGAAGACAACAGCTGAAGTCAACGTGAGAGGTGAGGGAAATTTCATAATATGAAATGAATATTAAACGTTTGGTTGAGAATTCACATTTTTTATTCATTTTGTGTTTGACAGCTGCAGCATCTGTGTACTTTGAGAAGGAACTAGAGAGCCAAGTGGCAATGGAGGGAAAATCTGTTTTGATGTCCTGTGAAGTTTCCAGCGCTAATGTTCCAGTCACTTGGAGGAAAGACAGCGCTGTGGTTGAAGACGGATTGCATTATATACTAAAAAAGAAAGGTCCTTTGCACACTTTGGAAATAAAGAAACTGGAACTGGCTGATGCTGGAGAGTACTGCTGCATCAGCAGAGGCAAGAAGACCACTGCAAAGCTGATAGTGAGGGGTAGGTGAATGTAACAGTAAATTTGTATCTAATGTTTTAAAACTTTTTTCTAATTTGAATATTGATAGGATCCTTTGAGTATACAGACTTCTGTTAAAATTCTCAGTTTCTTTGTAAAAAACAAAACACCATGATTAAGTTAGCAAAACATGTTCCTGTCATGATTTTCTTAAGAGATCTGACCCACATGCAGTAAACTACTCAGAACCATGGCAAAAGTTATAACAGGTTTATTGATAAGGACAGCGGGGGTTTGATTCAGGAAACTCAGTGTGTTTGTGAACCGGAACTGGAAGAGAGAAGGGAAGTATCAGCGGTTAGTTCAGGATCTGTGGGAATTTTGAGCGATGGCTGAAGAGACAGAGAAAATGTGACTCAGGTTAGTGGAGAAGTATTTCTTCCCAGAATCCAGTAAGTGTGGGTTTATCCAGAGGTAGAGACTCGTTGGAGGGCTGACAGGTATAGACTGGGTTGGATCCTGAGGAGCTATTGAGCGGACTGTCACTTGGGAATCCTGGAGGGCTTGAACGGAACTTGTGGAGATTAATCACCTGCTCAGTGTGAGACTCAAACAATCCTTCCAGGGGAAGAAGGCCAAACATCCAGCTTGCAGGAAGGCTTTCCTGCCGAAAAGGCAAAGACAAAAACAAGGTTAGGCTTAGTGTAAACAAAGACTAACTTAGACTCAGCTAAACTCAGCTTGGCTAGAGTACCCAAAACTGGCAAACACTCTGGCGTCAAGGTAGTGACAGTCCACCGCTCAAATAGTCCTCAGTAATGAGCCAACCAGCCGCAGGTGTGTGGGAGGACCAACGAGAACAGGGCGCCACCTGGTGGTGGAGGTAGAGAACAACACAAAAACACAACCCACACAAACTGGATTCCTAACAATTCCACCTTTAATGTGTCCAACATTCTGTGTATTTTAGCCTTAAACAATTAACTCTGATAAGTAGAAAACCTAAAAGATTTTAAAAAGCTACAATATCCTTGTGCAGAAGCTTAAACATTTGCTTTGTTTATGAGTCGTTTGATCTGACAGCAATGACTTATTATGAGAGAAAGAAAACATCCAGTTCTGTTTAAAATCTGCCAGAAGCTAATGGGTAAATATGACATCAAACTTGAACTTACTGCTCTGATTTAAAAAAACAGAGTTTTTGGCAAAGCAATACCAACAGAGCCTTATATCCACAGAATAACAGTGGCATCATGGGCTTCCTTTTCTTTAGATGGGTTTTTTTTCAAAGCAAAATCTATTACAACCTGTTTCAAAAACTACTCAAATGTAAACCAAAATATTCAGGTGTGTTTAAGAAAATTTTGTAGGGAGCATTGTTTGCAGTTATGTAGTTACAGAATAATATATTAATGACATTTTTTAACTGCTTTAGGTTTCGTTGCATGCAATCTAACATGGTGGATACGGCAATTTGATCCATTAAAGAAATCTCTGCTGCTGGACCGGACTGCTTTTAGTTTTTATCCTGGGATGGTGCATGCACCATTTATAAGGCCGATTGGCGAAGGAGCCATAATTAGAGTGGATGTCCATCATGCATTGATTGCTCTAAGAAACTCAGAGGAAAGATGCAAGGTGAGGGTAGAGAGCGCTGCAAATTCAATGATAGTGAACCGGACACACTCCCTAAAGTCAAAGGTCAAATGTTCCAGTGATTTACCCACAATATGTTTGGCGACAAAAACTTTAGCTACATGAGTTATAAAGCAATTCTAATTTATTGAAGATTCTTGCACCATCTCACTTTTCAATAATACTTACTTAAAACTGGCAGCCAGTTTATCAACATATACTACTCTGTTATTCTTCAGAGTTAAGCTTTATTTATGCAAATGGTTTACTGCTTTGATTTACTGTGAAACACTGGATATAGATGTTGGTCGTCTATTAAATGTTATTATAAAGATAATTTTTTCTTCTACAAAGTGCTGAAAAAGCATTATTTCTTTTTTTATAGCCATTTACCAGTACCAACATTAAAAAAATAATAGGTTCTTAAATATTTAACTTCCTTGTTCTTTTTTTTATAAACATTGAACATATATATCATGAAATATATTGTTATTGTGTGTCTTGCTTCATTATTGTTATTTAATTGATGATTAAATTTAGGGCTGAATAATAATTAATTATTAGTCATTTTTGACTAAAATGAAAACTGCAATTTTCAACCAAAATTGCGAATGGGATTTTTGCTTTACCTCTAAACTACTAGACACAAGCATGTATATGATTCGCTCCTGAGTTTTTGTTTTTGTCATGACTTTAAAAGCTTGCCTGTCCAAAGTCGATTGTCATAGGACTTTACTGTTACTGTTGTGCAGAAAAGGCAACAGTAAAGTTACTGCTGCATGCATGGATGCTAACAGAACCCTCTCTTTTTCTTGTGTGTGGAGAAAAACCCACTTTAACTGTATTACCACCACGTAAAGGGCTGAAAAAAGTCAGTCTTACTCCTGCTAAATGTAAAGTAACCAAAATTTTGTCTTTCTTGGTTTTGAAGACTGTGTTTTGTTAAATTGATTATATTGCAGTATAATTAATTGTTCATCCCTAATTCAAATGATCAATTCATAAAAGAAACACTTAATCTTTAATAGCTGAACTTCAAGCTGTATTTAAAGTTCAGATAAAAATTAATTGACTCAAATTCATCAACATTTTACATCATAAGCAATAAATACATAGTTACTTTGCCTAGGTAACTAGTTGCTTTGATTGTGCAGTAACTGAGTTGCTTACTTAGTTACTTTTGTTGAAGTAATGTTAAATACTTTTCCCAGCACTGATGGAGAGAGATACTTTTTTTTTCAGCAGAAACTGATTTCTAAATTACAAATCACAAATAATAGCCTTATAAAAGCTTATATAAAGCCAAGAATTAGACCCGATAGAAATCTGTGGTCACTTGAGAGGGCTGTGGAGATATTCTTATATCCATATAATATGATAGCTCTGGAGAACATTACCCCACTAAGGTGCAACTTTACAAAATTCAATTAAGTTTATTAATTTGTTTTAGGTTGAACTATCTACGTTACATATTACACATTTCTTTTAATCATTTTCTATGACCTAACTTGCTTTACACCCTGGGATTATTGCATTTTAGCAGGCATTTCAAGGAGATCTTTTCTCGAAGCAATCGTTCTCATTGATATTCCAACTTGCAGAACTTTTTCAAAAGCCCGCTGAGTACTGCTCCTCTTTCTCCACAGAGCGCATCAGGATTGTGAAAGGGCTGCATGACTTAACAGTGACAGCTGGAGAGGACGCTGTGTTTGTGTGCGAGCTGAGCCATGCAGATGTGAGCGAGGGCACCTGGTGGCTTGGTTCGAGCCCTCTGCAGAAAAATGAGATGAACCAGATGACCTGCCATGGCCGCCAGCACCGTCTGGTCCTCACCATGACCACTCCAGAGGAGACGGGTACGGTAGCATTTGTGGTAGGGGAGGAGAGGACATCTGCAAAACTGCTTGTTGTCCCCAAGCCAAAAGGTGAGTAGAAAAGTTAGAAGAAATTAAAACTTGAATATGCAATTTCCATCTGACATTTTAACAATAAACACTGACTTCAAATTCTAGTTCTATTTGAGGAGAAACCCAAAGACTCTGTGGTGATGGAAGGAGAGACAGCTATCCTTTCCTGTACCACAACTGACTGCAACACCTGGGTTACTTGGAAGCGCAGCCATATCCCACTACGAAGTGGTGATAAATATGAGATGCGTAAGGAGGGTAAAGTAAACCTGCTGCTGATCCATGATGTTGAGCCCCAGGATACTGGCTTATACTCTTGTGATACAGGCGACATGCAGAGCCATGCAAAACTAACTGTAACCGGTAATTATTTTCCTTTCTTTTCAACAGGTTTAAGCTTCCGTTTTCATTTAGTGGTCTTTTATTCACCTAATTTTGCTCTTTTATATTACAAAGACTTTTAATTTGGCATTTTTTCCCAGAACTTCCACCATTCTTTCAAGAAGAGTTGCAAAGCATAGAAGCGGAAGAAGGAGGCTCAGCCTTCCTGTACTGTGAGCTGTCTAAACTAGGAGTGCCGATTCAGTGGAAAAAAGACGGGCTGCCATTAAGAGCCAGCAGGAAGTATGAGATGAGGCAGGATGGCTGCTTCGTCCAGCTGTACATCAAGGAGCTCAAGCTTGAGGACAGTGGGAGCTACTCATGTCAAGCAGCAAAAGCAGAAACAGTGGCAACAGTTTCAGTCAGAGGTGTGCCAATCTTTAACAGTTTTGGGTTTGTAATCCAACGCTGGGAGGAATTTAAATTTCTGCTATCTTGTGTATTTTGCTCTACAATCTTATCGCAGAGACACCTCCATTCTTCAAGAAAGTATTAAAAAGGTTGGAGGCTGAGGAAGGAGGCGCAGCCTTACTGCAGTGTGAATTATCTAAGCAAGGAGTATCTGTGCAGTGGAAGAAGAATGGACTTCCCCTTAGAGAGAGTAGGAAGTACCAAATGAAGGAAGATGGCTGTCTGCTCCAGCTCCACATCAATGAGCTCAAACTTGAGGACAGCGGCAGCTACACGTGTCAGGCAGGAAGCACAGAGACAACTGCTAATGTGACAGTCAAAGGTGATAATCAGGGAGAATTTAAAGGCTGTTGTATATGTAAAATATAATAATATTTACTAATTTTCATCACATTAAATTTTTTTTATTTTAATCATCTAATATCTTTCCCAGAACTCCCACCATTCTTCAAGAAGGATCTGCAGAACATTAAGGCAGAAGAAGGCAGTACAGCCTCTCTGATCTGTGAGGTTTCTAAACCTGGAGTGCTGGTTCAGTGGAAGAAGAACAAAATACCTCTCAGATCCAATAAGAAGTATGAGATTAAGCAGCAGGACTGTGTACTACAGCTCAACATCAAGGATGTGCAACTGGAGGACAGCGGCTGCTACACTTGCCAAGTAGGAGGAACAGAGACAAGCGCCTGTGTCTCAGTAAAAGGTTAGTTCGTTTTTGAAAAAAACCTTTCCTCAATACAACAGGAAATAAACAAAACTCTATAATCACACAACAACGTTAACGCCGGCTTTTCCTACTATACCAGGTCTGTCTCTTTCTTGTTTTAATCATTGTTTATATCCTTAGAGCTCCCCCCATTCTTCAAGGACATTTTGAAAAGTCTGACTATTGATGAGGGAGATACAGCCTCCCTGTGCTGTGAGGTATCCAAGCCAGGGTTACCAGTACAGTGGAAGAAGAACAGGCTGCCACTGGGAGCAAACAGGAAGTATGAGATGAAGCAAGATGGCTGCTTCCTCTATCTTTCCATCAAAGATGTCACACCTAAGGACAGTGGCAGCTACTCATGTGAAGCTGGAGCTGCAGAAACAACTGCAACTGTGACAGTGAAAGGTTGGAAAAACCACAAAAGAACATTAAATCAGGAATAATTATTTAGTATATGGAAATATATGTTCACCCATGTCCATTTTTCCAGAACTCCCTCTGATTTTCAAAAGAGAGCTAGAACGTGTGGAGGCTGAGGAAGGTGGATCAGTGTCTCTGTGCTGTGAAGTGTCCAAAGCTGGAGCGCTTGTGCAATGGAAGAAAAACAAGAGGCCCCTTAGAGCCAGCAAGAAGTATGAGATGAAGCAGGAAGGCTGCCGCATGGAACTTCATATTAATGATGTCCAACCTGAAGACAGTGGGAGCTACTCATGTCACGCAGGACCTGCAGAAACCAATGCAACAGTATCTGTTAAAGGTTTGTTTGCTCCCAGAGCTTTAGAGATTACTTTGATGCACAGTTGTGTTTCTAGAAAACTGCAGAGAATCTACTAGGCAGCATGGCTGGTTTGGGGCGACTGCTTAGGGCCCCAAACCAGCAAGGAGCCCCATCTGTGAGGAGACACCTCTACCCTTAAGATATGTATGTATGCATATAATAAAATACTTAAGATTTAGCATCAAAACAATGACAAAAAATCGTGACTCCAAAAACCATCAACTTCCGCTCTTCTCTTTCCATATGAAAGAATACAGTGATTCTTCCAATCTCATAAAACATCCAGAGATGCAGTGTGGAGCAGCAGGAGATATCAGAAAGGAGGATGAAGCACAGTTATGAATGCAGAGTTGAAAATAAGGAAATAAAATAAACTGTAACCATAAAATAACAATATTGGCATAAACATGTTTTCTGAATAGCCCCAGATCTGATGAAAGAAGACCCATATGTCTGTTTAGAAAGATACATTGGGCCCCAATATTACATCAAATTTAGATATGTTTTTTCATGAAAAGCTAATTAGATTCATTTGATCATATTTCATAAAATGCTACCCGCTCCACCCTAGCTGGACAATAATTGGTAAGATAAACAAGACAGACATAAACGGTATTTTGTGAACACAAGGCACAGCGATTTCACAACTCCAATATGAGCACACGTGGTCCTAACATTCAGTCTGTCTATCCTTTAATTGCCAAAACTGCTGTTCAGTCCATGGATGTTGACCTGCCTCGTGTATTAGATGAGAAATAGGGGTGAAAAAAATGAAAACAACAACCAAATAACAGGGGAATGTGGCTGATCTCTGAACAGCCGCGATGCCATCCATAGACTTGAAGCCCGGCGCCTGTTTGCGCCAAGGAACAGAAAGAAAATAGTTTAACCAAAAGAAAGTTAAAAATTAAACTCACTCAGCCCAGGAAAAAAAAAGTAATTTACAGCTAAGTATCTTATCTAATTACTTAACTTATTATAATGTGAGGTGAAGGTTCCCTCTATTAGGCATCATGAGGGGCAGAGAGTAGATGAACATTACCTGCAAGAGCTGCAATAACAGCTCTGGTTGTGACGGTAAAACATAGAAATCCTTTCTGGTTGCTTCTAGCTGGATTTGCATCAAAATAAAAAAAAACATCTGACCCTTAGTTTAGTCAAAATTTAAACTTTTTACTCTTAATGTGTAGAAATACCCTAAAGGTCCTTAAGATCGTCAAATGGCTGCAATCAGTGGCTGCAGGACTACATGCTGACAAAATAAGTGTTGCTCAATAAAATGGGGAAATTTTACATACCGGTAGTTGCTGGTGTCATCTTCTGTATTGATTCTCAATATTGCTTACGGTGCACAAAGAAATGACTAGCCTAATAGCAATTAATCATTAATCAGTTCCCTCATTTGTTTACTTTTTTACTTTTCTGTACAATATGTGCAATATATAAAATGATAAATTAAATGAATTAAGCCAATATACAGTTTCAATCAAATGAAAACATAAACACTTTTTTATGTTTATAGTTCTAAATAACTATAATATTATTAATGATAAAAAAAAAATAGACTATCCAAAAAATGTCCAGGATGAATCTCTACATTGAATTTAAGCCCCAAAAGGTTACGCCTTCTATCTATACAGAAAGTATTTTATAGATACTACAGATGCTGTAATCAGTGTTAATCAAATCTCTCATCCTAAATAAAATAATTAAATGTGTTTTTAGGACATTGCTGTTTGACAAAGATTCTATGTGAGTATTTGAGATTGTCTGAGTTTAAAAACTTTCTCTCATTAGAATGATCAAAAATTCAGATTAATATTTTTCTAAATAAACCAGAAGCCTCCTGATTATCAGTGACATTTTTTTCCATCTTTAGCTACTTTTAAAAATAGTAAAGAAAAAAAAATTTAGTTTTTTTTTTAAACTTACTTGTTTTCATTAACATAAATTTACACCAAAGTATTATTGCTGAAATAATATGTGAAAATGTATTTTCTTATCAATGTTTTTTATAATTGTAATGATGGGTTTCGGATTCAAGTCCATATGCAGAAACACAACCAGGAGGCAGGGAAAAAGTTCGAAGGTTTAATAAATAATGAGAACAAATACAGGTCAGGGGGTAATCAGGTCCAGGGCTGGTCACGACTGGGTTTACTGTTCTGGAGGTTGAGCAGAGCGGCAGAAGGGGGAACCAGGAGGGTTCACAGGCTGGCGGCAGGCTGAGGGCTTGGTGGAGGCTGAGCTTAGTTTAGAGCTTGTAGATCACCAGGTTTGAGTTTCTCTTCCAGATTCTTCAGGGAGCAGGCTAGCAGATCTTTGGCAGGTTTGGTTCTCCTGGATTCTTCTGAGATCAGACAGACAGATTTCCAACAGAGAAACTCTTCAGGGAGTTTCTGGTTTCAGACAGGTTCAACCTGGGAAGCAGAGAAGACAAAATGGATCAGGTTCAGGTTTCGCAGTAAGGAGACTAGACAGACAGGTTGACTCAGGGTTTGCTGTACCGTAACTGACTAACCCCAGGCTCACACCGACTCCGGTCTTACTGTTGCGGTGCGGTGGGTGCGGCGCCGCAGTGATTCCAAGTAATTAAAAAGACGTAAACCTCTCTCACCGGCTGCTGAGCTGTCCGGCTGCGGTTACCGAGACACTCCGGCGCTGCAGAAAATTCCGCAAGAAAGCTATCCTTGCGGCGTGCCGGAGCCCTCCGCAACAAGCTCTCGCAAATATCCTTATTTGGGCCGTGTTATCGCGTGAAGTTACGTGAACTCAAGTGAACTTCTGTTAAATCTCCGGACCTGTTGCCGGAGCCGCAGAGCCGCACCGCACCGTAGTCAAAAGGGCGGTGTGAGAGGGGGTGTGCAGGAGTTGCGGTCTCCGTCGGCTCGGTAACCGCACCTGAGCCAGTGTGAGCAAGGGGTAAACACTCTGGCGCCGGAGTGAGGTCCTCAGCCCACTTAAGTACTGGTCTCCTAATGAGCAGATGAGGAACAGCTGGTGAAGTCAGCTCCAGCTTCAGGAGATCCCGTACGCCCTCTGGTGGAGAAAGATAGACAGAACCCCAGATCCCAACAGTAAAACAAACCCTCAGGAAGGGATCCTTGGTGCCCCCAGGTGGGCAAGCCTCAGGATCCCAACAATAACAAGTATATTGTGTATATCTTCTTTAAAGAGGGGAGATAGAGGGATATTTCACCGTCTTCATCCCCTCTATTAAGAAGCTAAAAGCTCCACCTCCTACTGTACAAAGAGAAGCAGTGTTTCCAATTTAGACACATCACCCATGGTGTATTAAGACTTGGGGTGCATGCCCATTGAATAACAGCTGTCAACAATATTTGTTATTGGGTGCAATTGGGAATTTATTTGAGGGAATAGGAAAAGCAGCCGGGCTGCTCTCTGGTTAACAGTACTGCAGCATGGACACTGTGGTAGATCAACATGATCTGTGACGCTCAGGGCCGACTGGGGGGTGAAGACTGATTTGGAGGAGGGTCCGCTGTCTGAACTTCGCCTGGGTCCCCAAAATAGCAAAGCCCGCCACTGCTGGGAAGGATAAAAAATAATATATTTGCCAGCTGTGGCAATATGTCCTTAAGTTAATTTCATATTTGCAGACAAATCAGCAAGATTTTAAACTTTTTGAAACATTTTACAGAATGTCCAGTTTTCTTCATGAAACAATTACAAAACATGGATGGAGAGGAAGGAGGCACCGTCTCTCTGTACTGTGAACTTTCCAAATCTGGTATTCCTGTGATTTGGAAGAAAAACAAATTACCAATGAGAGCCAGCAAGAAATATGAATTCAGACAAGAAGGCTCCGTTGTTCAGCTTCATATTAAAGATCTGAAACCTGAGGACAGTGGCACCTACTCATGTGCAGCAGGCAGCGTGGAGACGACTGGGGCCGTCTCTGTAAAAGGTGTGTTAAACTGTAAATGTAAAAAAAAAATTCTATTATTTCTACATATTCTTACATATAATGACTACATCTGCTGTATGTGATGTTTAACTGTATCCTCAGAGACGCCTCCATTTTTCAAGAAAGAATTGAGAAGTTTGGAGGCTGAGGAAGGAGGGGCAGCCTTACTGCAGTGTGAATTATCTAAACCAGGAGTGTCTGTGCAGTGGAAGAAGAATGGACTTCCTCTTAGAGAGAGCAGGAAGTACAAAATAAAACAAGACGGCTGCCTGCTCCAGCTCCACATCAATGATCTAAGACTGGAGGACAGCGGCAGCTACACATGTCAGGCAGGAGATATACAGACAGTGGCTGACTTAATAGTAAAAGGTTTGTTCCTTTAGAGGTCAGCTTTGTGCATATCTACCTATCATTATGATAAGGCTAATATAAAATCATGTGTTCCATTATTGCATTAGGTGTTAGAGGTATTTTAAAAATTAGGAAAATACTGCTTTATACGAGCTCTTATAATCAGTGCTAAGCTGTAAAAGAAGTAAAGAAGCTTTGAAGGTAACATGGTTAATAATGTTACCTTCTAATGCATGAGACAACAAAAAATACAATTTTCAGAAATTGTAATTTAAAAAAAATATAAGTTTAAAACTTATTTATACAAGGTACAAGACAGAAAACTCACATATAAAATGCAAGTAATGAAAGCTATAGCAAATATTAAAAAAAAAGTTAACTATATATTTTAATTTCTTATATCAGGTTAAGATGTGGTGTTTTAGTCCAGAAGTTCTGAGTATAGTCCACAAAAAGATGCCATATATGAGGTTTGATTAATAAGCTTTTTTTTTTAAATCCGTTCGAACTTTGTAATATTTTCCCAGAACTCCCACCTTTCTTCAAGAAGGATCTGCAGAACATCAAGGCAGAAGAAGGCAGTACAGCCTCTCTGATCTGTGAGGTTTCTAAACCTGGAGTGTTGGTTCAGTGGAAGAAGAACAAAATACCTCTCAGATCCAATAAGAAGTATGAGATTAAGCAGCAGGACTGTGTACTACAGCTCAACATCAAGGATGTGCAACTGGAGGACAGCGGCTGCTACACTTGCCAAGTAGGAGGAAAAGAGACAAGTGCCTGTGTCTCAGTAAAAGGTTAGTTCATTTTGCAAAAAACCTTTCCTCAATACAACAGCAAATAATCAAAACTATAATCACACGACGTTAACGCCGGCTTTTCCTGCTATGCCAGGTTTGTCTCTTTCTTGTTTTAATTATTGGTTATATCCTTAGAGCTCCCCCCATTCTTCAAGAACATTTTGAAAAGTCTGACTATTGATGAGGGAGATACAGCCTCCCTGTGCTGTGAGGTATCCAAGCCAGGGTTACCAGTACAGTGGAAGAAGAACAGGCTGCCACTGGGAGCAAACAGGAAGTATGAGATGAAGCAAGATGGCTGCTTCCTCTATCTTTCCATCAAAGATGTCACACCTAAGGACAGTGGCAGCTACTCATGTGAAGCTGGAGCTGCAGAAACAACTGCAACTGTGACAGTGAAAGGTTGGAAAACCCACAAAAGAACTGCTCAGTCAGAAAACTCTTCATTGTTTAGTGTATGGAAATAAATGTTCACCCATGTCCATTTTTCCAGAACTCCCTCTGATTTTCAAAAGAGAGCTAGAAAGTGTGGAGGCTGAGGAAGGTGGATCAGTGTCTCTGTGCTGTGAAGTGTCCAAAGCTGGAGCGCTTGTGCAATGGAAGAAAAACAAGAGGCCACTAAGAGCCAGCAAGAAGTATGAGATGAAGCAGGAAGGCTGCCGCTTTGAACTTCATATTAATGATGTCCAACCTGAAGACAGTGGGAGCTACTCATGTCACGCAGGACCTGCAGAAACCAATGCAACAGTATCTGTTAAAGGTCAGAAATCTTGCAAGATTTAAAGCATTGTTAATTATTTTAGTCAGTGAAAAGTATATGTTAGTTAGTTGTTATGACTGCTTTCTCTGTTAGAGAATTCTTACTTTAGGAAATATTGAGACTGTAATTTGTATTCCCATTACTACACCCAATGAATTTTCTTTCTTTCACAGAACTCCCTTTATATTTCATAAAGGAGTTGCAAAATATGAATGCTGTAGTGGGAGGGATTATCTCTTTGTGCTGTGAACTCTCCAGACCTGGGGTTTCAGTGGTTTGGAAGAAAAACAGGCTGCCCCTGAGAGCCAGCAGGAAGCATGAGATAAAACAAGATGGTCGTCTCTATCAGCTTAACATCAAAGACCTCAAACCTGAGGACAGTGGCAGCTACACCTGCCAAGCAGGGAGTGCAGAAAGTATTGCAAATGTGGCGGTTCAAGGTAGGGTTTATTGGTTTAAACATTGGGCATTTATGCACTTGATAAGACATTCTTAATGTTTTGCTGTTGGTTACAAAGACCTTCACTCAGATCTATTTCTGCAAACTTGTAGTGTTACTCTGAGAAAATGTTGGATTTACCTTTTTACCAGATAAATATAAATAAAATTAGATATAATAAATGACTTAGCAAGCTAAAAAAAAATAAACCTTTGAAAGGAATATTTGTTTCAAACACAAATAAATTGTTTGGGATATACAGAGTAGAGCCCCCCTTTTAGAAATATTATTAAATGATGATAAGAATATCATAGGTAGAAATTCTGGAGAATTATTACTGGTTATGCAAGCTGTAGGATGTTATTTATCTGCATGCATTTTATGACTTATAACACCTAAGGCACATACTGCCAAAAATATATGTCATCCAACACGATGAAAATGCTGTCTATTATGATGAAGATTAACTGACCACAGTATGTTGAATGCTTGAATAGACGATACTTCATCTGCTTTCTTACAAATGTGGCTATTTCTTATCTAACCACTTAGGGAACTTTGAGCATAACATTTTATTCCTAGGCACTCATTACATTCTTAGATATAAAAGAGAACTATGAGGAGACAGTGATGCCGAAAGAAAACTGAACATTACAAATTGCTTTAAAGTACATTTTGCATGCTGTAAAGATGTGGGAAATCGTGATATTTTATAGAATTTTCCTCATTCTCTAATGTTCACATCCCAAAAGCTTGATAACTCTAGTTTAACTTAATGAACTGTTACTGCTAACAAATATTTAAAAAAGTATGTGTGTCTGAATTTTAGAGAGATGTGATAGCAAATACTGAACACAAGAAAGATAAAGCTTAGAAAATACACTAGCCCCTTTATTTGACACTGTATATTGATTATTCCCATCTGATTTTGTTCCATTTAGAGTGCGCTATATTGTTCATCAAAGAATTACAAAGTTTGGAGGCTGAGTCTGGCAGTGCAGCCTCTTTGTCCTGTGAGTTATCAAGACCTGCAGTGTCTGTGCAGTGGAAGAAGGATGCTTTGTCTCTGAGACCCAGTGAGAAGTATGAGATGAAAAAGGATGGATGCTTTCTGCAGCTTAACATCAACAGGCTTAATTCAGAGGACAGGGGTAGATACTCTTGTCATGCCGGAGATATAGAAACCTCTGCAACATTACAAATAAAAGGTCTGTACATCTTTATTTTTACCTTACCTTTATCAGATGATTATTTTATTGATGATACTATTCTTCCTTTTGTAAAGCACCACAACTTGATGTACTTGAGGCTAAATCTATAACAGCACCAGAGCACGTGAGAGGCACCGTGTCTAAACCAGCACCTGCTTCAGAGAATGAAAGGCCAAATGTTACACAGAACAACCCAGTTCCCCCAGAGCCCAAAAAGAGAACTAATAGGAAATCATCTATTACTACTTTAGAAAAAGACAGAGAGGAATCTTTTGGCCTAAAGGTGCCTGTGCAGAATGTCAACAATGAAGTCCAAAAGGATATCCAACATGTGAGAGCTATAGAAAAACACTTTGATGTTGCCCAGGATGGAACAAACATGGAGAGGAATGAAGAGAAAGCGAGGGAGGTTCACAAGCAAGAGATTAAGCCGGTTCAACTACCAGGGAGGGATTACAAGGTTGACAGGAGAGTTGAAGAAGCTTCACCTTTGGGTACAGAAAAAGATCGAATGGAAAAAAGCCAACTAGAAGAGAATGTGGGAAAAGTTATTCAAGTCGGTCCTCAAGTAGATCAGTCAGAAAGGCTTGTGGACAATAAAGCTGTTGAACTGAAAGAGACTGAAAAGGGATGTGAAGTTAAAAAGGAGTTGAAACAAGTGAAATCATCAGATGAATCAAATGAAGCCAAGCATAAGATAACACAGCAAGCAACAACGATTTGGCGAAACAGTGAAGGTGAAAAACATGTAGAAGAGAAGCTTAAAGGGAGCGAAACAACTAACAGCGATGTTAGGCTATCAGATAACAAAGGTGTAAGAGAAGAGGAGCCTTCAAAGCCTCCAGTACGATCTAAGCCAAAGGTAGCAACTGGAGAGCAACCAATCAAGTCTATTACCAAAAGAACAGAGGGCACAATTCCTAAGCTAAGCAAGACTGCTTCAAAAGATATCGAAGACCATAAAGAGATGAGAGAAAATGGACAAAAGTTTGCAGAGGATGTATTTACACAAGCACGCACAATAAACCAGCTTGAGAAACACTCAGTAGAAGAACCAAAAAAGGTGGATGCAGTAACCCCTCAGTATACAGCTCCAAAACCCCCTGAGAGGAGAAAGAGCAAAGCAAAAATAGAAATGGAAAAACAAATTTCAAGGGATACAGAGACAGATCAGGATTATACACAGCCTAAAAGTATAGCAGGAAGGTCAACGCAAGAGCAGCCAAAAACTCAGCCAAAACCGCCGATGGAAAAAGATTTTAAAGAGACTTCAAGATTGGACAGAAACAAGTCTGATACGGCTGATAGGCAAATAGTTGATAAATTCAAGCAACCAATAACCCAACCAGTAAAACCAATCAAGAAAGAGCCTGATTCAGTTATAGAAATGAAACAAGCTGTTGAGCCAATGAGAAGAGAGGAGGAAACACAACCTGCATTAACAGAAGCAGACATTCCTCTGCTCTACATTTCGGAGGAAGAAACATTTTCAGAGGCCTTAAGTGAGCTTCCTCCTTCCCACCTCCGACCTGCTGTGCCTCATACACAAACTGCTCAGCTTTCTATTCAAGGCATAGAGCCGCTAGAACCTTCTCTCATGGAGCTGGACATCAACATGGGGGATGAACCCCAGATGCAAGAAGCTGCCGTTAAAATTCAAGCAGTATTCAAAGGCTACAAAGCTCGGAAAGAAATGCGACCAGTCTTCAAGGAGGTGTTCAAGAACCAGAAGGCAGATCTTCATGGCACGCTCTCATTAAAATGTGTCATTGATGGAAAACCCAGTACTGTGCGCTGGCTGAAAAACGGCCAACAACTTATAAATGATCCTCGATGCCAGATTAAAACTGCTGAAAATGGAGAATGCACTCTTGTGGTTAAAAACTTAAATGACAGCGACAGTGGAGTTTATACCTGTGAGGCGGTGAATAAGTTTGGGACAACCTCCTATAATGGAAATATAACTATAGTGAAGACTCTACAACCTGTTCCCACTGCCCAGAAGCCTATACACGCACCACTTGCAGCCATATCTCCTTTGCAGCTTGCTCCACAAAGGCCTGAAGCCCAGGATATGACACAAAGACAAACACCAACAGCTGCACCTGCAGACACTGACAATTATGTAGAAAGTGTAAGTGTCTCTATGTGGGATGCCTACATCCTGACAGAACAGGACAATCAGAAACGCCTGCAGGAGAGAAGAAGATCCTCACTCATTGCAGTTAGCTCCTGTAAGTACCACAAATGCATTTAGCTTTAAGCACCAACCAGGGGTAATGCTAAATATGTTTCCCTGTTTTTACTTTAAACAGTGTCAAGTCCATCAGAGTATGACACTGCTCCAGATGTAATAGAACCTATTGAGACTGCTCCAGTAACACAACGGTAATGTTCCTCACAATAACCCTAGTTTCATTGCTCATATAGAACATTGTGTTCTTGAACCCACTATTTATTAAATATTTGAACAGGGCAGTGATAAAAGCAGCTGACACCAAACTGCCAACGGATAACAAAGAAGAAACAGTTGCTCTGAAACTTCCTAAGAAAATGTTGGTTGTTAAAGGTCAGTGCATTTTATTGTTGTGTCAGTACATCTGTTTTTATTTGTTGGAAAAATTTTTTCAAAATCCCTTTTATTTATAAATGTACAGATAATAAATCAAATGGGGAAAAAAGAACAAAGTCAAATACGTGAGAAGACACATTAAAAAATAGGAAACATCTAAGAAAACTATAATATAATAGCCATTGGTAATAGTAATAGTTTTTATTTTATGTTTGAGACATGGAGTTTAGGATTTTGAATTAAGGATATCAAATACTGGCTTTAATTTTCATATAGTATAACATTTTAAAATTGATTACAATATGACTTGGAGTGATTTTTGTTTGTGTATGACTGAAATTGGCTAAAATCAGACTCTTATTTGATTGGATTATATTTAACCTCCATTTAGGCATATTTCAACATATGTTTTATACACTAATATTGTAAATAGTTCTCTTTATAAGATGTATATTAATACTTGCATTTACACCCATATGAAGGTAATGTATGATTTACGAATAATTTAATCCCACACAGCTATTATTACTTTTGGAGCCCAAACTCTCTGTCATGTTGTGTTCCAAGAGAAGCTGCAGCTTTGAGCTCTGTTCAGGAAGAAATGTTTTCATCTTTAGAAACCTAATTGGTTAATGATCCCCTTAGGTTTTCATTTTACTTTGCAAGTAGTCTACAAATGCTTCCTTAATTTTGTCTCATTTCAAACAACTATTAACAAAGCTGTAGCTATGTTAAGGGTATTTTTGGGTGCATTTTACTAATGATTTATTCACATAAGCTTTTATGATTTTTTTTTATTCATTCAACATGCGCTCAACATAAGTAATTATTTCCCAGCATGCCCACTAGATGTCACCAATGAGTCCAAACTCTAAAAACAGATGTATGTATGAAAATTGCTTATGACACGTTTTGTTCAAATGCATCCTTTGCAAATGGGGCTCCTGGTTATTTAAACATGTACATTTAAGTCTATATATAAAGAAGGAAATTAAGTATTGTAATTTCTTTATATTTTACATTATTCTTTTTCTACAGTTATATTTTTTTCTTAAAGTAAAATTAATTATGTTCCCCTCTGTTCTTGTTTAAAGGTGCTCATGATATTAAACTAAGAACACCATCTCCAAAGCACCATCGCTCCCACACACCTTTAACTAGTACAGGGTCCAGATCTGAGTCAGACGGTGAAGAGTGCAGACAAGAGGTACATTTCAAATGATCGTATTAGAATCAAATGTGACCTAATTAGGTCACAATCTGATCATCGAAAGGATTTAAACAGAAAGTCTGACTTGTTGAATGCTCTTCTACAGACTTTTGAAATATATGTGGCTCGAGCCGACTGCAGTCCTAATGCTGGAAGTAAGGACAGCTTTATTCTGAAGGAGGGACAATTTGTGGAGGTTCTAGACTCTGTTCATCCTGACAGGTGGTTGGTGAAAACCAAACCAACCAAAACCAACCCTTCTCGCCAAGGATGGCTCTGTCCTGCCTATTTGGAAAAGAAGAGAAAAGTATGTTGTCAAATACTGTTGGTTAATGTTAAGTAATATGCAAAATTGAAATCAAATATATAATATAACATTTTAATTTGTATCTTTTTAACATAAAGTCAGGCTAAACCATTCCTATTTTACATCAGTTGGATTGTTACATTGGACAGAGATTTTTTTTTATGTTTATGAGTTTTTTTCAAAGCCATGAGACTTAATACATTTCCATATTAATTGTTCTAATTGCCCTTCCCTTTTCGGAGTTATTTGATATTTAGAAGAACTGGTAAAACTAAGTCAGGTTTGTAACCCACAATGGGGTTGCTGGCATGCATATTTTAAGATGCCCACATAATAAAGGACTTAAAAAATAATAATCTTGTTAATACAGCACTCACTAAATTGCAGTGCTTGAGGTCATTAAGAGTTTGCAAGAACCAAGTTTTAACATGTTTGAGGTGTGCCCCTGTTTTCTCAAATTTTTTTAACCAGAATCTCCCCTAGATATGTCATTATTTTGAGAAAACTTTGCCATATTACACAAATACGTCTTAATGTGCCAACATATGCTTGTAAACTTTAGTATTCAAAGACATCTTTCATAACGTTTCAGCTGTACTTAAACACAGTAAAATATTCTCCGGTTTTGTTACACCGTCAGCAGAGACAAGAAAGAGATTTGTGATAAAAGCTTAACTCTAATTTCCAACAGGAAATTTTCCCACAAAGTAGATTTGTTCAAGAGGGTCTTGATGGAATTGGGTCAACAGAAGAAGAGTACAGGAGAGCACTGAGGTCTGCTTGTTTTTCATAACACATCTGTAGTGTGAACTTTGTAATCACAGTTACTAGATTTAAACGAGTCTTTTATGAACTGTGGGAATTGATACTAATCAGCTTATATTTCCTGATACCTTCAGTCAGCTGATCCAAGGCTTGATTGATGGAGAAGAGGAGTTTGTAAAGGCAATGAAGATGTTCATCTCTCACCATCTTAATCAGCTGGACAGCAGCCACAATGTTCCCATCAATATTCTCAACCAGAAAGAGATCATCTTCAGGAACATCAAAGATATTGTTGGTTTACATGAACGGTAATAAACCCAATTCCCCAAACTTGATCAAATTATTGTTGAGATATTTTGAAAGATGTAGTCCTCAGTAATCCATTCATTCTCAGTTTGATCCTCCCTGGTCTGAGAGAGTGTTTAACGGATGATGACGTTGCCATGTACCTAATCAAGCATGCTGAGCAATTTGAGAAGTATCTTCACTACATGGTGGGACAAGCACAAGCAGAGGCCTGCATCAGCGACAAGGCTGTTCAGCAATACTTTAAAGTAATTCAAATCACTTCATTATTGTACGCTTCATTTTAAATATGCAAAGGTTAAAATGTAGAAAGGGATATTTAGTGCAGATGCACTGATTTTTATTTCTTTCCAATATCTGTTCAGGAGGTAACGGCACATGAGAAGCCTTGTGACACCCCAGTCATGGATGTCCTCACTTTCCTGCAGCAACCAATAGAAAGAATTCAAACCTACCAGAGTTTACTGAAGGTCAGAAGAAGTATTTAATCTTCATAAGGGATTTTCAAGAGTGCAAAAACATTGGCATCCATCCATCCATCCATCCATCCATCCATCCATCCATCCATCCCTCCATCCATCCATCCATCCATCCATCCATCCATCCATCCATCCATCCATCCATCCATCCCATAAATGGGGAAGCATATTACTTTTAATGGGACTTTTAGAAATCTTAGAAAAAATACAACTTCTACTATTCATAGTTTTAATTTCAAACACTTCATACAATGATTTTATTGCCAGGAGTTAATCAAGAACAAGGCTAAGAGTGGTCAGAGCTGTTACCTGTTAGAAGATGCCTTCTCTGTGGTGTCCTGCTTGCCCTGGAGGTCAGACAATCTGCACCGGGTGTCCCTGATTGAGAACTATCCAGCTCCTCTTACAGCTCTGGGTGAGCCTGTGCGACAGGTAAGGAGGAAATGCTTTTATTCTGTGATTTTAATATTTTTATTTTGGCTTATTTTGACTTTTGGTGATACAAATGCTTTTTTCAAGATTTCCTTGAAGGATACAAATTATTTTTTCCTATACTTAAGTAAAGCAAAATTTCAAATAAAAACTTTGTATGCTATGCTCTCATAATATATCTTTGTCTTAAAGAGTTTAGTTCTTAAAATATTAAAACATTCAGTGCAATTGATCTCTTCAGGGAGTATTAACAGTGTGGGAGGACTCTCCAGAAATGAAAACAACTTCCAGAGGTCATCAGAGACAAGTGTTTCTCTTTAAGGAGTGCATAGTACTGTGTAAGGTGAAGAAAGATGGCAGCATGAATCGTGACACATACAGCTTTAAGAACAAAATGAAGGTAACTAAGTCATCCAGGTTCCAATAAAGTAGCTGCGTCCTTCATGATAAACTATATATTTGCCCTATAAGTGTAAATGTTCTTGCTTAATTTGATATTTTTTTGGTTCTACCACTTGTTCAGCTGAATGATGTGGAAATAAAGGAAAGTGTTGGTGGAGAGGAAAAGTCATGGAGCTTGTGGCATGAACACAGAGGCTCTATACGGCGTTACACTTTACAGAGCAACTCTGCACTGGTTAAAGTGTCCTGGCTGAAAGACCTGAAGGAGCTGCAGGAACGCTCCAGCCTCAGTAATAACTGTAGGTTTTTTCAGACACATTAACAAGCTGCCAAATAAGAATTTCTCCTGGTATTTAAGTTTGCATCTATCCACAGGTCCTCCAGTGTTTGAATCAATGCTTTCTGACTGCTCAGCGCAAATTGGACAGACAATCAAACTGACTTGCAGAGTGTTTGGATTTCCAAAACCCACAGTGAGCTGGATCAAAGGTTTGTTTTTGTTGGCTCTTCTTCTTTTTTCATGTAATATCCTTTTTGAGTAACATTACATTTTCAAACAATAATAAATTTTTTAATTCTGTAAATTTATATTCCTTCATCCCAGATGGGCTTCCCTTAGAGGATGACCCACGTCACATCATCGTGGCTGACCGCTCAGGAGCGTGCAGTCTCGTCCTGGACTGCCTCACAGCAGAGGACTCTGGTCAGTACATGTGTCATGCAACCAGCTCCATGGGCAGTGCTGGCACTCTGGCAAAGGTGGTGGTGCACGGTGAGTAATGGGGGCTTATGATTTAAAACAGATGCAGAAAAAGACAGCAAATTCAACCAGGTTTTACGGAAGTTTTTCTGTTGATTATTTAGCTTTTACTTAAAGCCGCCCTTTTCCTATTTTGTCCAATCAAGCTACAAACATTTTTTGTAATGATTCAATAAAATAATTCAATAAAATAAGCCAAATCACTGTCTGTAAAGAGGGAGGGAAATTATATGCTTGTAGTTTGTACAGAAAAAAACTACATTTGACATATACAACGTCTTACACATCTCTTAAGATGGCAACTCTGGGGGGGCTGCAGAGATATGCAGTTAGCTTGAATCATCTGTTGATTGAGCACCTATTAGTCGAGTTATATACAAATTTGACATTAAAGATAAATTGGTGTTTATCTATTATATTATTATATTATTGCATTGTTGTGCAACTATGAATTCTTTAAATGCCCCGCCCTGTAGCGGTGGTAAACATATTCTTTAATAAAACAATATTCAGACTTTCATATATGGTTTGCAAACACAAATTGTGATAAATAATAACTGTAAATAATGTGAAAATAAAGCTTAAACAATGGTTAAACGGATAACTCTGCACATATATGCAATAAATTCACTACAACTTCAATTAAAAAAGTCAGTTTATTAAAAAAAAAAGTCATTCAGCTCCAAGGCAAACACTTTTTTTTTAGTTTTTACAGCACAATTGCCTCTTTATTGGACAGTAGACTGACACGAGAGTACATGAGATAGAAAGCAAAGGACCACAGGTCGGATTCAAACCCGGGTCGGTCACGTTGAGGACTAAGGCCTCCATATATGGGTCGTGTGCTCTAACCATTGCGCCACCAAAGCATGCCCCAAGTTACACTCTTAACTACAGTATTGAAACTCAACTAAACTAAGCTACTATTTACAAAGAAGATGGAAAAGCATGGTTGAAAATCCTAATCCATAAAATTATGCAATGATATCACAGTGCAGCATGGATTTTATGTTTAAGAACCAATTTTATCAGAAACAGTTTGGAATGTGATCAAATTAGCTTTTGACTAATTTGAAGCGATTGGAATACGTTCAGACCAATTCACAATGCAAATCTAAGATGTAAATAAAAAAGTATTTAGCAAAATAATCTTTTATTAAATGATTTGCTTAATCAGAAAACAATGACCTTTAGTTAAATGATCCTTAACCTTTTTTGATTGAGCTAGTAGCAGCAGACAAGAGGGTTCTACTCGCAAAGGATCATATTTTGGTAATTCAATGTGATGAGCATATGAGTGTGCATGAAAGGAAATGTTATATTAGTCTTTAAACTCTTAATAAAGCTTGCTTTAGCTTTTATAAACGACTCAAAACATTTCAGCATCGTGTCCATGGAGGAGCATTGCATATCTTCTTGGGAGTGTGTTAGGCAGAGTGGGAGGTGATGCAGGCCCAACTGCAGAGCAACAATGCATCCTCCTAGCCCAATCATCATGTTTGTCACAAGGCTCAGAAATAAAGGACTCAAATGCAAGACCTGACACAGTGGATTAAAACTCAAAGTTCTTTTAATTCAGTCCAGGGTTAAACACCAATAAGTCCAGCAGAAGAAGAAGTATCAAAAAACGGAGGCAAAGACAGGTCCAAATCCAAGCAGGGGTCAAAACACTAAAAAGCTAAATCTAACAGGCAAAAAGGCTGGAACGCTAAGCTCAAAGGACAAAGACGAACTGGCAAAGGGAAGCTGCAAGGGTGGGAACTAAATACTCTAACAAACAAAAGAGGAGCACATACACCGGGTGAATTGCATTAGGCTGTGGCAAATCCTGATTGCAGGAAGAAACTCAGGAAGTGAAGCTGCCTAAAACAAGAGAGAAAATGAGTACCAAAATAAAACAGGAAGTGAAAAGACAAGTTAATAAAAGTGACATCAATCTTATCAGGACTGCCCCTGACATTGTTAATATCATCATGGACATTGGTCCCCAATTTCCAAAATTAATATCATGGTTTATGGCCCAATAGCAGCTTTGATTTTGTTTGTAAATGTAGCCGTTTGGAAAGAGAGGTTACCATGGTTTAATAATAGCATCAATAACTCTTCTGACTTTTGTCATTTTTATCACTGTTAGTTTACCTTTTTTATACATTTTTTAACAACAGCTATGACATCTCCCCCTTCCATTGCTGTGAGAAACATTATGTTAGGGGTTTTTGTTGTCGGTACCTGATGCAACTCTCTATTTTATCCCAGGATCAGTGATCTTTTCTACCAGTTTTTGAAAGTCTTTTTACTGGACAGTGTTTCTTATAAGTATCTTTAAAATGTTTAGGGACTTAATTTTTTCTTAGGATTATTGAATCCCAGTTTTGACTACAGCAGATTTTTTTTTAAACTTATCTGTCTTTATTAGAAGGATCTCTGTAAAAATTGCTATAAACCACAAACGCCGGTAGATGGTCACTGAAATCATTCGGAAATAATCCACTTATTGTGTTATCAATGATTTTTGTAGACATTGTATCTATTAATGTGGCACTGTGAGGTGGTTTGTCTTGAAGTTGTTTTGCATGCACATTGTCCTTCTCTCCAGCTCCACCCAGATTTGTGACCCGACTAGAAAGCGCTTGTCTGATTGAAGGAGAAGGGATCCAGTTTGTATGTTCCACTCTCACTACCCCTTTACCAAGAATCAGGTACGGCAGACCACAGAGACAATAGCATTACGTGTCAATGCAGATGGTCATGTGTCTACTGACTGGAGAAACTGTTTTTCCTGCAGGTGGTTGAAAAATGGCAGGGAGCTGACTGACTGCAATAAATATTCCATTGTGAATGATGCCCGGAGTGGAATCTTGTCTCTTACAGTTACAGGGGCAACAGAGGCAGATATTGGAGTGTATGAATGTGAGGTATGTAATATATATGTCTCTTTAATGAACTTTTTAAACCTTCTTTTCATAACACCTAGTGTCACTTAAAATCCCAACAATTTTTTTTTATTAGCTCTGGAATGAACTTGGCTGCATCAAGTGCAAAGCAGGTCTTTGTCCTGCCTTTGTGCCACCTGCTGACACAGAGAGTGACCAACAGCAGAGCCTACCTGCTAAAGGTAGGACTGTCAGAGCCAACGGAGTGAATATCTTCCACACAAGGTGGAAACCCACTAAAGGGTTTTCATATGTGTGGCACACAGGTTTAAACGTTAGCCATGATTTTAAAGGGATATAATTAAAGCACATGCCATTGGCAAGTTTTCACATTATCACCCTTTTTTCCATCACATTATGTCACAATTCGTTACAATATTCATCAATCAGTTCCAATCAGTACTTCTTTTTCCAACACTACCATTCATAAACTCCATAAAGTTTGCAGTATCTTGAAATTTTACTCACATACTTACACTTTCCTTTTTCCCAGTTTCATACACTTTCATCATACATAGTTCCAGTTGTGTCATTTCTGTTATGACTAGATTCCAAACTATTATGGCACTGGGAGGAACATGCATAGGATCTGATATAAAAAGACTGTTTCTGTTAGAAAAGACAGATAAGACAAATGTATTTTAACTACAGACACATCCGTCTGAGAGTGTTTTCAATATCTAAACTCTGGTTCATGTAGAGTTTTCACCAGCTCATAGAGATTTTAGTTTATTTTAGATGATTTCTTCTCAATAAATATAAAGATACTATACATCAAACACATCTGTTTCTCAAAATATCTAGTTTTGAGTTTTGTCATCACTTTAGTTTGAACTCTCAAATCTATTGTCATATACTCTTCTTAGCAGTTCTTGAATGAGATTACCTAACTGGGAAAAGATCTGTTTCTTTGTCTGTTCCATTTGGACAGTCACTGAGCAAGTACTAATTGAAAATCTGAAAATCCAATCAATATCGCTATCCAGCCTGTCCATGCATCGGTGGTCCTTACTATTGTATGTTATCAAAATCAATGTCCAACTTTTATGTTTGGTTGTTTTCTGAAATTCTTTTACATGGCCTTACCAGTTTCACACAAAACTGAAGTGAAATCAAAGCTTTGTGTGTTTGCGTTTGCACTTTTAGAACTGTTTTGGATGCTTATTTTGGTCAAATAAGATTTGAAATCTCAGGAAATCTTTTTAGCATGTTTAGATATCCATAATTGCAAGAAACTCAGTCACAGTTCACCATCTAAGACACACAAATAATTGCGATGTAAAACCCTCATGTAGCTTGGCTTCAATCAAATGTGACATTATATATATATTTGGGTGTAAGTCAACCCATGTCTATGCATATTCTTGTAAAGATTACCCTGAGCATAGAGGCTTGTATTCAGAAAAACTAGAGCTGGTTGTTTTACTTGTAGATTTAATGCAGTTATAAATCCAGTGGAGAGTATTGCATACAACAGAAGTTACACAGATAATAGTTTTTCTGAATTTCCTCCAAAATGAGGGGCGAACTTATGCATGTAACTAACATATATAGCTTTTTAGAAGAAGAAAAGGTTTTGATATTGTGGGGAGAAAAAGTTACCATAACCATACCAGTTTCAACTTCTTCTTTGTAGCCATAATAAGTGGGATCTAGATGCTTTAATTCACCATATACATCATGCTGTAGTCCTCAACACCCACTCCCCTAAACATTTTATCATCATGTTTCCACTTTCCGTATAAGATATGAGTTGTAATCAGCTACATTGTGTGTTCTTATTGAAATGTTTATATGCAGAGCTCATTGGATTTTTAAAAGAGCCAAAAGCTAAGAGAAAATCAAGATCATATTGAAAACTTGGTACTAGGAAAAGCAAGTATTTGTTCGAGCAGATCAGCAATCATCTAATCAGAATACAGAAACTGAAGTGAATTTTACTTCTGTATTTTCCACACCATATTTGTTTGTCGTTCCATTGTCTATAACCTACATGATGTTTCCCATTTTCCCTTCGCTAGTCTCAAAGCAGGGGGTTCCTCACATGGACCGTTCCATGTAAGTCATTATTGTCATGATAACCAATAACCACTCAACGCTCCCCTCTCTCTTCCTGCCAACGCATGCCCAGCTAACTCTCCACTCCTACAAGATGGTCATGTGCTGGGCGAGTGTATCCTTCCTGCCCATGCAGGTGTGGGCATGTGATCATGTCTTGTTGATGTGGTGGGTTAGAGGGGTAAAACCCTGATTCTCCAAGGTAAGGCAAACTGTGTTTACTATTCCTGGAAGGTAAGGTAATGTGCTTTCTAAAAGCTTATTTTTCTACTATATTCAAAAAGTAACTAGTCATCAAATTATATAGTAACTTCAATTTGGAAATATGCCTAATTAATGTTTTGGTTTCTCTAGAAGCTGATTCAGAGGCATGGTCAACTGCCTTTGTTAAAAAATGGCTGCAGACTGATTTCAGCCCATCTTCTTTGGCCAAGATACAATGTCCTCCTTTATCCTCTGTGCAGTAAGTGTTTTAATCCTGATGTTTCACCCTTTTACGTAACTGAGCATCAGAGACTACCAACTTTATAGAATGTGGATCTTCACCTTTAACGGCTTGTCATTTACGTTGTGAAGTTAGGAAAAGAAAGCTGTGCCTGGTTGTTAATTCTGATCTTTCCTTAAATATGCAATGAGAATGGAATTATAACTGATTTACTCTAGAGTTGGTTGTCATCACAGTGAAGCACCTCTTGTAAAGGGCATTTGCATAAGTTGTGATACTGTTAATTATGGCCCAGTTCTCAAAACATAACCAACAGAATTTGGTTCTTAAATTGTATGTTCCAGGAACTAACTTTTATGCTCACAATTCAACTGCCTTTTTGTTTGACTTAATAGCAATGAGAAGAAATGTATTGATTTTGTGTTTGTTAAGAAATCTTATTGCCAGCACCTTTATGTGTCTTTAAAACCAGATGTAGTACAGTGATGGATGTTCAACATTCTGCATTGGATGAATCAGTGCAGCAGCCTTCATGTTATCTGGAAGAAGAAGAGGAGATCTACATTTCAGAGGCCCTGCATGAAATCACAGATGGTAGTTTAGCTTCCTACATGTAGAAAAAGTTAATAAATTGTTGATTCACTAAATACTGATGTAACTTTCCTCTCAGCTCCGCCTTCCATCCAGGTGCCTGCTGAGGATCTTTGCGTAGAGCCAGGCCAACCAGCAACATTCATAGTCATCATCACAGGAAGGCCCACTCCAAAGATACAGTGGTACAAGGTAAGCAGAGGAGTATGCAGTAATGAAAGCATATATACGGTAGATGTTTATACCCAGTCAAGGGGTTTTGATTTTCTATTTTCAATTATTGTCAATGCCACTACAGTTTATTTATTTTATATCTTATGCAGGGCTTAGTAAAATAAAACTTTTTTCAGCATATGGTTGTATTTTAACCAAAAAGCTCAAGTGGAAAAGAGTGCTGTGGTCAGAATGAAGAGATGGGAAATTGGGACTCATGTACTTTGTGTGTGGCAAGAAACTTAAGACTCTCTTCAAGCATGTTAAAAGACTGTCAGCTGTTTTCCATCATGACCACGACAGTTCTGATAGACAACCTTTCACAGGGACCATAAAATCAGATTAATGTGAGAGAGCTTAATTTTCCCCAAGATACTTGTACTTCTCCCTTTGAGGCAGGAATTCCCCTCTGACCAGAAAAGGGCAAACCATCCATTTCTGGAGGAGAACCATGGGCTCAGACTTGGAGGAGCTGAGGCAAAAGTGATCCTGCAAAGTATTGACTCAGAGGGGCTGAATACAAACACACTCAAAATCTAAATACATTTCTTGTAAAAAAATACAAAAAAAAAAGTTGAAAATGTGTTATTTTTCCTCGACTACTCATTAAATCTCGATGACATGCACTACAATTAAAGCTTAAAGGAGAATCAGTTTTTCTGATAATATTTGAACACCTATAAAGTAGCTTTTGTCAATTTTGGCGACTTGCAGTAGAGCAGACTCCAGTTGGAGAGTTGATTAAACACCTTAGAAGCCCATCTTCCTAAGCACATTCTAAGCCATATGTAAATCAAACACTCACCAGTTCTGCTCCCAGGTAATTGGTGTCTTCTTTATTGTTATGTATGATTGTTGTCTTTGCCCATTTTAATCATAACGAGATTGCTTGTGTAGCCTCTTTTGAATAGTTTCAAAGACATTTATTTATCCTTGGGATCTGAAACTGCAGTCCTCCACTCTGTTCAGTAATTGCTTTTCTGTGTTAATCAAGTGGGCTTCCTTCACCACTCTTTCAAAACATCTACCCTCTCTGTCAAAGATCTAAACATTTAGCTTGTCAAAGGTCCTTGGTTTTTGTAGTCTTGCCTTTATGATGTAGGAGTTAAAGCAGTCCTCAATGTGGTAGACCAAAAAAACCACTCAGCTTTGATTTTGGTGTCTGTCTTTGGGCTGAACCAGATTGTGTCTGGGACTGTTGATGGTTTCACTGTTATGTTATGTTTAGAGAGAATCCTCCTTACTGAATTACAATGTTGTTGTGTTTTGTGGATCCATTGTGGTTTTTCCTCCGCTAGTGTTTTTGGCCAACCTAACTAACGCTCACAGTAAAAAATTCACAGTCAATCTATTCAACTTTAAATTGAGTATTTGTAACCATACTGAATGTAAATCTGCTCAGGTGTTGGAGTTAATAATAATTTAACTTTATTGATCTCTCATTGGAGAAATGTATCTCTGAATTTAACCCATCCCCTTGCGGAGCAGTGGGCTGCCATTGTGTCGTGCCCAGGGAGCAGTGTAGGGTTAAGGTTTTTGCTCAGGAACCCAGAGTGGAGGCTGTAGGGATCAGGCCGGGTACTTGCAACCTTCTCAGAGCACAAGCGCACTGCTAATCACTAGGCCAACACTCACCTCATTAAAACAGTCATGGAAAAAAATTGACAGCCATGCAGTGTAACATTTACTCTATGTGGTGCTGATTATCTGACAGTCTTCTTGATTGATTGACAATGAGTAAAATTAACAAAAAAATTCAGACAGGTTATAGAATAAACTGTGATTTGGGTTGGAACCAAATGTTATCTAAAATAGAGTTATAACTCTGAGGACTGATAACACACTGTGTGGGTTCCACTTTGCCTTTAACTGGATAACTTGGTGGTTCCAATCTTGTAAAAAATTTTAAAGGTTTAGAAAGTAATTATTAGATGTTTTATGATCAAATGAACCATCAGCTTTCTACTTAAATCTCTTTATCTCCTTTCTAATTAAAGGATAGGGAGCAGCTTGCAGCCAGTGAGAATGTGAAGATAGTCCAACATGGTGCTCGCTGTTGCCTCACCATTTTGTGCCCTGAAGGAGAGGACAGTGGCATATATACCTGCTTTGCTCACAACGACTCAGGCCAAGCCTCCTGTGAAGCTCAGCTAACAGTCGAGGAAGGTCAGACGTTAACAATTTGCATAACATTGATCCAGTCCAACACAATGTCAATGAAAAGCTGTGATATGATGCACGACTAAAAAAAAGCCTTTTTTTTTATTTTTAGACTTTTGAAAGGTATTCATGTTCCAAATGTATTTACAGATTTTTCCATGTTTTTCTGTAGGTCTACTTTATTCCCAGGAAAAAGAGGTGGAGCTGGGGAAGAGAAGGAAGCTGTTCTCAGTATATGATGTCCATGAGGAAATTGGAAGGTGATGTGCGCTGTGAATTACATGTTTGTTGTTTTAGACACAGCATAGGAACCTGTCTATTTATTACTTAGGGGGACATTTGGGGTGGTGAAGCGGGTCATCCACAGAAGAACAGGTGAAGTGTTTGCTGCCAAGTTTCTACCCTTGAGGAGCAGCTCTCGGACCAGGGCCTTCCAGGAGAGAGATCTCCTTTCCCGTCTCGCTCATCCCAGAGTGGCCTGCCTGCTGGATTTCTTTTGCACCAGACGCACCCTGGTCTTAATTACAGAAATGTATCCTCCCTTTTTTGAGTTTTCCAAACTCTTTATGGTTTCATCACCACTTTGGTCAGTAGTTTCTTTAACATCAATGTCAGGTGCTGCTCTCATGGGCTTCTCGACCATTTGTTTATGAGAGGATCTATCTCAGAAAGAGAGGTAGAAACCCAAAGTGTTTGACTAAATCATGAAAGTTTTACAAACAGAATGTTAATACATTTTTTTTTTCTTCCAGGTCCAGTCATATATCCAGCAAATTCTGGAAGGGGTCAGTCATATACACAGCATGAACATCATGCATCTGGATCTCAAAGTGAGATTTTTAATCATTGTTTAAAATAACTTACTGAGGTTTTCATATCATTCTTTACCTTCATTGTGTACTTTCCTTGTCCACGTAGCCGGAAAATATTCTGATGGTTTACCCTCCAAGAGATGAGATCAAGATCTGTGATTTTGGCTTCTGCCAGGAAATAGACACTTCCCGACACCAGTACAGTATGTTTGGCACTCCAGAGTTTGTTGCACCTGAAATTGTGCATCAAGAGCCCGTCACTATGGCCACTGACATCTGGTAAAACTTCCTGATTATCTTTGTTCTGTGGTTTATAAAATCTGTAAATGATTTTTCTAATCAGAAACTTGCTGATTAGGGATTGTACCTGAACGTAAAAAAACTGCCCTTTAAAACTCAAAAATATTTCAAAGTTTTATATGTAATTTCTTGATTTGTATTTCATTGATATTTTACATTTTTTCCATCAGGGCTGTGGGTGTCATAGCATTTCTGTGGTATGTATACAGAGGAGTCTGTGCAAAATATAATGTTAAACATAAAAAAGTTCAAACAGAATGGTCACTTTATCTAACTGCTTGATATAAAAAATTTTATGTGTACAGTCTGGTTTGCCGGTGCCCTTTTGTGAGCGAGACCGACCGTGCAACATTGCTGAGGGTGGAAGAGGCAACTATAAACTGGGATGCTCCAGATGTCGTATGCAGGAGCCCTGAAGCAAGGAATTTTCTTCACATGGTCCTACAGCCAGATCCAGAGTATTACAGCTGTCTCATTTTTTATTTGCCTTTTGCCAAAAGTTTTCTAACCGCTTGATTCTTTAATTTCGTTTGTTTTTACAAACTCATAATTATTAAAAGTATTATCAGAACAAGGACAGAACACCTACAGTGTTCACAGGGTTTGCTGTATTGTCTCCTCTTGTAATAGGCTTAAAAGGCCTTAAAATGAGTATGATTTTGTTTATTTCAAACAGCTAAAAAGTCTAGATTTTATATATATTTAAACTAATTGTATATATTTTTCTATTTATGTGTTTATTTACAAAATCCTCCGTTCCACCATTTTTGACACTATTCAAAATCGGAAAAGGTCTAAACAGTTCAGATTTTGTCAAAAAACATTAAGCATTTAGTAGTTTGGTGGGAAATACTTTTACAGGAATAAAGAAAATATACAATGTTTAAGCATATCAATCACTACTTGGTATGACAGTAACTGTGCATCATGCTGTATGTATCCATCTGACAAACCCAAATATAAATGTGCAATCTGGTTTAAAGATGCTCAAAAGTTTTAGAAAAGTCATCGCGTAATGCTATCTCATTTTTCCTATGCAGGACTCGACCATCTGCCTTTGAGTGCTTGAGTCATGATTGGCTTCAGGTAAATAAAAATAAGACATATTTTTTGCAAAATTGTTTTTTCTAATTGACTCACACCCAAATCATTTGTAAATATCCCCAAAGGATGGAAATGCAGGGGAGGACACGGATGAAATCAACACAAAGAGTTTGAAAATCTTCATCTCTAAAAGGAAATGGCAGGTATGTCACCTTCTGTGCTGAGTTTCTACTAAATCTAAAGCTCCTGGTGAAAACAAATACAATGCATTGCAAACATAAACATAAAACAAGACAACACTAAACCATTGAACATATGTTGTTGTATTACAGCTACAAGTTAAAATGTCTAAAATTAGATTTTAGTTTCAGAAGTGTTTCAAAAATCTATGGGGTTAAGCTCAGAGCCAATACTGAAAGAAAGCAATAGACTTCAAACGTGGATATTAAGCCTTCTACAAAAAAAATACTAACAAAAAATGCTAAAGTTCTAAAGAAATGGTCTAGATTAAAGCATATCCCTGCGTTGCCCAGTAGGTTTAAGCACCTACAGGTGCTGGTCATAAAATTAGAATATCATGAAAAAGTAGATTGATTTCAGTAATTCCATTTAAAAAGTGAAACTTGTATATTATATTCATACATTACATACAAACTCATATATTTCAGATGTTTATTTTGTTTAATTTTGATGATTACAAATGACAACAAATGAAAATCTCAAATTCATCATATCAGAAAATTAGAATATTGTGAAAAGGTTCAAAATTGATGGCCCCTGGTGCCACACTCTAATCAGCTAATTAACTCAAACCACCTGCAAAAGCCTTTAAATGGTCTTTCAGTCTAGTTCTATAGGCTACACAATCATGGGGAAGACTGCTGACTTGACAGTTGTCCAAAAGACGACCATCGACACCTTGCACAAGGAGGGCAAGACACAAAAGGTCATCGCTAAAGAGGCTGGCTGTTCACAGAGCTCAGTGTCCAAGCACATTAATAGAGAGGCGAAGGGAAGGAAAAGATGTGGTCGAAAAAAGTGTACAAGCAAGAGAGATAACCGCACCCTGGAGAGGATTGTGAAACAAAACCCATTCAAAAATGTGGGGGAGATTCACTAAGAGTGGACTGCAGCTGGAGTGAGTGCTTCAAGAACCACCACACACAGACGTATGAAAGACATGGGTTTCTGCTGTCGCATTCCTTGTGTCAAGCCACTCTTGAACCACAGACAGTGTCAGAAGCGTCTAAAGAGAAACAGGACTGGACTGCTGGTGAGTGGTCCAAAGTCATGTTCTCTGATGAAAGTAAATTTTGCATTTCCTTTGGAAATCAAGGTCCCAGAGTCTGGAGGAAAAGAAGAGAGGCACTTCATCCACGTTGCTTGAAGTCCAGTGTAAAGTTTCCACAGTCAGTGATGGTTTGGGGTGCCATGTCATCTGCTGGTGTTGGTCCATTGTGTTTTCTGAGGTCCAGGGTCAACGCAGCCACATACCAGGAAGTTTTAGAGCACTTCATGCTTCCTGCAGCTGACCAACTTTTTGGAGAGGCAGATTTCATTTTCCAACAGGACTTGGCACCTGCACACAGTGCCAAAGCTACCAGTACCTGGTTGAAGGACCATGGTATCCCTGTTCTTAATTGGCCAGCAAACTCTCCTGACCTTAACCCCATAGAAAATCTATGGGGTATTGTGAAGAAGAAGATGCAATACACCAGACCCAACAATTCAGAAGAGCTAAAAGCCACTATTAGAGCAACCTGGGCTATCATAACACCTGAGCAGTGCCACAGACTGATCGACTCCATGCCACGCCGCATTGCTGCAGTAATACAGGCCAAAGGAGGCCCAACTAAATACTGAGTGCTGTACATGCTCATACTTTTCATGTTCATACTTTTCAGTTGGCCAACATTTCTATAAATCCTTTGTTTTTATTGGTCTTCAGTAATATTCTAATTTTCTGATATGATGAATTTGAGATTTTCATTTGTTGTCATTTGTAATCATCAAAATTAAACAAAATAAACATCTGAAATATATGAGTTTGTATGTAATGTATGAATATAATATACAAGTTTCACTTTTTGAATGGAATTACTGAAATCAATCTACTTTTTCATGATATTCTAATTTTATGACCAGCACCTGTATTTCCACCAACTGAAGGTCTTAATGCAAACTTATAGTCCCTGTTATGGTAGGACTCTAGCCCACTGCTTCTACAACAGTTACTGTGTCTAGTTTATTTCTCATCCAACAATGAAAAAAAGAACATATTTACAATCTCCCCAGAATTTTTTTATTATTTTTTTTATATACAAAAACACCATTAGATTTCTTTTGACAACCCAGTAGAGGTCTGATTGTAATAAACGGCATTTTGAACTAAAACTGCAAAAAAAAAAAGAGAACTGAATCAGTTGCAGCACTAAGCTTTTACTGAGCAGTGTGAGAGGTCAGAGCAGCAATGTTGGCACAATTTAGAGAAATGTGCCAAAACAGTTTTTCAACTTCTTAAAGGGAATGTGATTAAATGAAATTACTAATTTCTGTTGTAGGTCTCCTTCTAAATATTACATAGCCTCTGGTCATGACATACCCTTTGTATCATTAGCTGTGTCCGCAATAATGTTTAAAACAAACAATGAGACAGAAAAGTTGACACGCGTTATGTCTGTGGAAAGGTTAGACATTCTAGTTTTCAAAGATATCAGCCATGAAGGGGTGAGGGAGAACACACCCTCTGTTCTTTCCTATCAGGTAGAGTCGGCCATGTTTGATAGACCTTTAAAAGGAACCTTGCGTTTTTAAACTGCTGTAAGATGGGAAGTATTTGCATTTACCATGCATGAATCTGTTTGACCTACTTTTACAGTTGGTGAACAGTGTATGTGGATTAGTGTGTGCGTAAGGTTAGCCTGGCTCTGCTATTGTTTATTTTTAGTAGGATCCAACTGCAGGCAGACCAGAGTCAGAAAGGCAAGGTAAGAAAATTGAAGTTCTCTCAGTTAGATCATGACAGTGGACTGACCGAAGCATACCAGAAGAATCTAAACAAATCATAACCAAGAGTTTGAATAGTGACGAAAGACTGCAAAGCATGGGAACCAAGTGAGAGGTAGTTTAAAACAGCTGTGGCAGAGTTTAAAACAGAGGAACTAAGGGAAGGCAATTAATAAACATAGATTATACACAGCACTCTCAACCACACAAAAAAAAGTGTAGAAAAAACATAAAAGACAGAATCCAAGAGTAAATGAGCTAAGCAGGAAGAAACTAAACTATATGGCAATATCCTAAAAATCTTGCAAAATAAATATATGAGAACTAAATTACGCAAGACTTAAATGGCAATAGTGAACCAAATAATATCAGACAAGCCAAAGAAAAAACAAAAACATCAATGGATCATGACATGCTATAATAAAGTTAAGATCTTAGTTCTAAAGAGATGCTGATCCTTAAAATGTTTTTCAAAAAAGAAAAAAAAAACACCTTATACTTTATCTAAGTCTCTTCATGAGCAAGCAACATAGAATGAACTCGAGAAGGCTTAAAGCCCTAATTGCATCAAAATATTGTGCCCTAAGGTACAGATTTAAGGGCTGGATATAAATTCACTGCATTATTTCTAGACTTTTATTAGTAAAAAAACAACCATTTTTACTCTATGTTGTTTCCCTTAAAAATAATGCATATCCAGTCTCTTTTGTTTGTAAAGAACAAAAAAATCGCCAAAAAAGCACATTGACATTTGTAAGTCTCACATAACATTCTGAAGGGATGGCAAAACATTGGAGCAATGTCTCTCTCCATTTGTCTCTTCAGCGTTCTTTGACATCCATCGGGTCGGTGCTCACACTGAGGCCCATTCCGGAGCTGCTAGATGCTCCTCTCAGAGAGACTTCAGTTGCAGTGCCACGAGAGCCCCAGGAGCACAGCAGTACCTCCCTGAGCAGCGGCTCCTCATCAGAATATGATGAGGCAGACTCCTGGGACTTTTTCCAGCCCTGCAGCCAGACTGAAGATGAGGAGGATGAGACAGAGGAAGAATATGATCACTTAATGGAGAGGACACAAATCTCTGAGCGGATTGCCAAATGCCGCACAGGTTCAGAGGAGGATGAGGAAGGGACTTTAGGGGAGGATGAAGAGGGAGAGATGGGAGAAAGGAGGAGTGTTATAGAGCGCAACATGAGCAGGGCATCAACAGCATCCTCAACAACAACAGACCAACAGACTCCTCACAGGGAACGACGTTTCAGCAAGGATAGTAACCGATCTTTGTATCTCTCTGATGGGGAAGAGGGTTCAGGGAGTGATTGTGGGCGCATTCCCAGAAGAAGTGTCATCCGAAGCACTTTCTACAACACCTCTCAACAGCTTTCCCCTCTGTCTGCCAGACACATGACTTTAAGGGACAGATTCCAAGCGAGGAAACAGGAAAGGGGCCGTAAACCTCTTAGGAGAAGCTTCTCGGGACGTCTCAATGAGCCTCTGATTGAATACGTAGAGGATGAACCAGAGAGCACCCGTGGGCAGAGACAAGGACCCATCCAGCCTACCATTCAGAAATCCTCTTCATTTGACAATGGAATGGGCTTTGTCCACAGCAGTCTACCCCCACACAGACGGAGCAGGTCCCTGGATGAGTATTCCCGTCGATCTCCCAGCTCATCCAGCCTTGAAAGGGCACATGAAGAAGAGGCCTTTCAGACTAAGAGGGAAGGATTCACAGATGATGAAGCAACTTGTAGAAACTTGCAAAGTATGCAGAAAGATCATCAAGTCTTAGGACGGAGAGGTTCAGTTGTTGTGATGCAGAGACCATTGAGTGGAGTGTCTGTTCCCTCAGAGTACCATGCTGGAGGCAGAAAGAGTTCTAGACTGGGTCAGGACCATACAGAGGGTGATACTTTAACCAGCTCCCAAGGGTCTCTGGCTGATTCTTTTATTTTGGAGCATGGTGGATCTGAGACCTCAAGTAGAATTGGCTCCTTTGATGAATTAAGTCATGGTAGGGTGAGAAGAACATACCAATCAGGGGAGAGTGACGAACAAGATGAACAGAGTGAGCCACTGATAACACCATCCCCTACCTTATTTCAGGAAATAAAACACAGAAGCTCCTTTCCTCAAGCACCACCACGTAATCGTACCCGGTCCAATCCCAACTTATCCACAACCTTCAGAAGCCAGCCAGAGAAACCCTTAATGCCAAGTCCGAGTCCAAGCCTCTGCTCTCTAGAGGCTCCGCAGAGGCCTCCCAGGGCCCGGGATAAGAAAGAAGGCTCTGCACTTCAAAGACATGCATCTGCTCCAGCTCTGGAAGCACAACCACAAACTGGAAAGTCCCCAAAATTGGGTCTTTTGAATATCTTCCGTAGGCAGTCCTGGACCGGCCACTCATACACCCAATTGGAGAATACGGAGCTGGGACCGACACTGGGAGAGATCATGAAGCCCAATACACCTACTATGTCTCTGAGAAAAAAGATGAGGGCTTCCGCCTCCAGTCTGACCAAGCTCTTTTCCAGGTCCTCTAGTAAGGAGGATGTTAGTAAAGGAGGTAAACTCTAATTATAAATTTATATATAATCCCAAGTTGGAGATATTGCCTGTTTGTTATACCAGGTAAATTATTTTGTTTTTTCTTTTTTAAGGACCGATTGTAAAAGGATCTGCTGCCATTCCTCAGAGTAGTGCTCTTGAAAGCCCCAAAAAGAGAAGCTCAAAGCTCTTGTCATCTTTTAAAATACCGCCGTTCAGAAAGACGAAAGGTTACAAGAACACACTCTAGATTTCAACATTTTGAACATTTAAAAACATATATATATATTAGGGAAAAGGAGATTATATTTTCTTTACCTGTTTTATTTTTCTCCATTACCCTCATGTTAGTTTGTCCCAGCAAAGCCGAGGTGCTGCAGTTAGCCGGGGGTGGCGTACTACTGGTGTGGAAGCCTGTCCAGTCTGCTGACCCTGTCACTTACTGTGTGCAGTACTGTACAGCTGGTGAGTTTCAGCAGTGATGATCATACGGTCTTGTTCAGGGATGAGAGGGAGATGAAGCGGGAGATCAACTGGCAGATTGGTATGGTGGCTGTTGTGGAGCGGGCGCTGTACCGGTCCGTTGTGGTTAAGAGAGAGCTGAGCCAAAAGGCAAAGCTCTGGATTTACTGTTCGATCTACGTTCTTACCCTCATCTATGATCATGAGCTTTGGGTTGGTGTGGTACACAGTGGTACAATCAGTTTTCATTATTTTGGTTCATATTTAACATCACTAGAGCCTTCTTTAAAACTTTGAAAAGCTGTTTTAATGGCCGTAATAGAACTTAATGATAGCATCTCTTCTGTGCATTTTTGCAGGTGGAGAGTGGAGAGTCCTGTCAGATGAGGTTGCAGAGAGCTGCTATGTGGTAAAGGACTTACCAAAAGGAGCATCATATGTGTTCAGAGTGGGCTGTATCACCAGAACAGGAGCAGGACCTTTCAGTGAAGCTTCAGCTCCCACCGTCATACCCACTTATCCTGAAGGCATGAAAACCACACCGTGTGTTATAGCTGTTGCACACTATTTTAATTATTGTCTTTGCCTGCACATACAGTACACATCCAGGGCCTGCTGTTTGGAGGGTAACAGACACTCTGCGTGTTTTTATTGTATTATTATTTTGCAGATATACGGATTCCTCTCGTTCAGACTCAGTCACTTGGACTAAAGGCCGATGGATCACAACCTCAAAGTGTAAACAGGAATTACAGCTTCCTCTCTGAGATTAACAGGTAGATGTCACTGATGGAAAATAAAAGTGGTTTCTGTTACATTTAGCAACAAAAGGACTTTTTCTGTTTAGATTTTTAACGCGGCTCAGTAGTTAAATGCCTAACGATGATCCTTGTTGAAAAAACTGGTGAGGTCCAAAGTGGAATATTAAGAGAAGGATGGAAAGCTAGAATTTTTATTTATCCCAAACTCATTAGCGAAAATAATACAATAATTTTTTGTTCTTCCCCCTAGGCAGGTTCAATTAAAGTATTGCTTTTTCTAATCCTGTTTTCCCATCTTTAGGGGTCGTTTTAGTGTAGTAACTTTGTGCAGGGATGTGGTGACAACTCAGGTGTTTGCTGCTAAGATCACTCCATACCGTGCCGAGCAGAGACAACTGGTGCTGCGGGAGTACCAGCTGCTAAGGAGGCTTCACCACCCTCACCTGGTTCAGCTGCATGCTGCTTTCATCACCCCATGCTATATGTTGTTAGTGGAGGAGTTGTGCCCTGGCAAAGAGCTACTGTACAGTCTGGCTGCAAGGTAAATGACAATGTTGATTTTGCATTTCATTTAGATACATACACTGATAAGAGACTCCTCTGCTTCTTTTCAAATTGTAGTTTAAATAATTTATTATAATTTCATTTAGAGTTTAAAAATGATCATAGTCACAAAATAAATGAATAAGAAAAAATCTATTTCCAGAAGTTTATCTCCTGTTCTGATTAGAAAGAGCTTAAATAAAGAAATTCTCTGAGGTTAAATGGAGACATATTTCATGCCCTAGAGACCTTTATGCAGAGAACAACGTTGCAGAGCTTTTGCATCAGGTTGTGAGCGCAGTGGACTACCTCCACAGTCGTCGAGTCATCCACCTGGACCTAAAGTCTGACAACATGCTGGTAGATGATGGCAACCACCTGAAGATCATTGACTTTGGCTCAGCCCAGTCCTTCATACCTGGACAGCCTTTAAGCATTGAGCACATTCACGGCTTCGCTGAAAGCAAAGGTATTAGCAATATGTTTATTTTCGCAGTATCACAAAGAAATCGTGTTTTCACAATTTTAACCATTTTCCATATAATACAATCTGAACATATTCAGTTAGGATATAATGGAAAATACGTCTCTCTGTCATCTTCAGTCTATATTGTCCTTCCTAAAGCTCCAGAAATCCTGGAGGGTCAGGGTGTGGGGCCAGAGACTGACATCTGGGCTATTGGAGTCCTGGCCTTTATCATGTAAGTTCTAAGAAAGCAAGAATAGAAAAAAAAGATTTTATTCAACCTAATTATAAGTATAAGATGAGTTAAAATTAGAACTACCGTATTTAAGCTGCAAATTTCTTTTCTCACGCTTTGAACAAGGTGGCTGATAAGAAGCTGTGATTTTTCCTAACCGCCAGAGAGGGAGGTCAAAGTTGGAAATGAAAGAAAGAGGGGCTAATTTTCATTTAGCATAAGAACATGCTAGCAGCAGGAACGAGGGAGAACAAATGTCCCGAATTCACACATTTTGAAATGTATTTACTGCATTAAAGCTGCTGAACCAATGAATAGACTGAGCTAAGGCAAAGACAAAGCCATTCTTCTTCTTTGTTCCTTACTCCAGGGATGATATGTAAAGCTCCCCCTACAGGATTGGTGGGAGACAGTTCAGTAGATATCAGCAGCTTATAGCCCAGTGCTTCTTATACATGTATGTTTCCAGTTTTTTCAAAAAATGTAGTGGGTCCGGCTTATAGTAAGGTGTGTTATATAGTCCGGAAAATACGGTACACAGATCTGATACCTGGAGACGATATCGTTCCTGATTTTGAGCAGATTTTGAGCAGATATAGGAGATCCAATCCGGTGCAATTCACATGAAAGAATTATGTGTTTCTTTTTGCTGCTTTTTATCCATAAATATAAAGTGCATTTACATCTGTGTTAATGTGTTATCGTTTTCCAACATTGTTTATACCATAGCTAAAAACTTTACTCACATAATAAGATGTATGATTCATTCACTCAACAGTTGAATCGAATCGGTATCAGATATCAGCCAATACTCTAAGCCCAGGTATCGGTGTCGGATTGGATCAGGAAAAAAATGGATAAATGTATCCCTAGTTAAATTTACATAACTACATAAGAATTAAAAATGAAAAATAATAACTGCAGTCTATAGATGGATAGATCCATGTGTAGACTCCATTGTTTAATGCCCCACAATATTTTTCCTTTTTTTCAATCTTTGTGCATTTTGAACCACAAGGCTCAGCGCTGACAGTCCCTTCCATGCCGAGCTCAGCTGGGAGCAAGACAAAAACATAAAGAAAGGAAAGATCCAGTTTGGCCGCTGCTACCCTGGTCTGTCAGAAGGAGCTTTAAACTTCATGAAGAGCAGCCTCAATAACAAATCCTGGTGAGTGAGTTAGTTGGTTACTTTATTCTACTTTATAATTGATTTTTATTTATGTTAGATGAGTGATAAGAGGACAGATTAATGTGCTAAATATCTTTGTAGGGGGAGACCCACAGCAGCCGAGTGTCTCCAGCACCCGTGGCTTCGTGCCCATCGCACTCCACACAAAGTCCGCCCATCCAAAGTGTGCTTCTCCACTGACAAGCTCAGAGCTTACCTCAAGCAGAAAGAGGAGAAACGAGACCAAGTGTGCACAAAGCATCAGGGTCCGTTCTTCTAGTGTGGTTAGAAAATCCACAAAACCCCGATCAGTGTTTTGAACAAAAATTATGGCTAAAAGTTTTTCAAGTTTCCCTTTTTTCTGCTAAATCAAGTCTAACTTAGCATCATAAAATGATATACCCTGACTTTAAATATGTCTTAACGAGTCTGTTTGGAAAAATCAATTTTGAGGAATATTTATCAGAGATTATTATCGATGCACGAGTTATACGGTTTCGGTTTTGCTGTAAAGTGATTCGCTGTGATCCTCGTCTAAAGTGTCAAATGGATCCACATGCTTGGTCTTACATTTGAAACCTTTTTTGCAATTTTTAGTGAACAGTAATATTTCAGAAGTATGTTCCAAACTTCATAACTCAAAGTTTGCAATGAGGAAATAGTTGATAGTTAAACTATGTTATATGGATGACCTCCTATTTTGAAGTGAATGGAAAAAAATAAAAAAATAAAAAATGACACCAAAAGAACTCTGTTGATGTCATCAACTTTCTCATCTTTTTATTTATCTATGTTTCTATACAGACATATAATATTAAACATAATTGGGAATCTACAAGATACTTTGTTTATTTGACAAATAGTTTTATTCTTCTAATATTTGTGCCAAAATAAAATGTGGGTGAAATCTGTTTTCAAAGGGTTCCTATGCAGTTTTTGAGTTTCTCATCCATCAATCCTGCCATCCATCCATCTATCCATCCATCCATCCATCCATCCATCCATCCATCCATCCATCCATCCATCCATCCTTTCTTACTTGCTGTGTTTCTGTGGGTCAGATAATTCCAAGCCTAACAATATTAGAAAAATCTCCTATAAATAATTTTGAGGATTTCTATTTATGCTTCAGAACTTCTTAGGAAGCAAAAAGAACCCATAACTTCTAATTTATGGAAAACTATTTGCAAACCCAGATTTGCTAAAGGAAATAAGTGCCAAAGGTGTTTAATAGAGGCCAGAAGAAAAGTGTCACATTTAATAGATTTCAAATATTAAAACATATAGATCACATATTTGTTTTCTCTAACTAGAACACAAAGTCTCATTTAGAAATAAAAACTTTTCACTCAAGACACCAGCATTTCATGGCCTGTATGGAAAATGCAAAGGTGCAAGAGACATAAATAGAAAGAAGAAGCTTTTTTTTTTCTCTGATCTCTTGAACTGTGTTCAATCTCTGGTTGAGTTACTCTGATCAGAGTCACAAGTAGCAAAACAACTGGGTGATTGGTTTTGGTTCATTTGGTCTCCTGAACCTTGTTGATTTCCTGTTGAGAGAGAAATGTTTTGATATTTAAAGTTAATTTAACAGAAACAGATCAAATTATTGTTTAAGGGCTTACATACCTCTTTAAGGATTTCTTTCAGCTCCTCGTAGGCCTTCTCTAGGTCATCATTGATGATAACAATGTCAAACACTCCAGCCTCCTTACCTAGAAGTTATTGATAAATCTTAAGTATTTTTATTTTTACTTTAGGGCTTTTTATCAGAATTGTGGGGAAACTCACTAAGCTCCATATCAATTCGTGCAGCCTCAAGACGTTTCTGTAAACTCTCCTCTGTCTCCGTATGCCTATCTCTCAGACGTTTTTCCTGAAATAACACATAATTACATCATCTTCATCATAAAACTGTTCCATGAACCATTTAAAACCCTACTTATTGCAATTAAGCTTTTCACAAGTGAGAGTTTGACCAAAGAATAACATATGAAATGATTAACCAGGATTTCCATGGATGGAGGCTGGATGGAGATGTAGATGGGGTTCAGGTCAGTTTCTTTGATCCGCTTCACGCCCTGGATATCCACATCAAGGATGCAGATCAGGTTCTTAGCTCGTACATCTTCCACAGCAGCCTTACTGAAAACAGAAATCCCAACAGGGACAGAAGTAGATCAAGTGAGTACAAACAGAGAGGTTTTTATTGTTTGTTTTTTTCTAAATGGGTTTTGAACATGTATTCATGCTTTTGCCGTTTGCAAGCATAAGGAAAGAGGTAAGAGGATCTTTGCATTGATCTAAGCTTCGTGACAGAATGTTATCTTCAGAATAAGAGGGAGAGATTAAATGTGACTCATAAGATGCTAAGCTGCTGTGATGCTCTTTTTAAGTTACAGGTTAAAGCACCATATGTCACCAAGTCAATAAATAACCCTGCTGAAAAAGTCAGGGGACCTTTTCTGCAAGGTGACTGTAATGTGGTCAACTTTGTTTTGTTGTTGTTATTTTATCTTATAAGAAAAAATAAAAAACAAATCAGGAAAAGACCTTGAAAAAAAAAAAAAAAACATTAAGGATTATGAACTTATATTTTTGAAAAGTTCTTGAAATACATCCTTTTTTTTTTTACAACACTTTCCTGGTTTTCCAGCTGGATGGGTCTGAATTTAGCTCCACTAGTCTTTCCTGGTCTTGGTGAAGTGGTGATTGCCTCTGTAGTCCCATTATGACCAGCGACATCAGGCACGTGTTGCCACCTTATGACATCCACAGGAATTAAAGCTGTCTGGATTCTGCACAACACTCCAGACTTCCTTCCCCATCCTGGGAAGTTCTTACTATTAGTTGCTAAAAAGGGATTTGGATTGAGCCAATCTTTCACATGTTTGCTACTGGCTACTTTCATCAATGACCTGTTGACGGGTTCTGAGAAGATTGTTTTAATGCAGTGTTTAAATAGTAGGTTTTTGATTAACAGATCTTCCCATCTGAGCTGCAGATATTTGCAGATTCTCCAGAGTTCCCCTGGTCCTTATAGTTGCCCTTCTTTAAAACGCTACCAGTGCCTGATCTGTCAGTTTGGATAGATGATGGTAGCTTTACAGTTGTCACAATTTTTTATTTTAATAATTCTTGATTGAACACTGCACTGTCAAATTTAAGATCCCGAGATATTGTGTTATATGCTAACTGCTTTAAACTTGTTCCCACTTTATTCTAACCTGTCTGTGTTATTTTTGGTATTCATGACAATGTGTTATCTCTAACACTCTCTAAATAAATGTTTTGGACCACTGCTAAAAAAAAAAAACCAACCCTATAATTTTAGTGTAACACTGTTCTTACTAGTCAATACCATTCAATGAAATGACAGAGAAAGAACTATTCCTTGTGGGACATAAAATTATGGAGAGCTTTACCTCCACCACTTACTGCCGTACACATTCAATCAGTTGGCTGAAGGAAGGCTCTTTCGTTTTCCCCTCACTTACAAAATAATATATACAGAGCTGGGGTTGACTTTATATTTTTTTATGCTTATAACTAGCTTGTTATGTTTGCATCATAGGGGTGTCGGGGGTGGGGCGTGTCAATCTGGATAAATAGTAAAGGTTTTCAAAGCTAAGTAAATATATGCTTAATTAAATATATTACCTTGTCCCATACATGTTGCCAGAAAACTCTGCATTCTCAATGAACTCTCCATTGTCGATACCCTCCTGCATGGCCTCTCTTGTCGTGAAGTGATAGTCTGAAAGATGCATCATTCGATATGATTCTAGAAAACTGTAATAATAATCAGACTATAGATGAAGACATAACAAAATATGAACCAAAGCAAACCCCTTTGTCTCTTCTCTGCACAAAGCATCAAAATATGAACTAAAATGGCTATGATGGAATACCATCCAAGGACAGCAACAAGCAAGCTGGAAACAATGAGAATAGTTTAGATTTGGGCCTGATATAAATGCATAAAATATTTTGTCCCAAAGTCAACCTTTTTCCGATCTTACTCAAACGGCTGAATTTGGTATTAGTTAAACCCTTTTTATTATGACACAGAACAACAGAGGTAATGCAACACAATGAATAAAAGACTTTAAGGAGTTGAAATAAACATGTTTTAGGGATGCTAAAAGGATTATGAATTTCTCAGCTACAGTGGAGGATGGTACCATTTTATGGGAGATTGGAAATGGAAATCACTACAGAGGCATCACAGGGGGCTATTTTCAAAAGCTTTTTACTCCAAAGTGCAAACTGGCTCATATTGATACCCGTGCATATTGGTTTAGTTTATTTAGCTCATAACTGATATGAACCCTAATAGACCAAATGATGGCATGCCAGGGTGATGAAAGTAACCCCCGTTCATCTGCCTTAAAAAGCTGTGATAAGGAATCACAGTGATAAAGATCACCTTTATCTGGTGGTTCTGATTCATTTGGACACGAAAATGAGGTTTCAGAGGAAAAGATGGCTGCTACAGGAAGTAATGTAGCCCCCAGAAGCATAGGGAGTTTGTTCAGCCCTATGGAGAGAGCAAAAAAAAGGTACAGAAAAAGTTTATCCCTATATATGAAGGGGATTATACAAGATAACAAAAACTAATGTGCAGTTCACTTGGGAGTAAGAAGTGTTGCAGTGCTGTTGAGAAAGGGCGGGAAATAAAAGGGATATCCACCTGTGTTACAATTGCAGGGGTTCAAATTCAAGTTAATATCAATTGCAGAATTTTCACATAGCAAAGTGATTCTAAAATGTTAAAGGGCTGAAAAACCAGACTCACAAGCTGACTGGGCATAGGCTGGAAACTGGTTTTAAGGTACACCTGTGAATTCGAGCCACAAAATTCCTTCATCAAGCTCTTTCTGCAGTTAGAAGTCTATGTAATTAGAAAGTGGAAAAGCAAAGCAACCAATAAAGTTTACTGTTGCTTCATTAAGCACAGAGTACCAGATCATCCTTCCCCCATGTACTATCGGTCAGCTGGCTGAAAAATCTACACCTATCCAATTCTGATGAGATCAATTTTATTATTTTATCACTTTCTACTAAATCTAAAGGTTTAAAAAACAAAGATGTCAATATCTTTGAAACAGCTTGGGGAAGCCCTGGGTAATGGTGCTATGACTCTGAAAGCTTCTCATCTGGATTAACTGAGGTATACCTGTTAATGTATAATAAACAAATCTAATTTGGTTCAACCAATTCTGTCTGGAGGAATCAGCTATAATTTCTACCAAATAACATGTAAACATATGCAAACTTCTGAACATGAAGAAAACTAAGCAAAACTATTGAAAATATTTATCTCTCAATAGATGAATATAAATATAAATAGATGATAAATAGATGAATATAAAGAGAAATTATCTTAATCCTCATGGACATAAAACCCACAGTCTGTAGACAGTGGTGAAAATTTTTTTATGTGCCACTGTTTGCATATATCTGTTTCCTGTAATTGATCAAATCAATATGTTTTATGATTTTGATATGAGAGGAATATAATTAACTCTTTTTGCTTTTAATCAAATCACTTTTATCATGTAGAACATGTATGTTTGCACATGTTTATTTGTCCAGTTCTGTGATACTGTGATACTTCTTTAGCTAATGATAATGAGAATCTAACACCAGCCCATGTCTAATGCAGTCCTTACAAAGAATTTCACCTAAAAAAGCCATCATGCAGCCAGCTCTGTACCTTTGCCATCTTCCTCCCCTGGTCGAGGGTTTCTTGTCGTGTCTGAGAAAAGGAGGCCACCGTTAAACACACTTACAGGTCATCAACCCGATGCTGCATAATCATCAGTCTAATAACAGAATCAGGGGAACTAGACTGTCTGTACCATTTCCTCCTTTTAGATCATGCTTTGGAAGCTAATCACTAGTTGGCAAGCATACATACGTGACACGCTGAATCCAAACACCCCCTCATGATCCTTCATCAGCTTCTTCAGCAGAGTGCTCTTCCCTGCTCCGGAGGGGCCGCTCAACACCACGGGTCTTGGTCCCGACATTGTTCCTAAGACACACACAGAGTTCAGGACCAGCAAACAGCGTCTGTGGGAACTATTATACCTATCTCTGGTGAAAAATATAAATAGAAAGCCATGCTTTGGGGTTGTATAAGCTATTTCTCCTCAGCACTGAAGCTCAGCAGCTATCCTGTTAGCTGTCCTGAAGTGCACTGAGGTTAATCCTATGATCCACTGCACTGTCAGGTGGAGCATTTCGCACAGAAGGTTAAAACATGTTGCTGCTCTGATAATGTGCTGCTTTTGATCCCTAATGACAATTACTGGGCAAGAAGAAATGCTTCTTTATCAAGCAATTACTCTATGTCCTAACATGTGGCCTGTAAGGCGGCAAGAAGCTCAGGGGGTAAATCAGCAGTGGCTGTTAACGAAGTCATGATGGGTCAGTCAGCGGGATTAATTAGATCTGGGACAGGTGGCCTATTTACCTGCTGCCACAAAGACAGGACACTGTTTCAGGCACAACAAATCAATTAATGCTCAAATTAATTGATACAGGAGACTGTTCCTGTGAAATTATATTTTTATCCAGAAATACCTCCATAACTTTTATTAGTTATTATTGTTGGAGTATTTTTTAACATTTGCTGCTTACATGCACTTTCAAACCATTATGATAATTGTGCAGTAATGGTTCTAATGTTCAAAACTTTTTTTTCCTTACTTGCTATAAATCTACATGTAAATTTCTCCACCATGAGACAATATAGTTTATTCTAATCTATTAATGTTTGTTTCTGATGAGATTATTGTGATACCTATTGCTGTGTGATACCTAATCAGTAGATTAATACTTTTCTTTACAGAATAATAAAATATTATCTAACTGGTTAACAGCTTAAACGGTAAAATGTTCCTTTTAACCAACTCTAAAAATGTTCATGCTGTGTACAGTAAATCACAGAAAAATCTTTGTTTTATTGGGCTTATCCTGAAAAATCTTGAACTTTAATCATTTCATCAGCCAGCAAAGACTAAATATCAAGTAGCAGCCATGATTTTGTATCTGTACAAAGCAGCATTTCTGCATATTATTCTGTGCAATAAACTACAATTGTTACAATTTACTTTTTATTTTTCAATTTCCTGTTGAGAGAGATCTGTCTTACCTTGTCTGTCTTTGCAGGAAACGTGAGGTATCCAGAGACGTTTAGAAATAAGCAATTCTTAAGCCTGCCATCTTAATGGACTGTGTGCAATCTCAGTGCCTGTGTGTGTGACACACTGAAGCAGCTGTCAGTCTGAATTACCACCACCTCCATTTAGCTCAGTGACCAATCACATGTAAGCTCTCTGGATTGGTCTTTTTGAATAAGATAGGCTAATCTTTATATTTTTTTCTGTACTGTGGTGATGAAGGCCTATTGATTTGACTAATGCAGAGCATGCTTTTGGTAAAGTTAAACAGCACAGAGAAAGCAGGAACTCTGGTGAAGTTTAACTTGATTCAGTACACTGGGCAAACCTCGCCACGCATCACTCCAATTCTACTGTAAGACAGACTGATGGAGGAGAAATGAGAAGAGTAGTGGGTAAGAATTTAACTATAACAGCAGGTATGCAATGTGACATGGAGTATACTTGGTGGGGTTTGAGTGTGTGTTTTCACAAAATATGCAGTGCCTTGCAAAATATTAATACTTGCTGAAGTTTTTACATGTAGTCTCCTTATAAGCAAATTTTGTCATGATCTAGGCACTGATGACTGGCTTAATTACTAACTCCATTCACTTGTCTAACTCTGCCCATTTTCTCATTATTACCTCTCATCCAATCCACCTGCTCCAACCTCTGTTTAAAGTACTTGCATCTAGTCATCAACTCCAGATTATTCTTGTTCTCTCTAGCCACTGGTGAGAGTGTTTTTAGAGTTCCTTGGTGTTTCTGATTTCCTGATCCTGATGTGTTCTGCCTCTCAACCACTGAGCCTGCCTGTTCCTGTCTGAACGGTTTGCCTGAATTGTCCTTGGACTTCTGGATCTCTGAGCCTGTCTGTTTCTGTTCTGATCTGTTGCCTGACCTGGTTTCGGACACCTGGACCTCTGACCTTGCCTTCTTCCTGTTCTGTTTTCCTGACCTGTCTTCAGACTCCTGCATATTCTCTGACGCTGCATCATCTGTGACACTCTGGGCAGCCTACGCCTTATGTTGTTGTCAGCCCATCAGCTGAATCCTGCCTCGTTCTCTGGCTATGGACTGAACTTCTAAACCAGGTTAGTGAATCACGCTCATAATCTTTCTCTGTTAGATTTAGGTGGTCACTAACCTGTGTTTCACTCCTGCAGAGGCTCCAGCCTTGGACACCATAGCCGCTGCAACTGCAGATATGCAGTCTTTGTTTTAACTAAATGCTTATTGAGCAATGCCGCTGTCTGTCTGGCCTTGAATACTGGGTCCTTTGTTCTGAGTCTTGACACATAATTTGAATGTGTTTGGACTTTATGAGATAGACCAAACAACAAAGCGTCTCATGGTGAAGTGTAATGGTCTAGCAAAATTTGATCTTCCTTTATATTCAGACTGAGTCAAAGTTTGATAGTATCAACATTTGCTGTAGTCTCTAACAGCTGAGCATCTGCTTTGAAGACCAAAATATTTATTGTTTTTTCTTTGAAAAATCTTTCTGATTTAGTCAGGCTAAGTGGAAGCAGTCTGTCAACAGCAAGCTTTTAAGTGTGGCCATAAATGTGGGTATTTTTTTAATTAATAATTCATCTATAAAGCACAAAATCACACATTATGTTTTCAAAGTTGATTCCATCAAATCATAAACACAGATTTGTTACAAACTTTTCTGTTAAAGGCATATCAGCATACTTACTGAGTCACTTAACAGGAGGAATCACTCCTCCTAAAGCCCGGTCACACCTTGACGATTTATACAGCATATGCCTGACATAAGGAAAATCTGGCAAAAATGCTGGCATACGTTGGATTAGTTATGGGTACCTTTTGTACAAGTTAAGAGCACACCGAAGCACACTGAAACAAGCTGGCACACGTCCACATACAGAAAGTACATTGAGAAATTTTGAGCATGCTTACAGTATGAGCATATGCCAGCATATCTGATCATTGACATAAGTTAAGTGTAGGTTACTTATAAGTGGTGTGGTCTAGCTTATCAAAAACCTATGAGGAACTTGTGCATAACTTTTGCGTAACTTATCAAGAAAATATTTCCAACGTATATGTCATGATCTGGCCTGTTTGCTCTCCCTTAATTAGTAATTCCTCTCACCTGCCCTCTTCCTTCCCTGCCTCAATCATAATTTATTCCTCTCACCTGTTTCCTCTGGTTTATATTCAGTTCAGCCTGAGCATTCAGTGCCAGATCATTGCTTGTCTTTTTGTTAGTCTGTCCAGTTTTATTTGGTTAATGTCCTGGATCCTAGCTGCCAGTGGAAGGAGGGTTTTAGTGTTTGTCTCGTCTCCTGATTGTCCACTGTTCCTCCCCCACGGAGTCCTCTGGGTTTTTGGCTCATTATGGGGGGAGGTTCAGTTTTTATCAAAGTAAGCCTGGCTCCAGGGTGGAGACCAGTTTAAAGTCCAGCTTCAAGTTCCGGTTCCTACGTCCTGTCTCGGCTACCCTCTTCCACTGTGCCTGCTCATCTGCACCTGATCCTGTCTGCTCCTGTGCGTGACCACCTGGTCATGCTTCTGGTCCCAGTCTGACTCTGAACCCTCCTGGAAGTCTGGATCCTGCCACCTGTTCTGTTCCTGTCTGATCTGGATCCTGCCTGTTCTGTCTGTTCCTGTCTTTTCTGGATCCCTCACCAGGATCAGCTTCCAGCATGACCTCTGGGACTGCAGCACTGGGGACACTCGTGGTCTGGACTGTTAAACCAGGTAAGTGACCAACCCAGATAATCATATATCAGTTTATCGTGGTCACTTACCTGTGTTTCCTCCCCTAGAGTGTCTGAGATTGGGCGGTGCCCCCCCCCCCCCCTCACTTGTTCCAGATGACCGCTGAATGTGTTTCTAACACAACATCACGGTCATTGAGTTTACTCTCTCCATAAGGGTCTTCTGAGCTGCTCTTAGTCTGACCCGTCACCTAGGACCGTTTTGCCATGGGAGACCCTACCAGGGGCATGATGTCCCCAGACAACATAGCTCCTAGGATCATACAGGCCCTCAAACAACCCCACCATGTTTAGGTGACAGCTCGCAGGGTGATATCTAGAACCTGTTGGTGTAATTAGATGACTTCTAGAGCCAGTTAAAGTGGGTTTAATTTTAAGATCGCAAAGTGAAAGGGGTTATAAGTTTTTCTTAAAAAAAGCTTAATTTTTTTTTTTCACAAGCAGCTCTCATGCTATATCTAAACACTTCCAAGGCACAGTTGAAACAACCTATATATGAGTCCCAGTGAAAAAAAAAGATGCACTTCAAAACTTTTTTGAGGTTTAAGCAAAACAAGTCACGCTTGAAGCCATGAACTAACAATCTTGTCCTATCATTCCTTATAGGAATGATAGGACAGAGAAAATATTGTTGAGAAAATCTTTTGCCGTTTACTCAACACTCAAAAGCTTAGGTGTTAAGCTACGATTGGTCTTTCACCACAAAGGCTCAAAATAGCAAAGGTTTAATGTTCCTCCCCTCCAGATGAGCTGCATTAGGCTCTGTCCAGCTAATCCTGAATGACCCACTTCTTAAAGGACAACCACACCCAATCCAGTCATCCTAACAAGAGGTTACTAACAAAGATTAGAAAACCTGCCTTCCTTCACATCCACTATCCATATGTTTACGAGACAAAATATGTTTTGAACCCAAAATAACTGTTAGACAATTTAATGTGGTATTGTTGATTAAAAAAAGTACGTTTAATAAATTGGTAAAGAGAAAAGCAAAGATGAAAAAGACAAAATGTGACAGATCCTTATGAGATTACAGTGAATATTTAAAACCTAAAGTATCACAAATAAGAAAGGAACTAAGCAAAGACATTAATCTGTACAGAAAATGCAACCTGCTGTTGTGCTAGTCAACATCATATACACATAGCACTTAATACATACCAACACAAAACTTTGTACATGTGCTTTCAGTTAAATTCATATTTTTTTCCCATAAAACAGACAAAAGATGGAAAAAAGAAAATAAAACGTATTTCCCAAAAGCATTTCCAGTGCTGGAGCTCTGAATCAGTGTAGCACAAAGGTCGACACTTGCCCAAGTTGGAGGATGTTAGAGGATAAGAGTAGTTCATTTAAAAACAGCAGCCTGTGAAGATGAATGTTAGACGTACAGGACAGACCAGCTGTCCAACAGTGCCTTCTCTGATTGGCTGAAACTGAGACAGTTTCCTATGAGCTACAGATACACCCGCCTCAGGTCTCCAGGTGATGTTATGGTATTGCACTGAGGACACAACTTCTTTGCCCCCTGAAAACAGAAAGAAATCTTCAGTCCACACATGTTCTTTTTTCTGTCAAAGTGAGCAGACATGAGTCAGAGGATTTACCAACGTCCGCAGCCAGCACTCCTCACAGTGGACATGCCAGCACTGGATGGAGGTGAGCGGTGTTGTGTATGTGTCCTGCAGAAACAGACAGAAACACACAGCTGTAGTTTGAAAAGTCACCACTAGATGTCCATGTGAATCTATTTAACAAGAGTTTTACTACATTAACCAACAGAAAATCTAATATTTCTGCTTTTTAACTAAGAGAAATAAAAAAAAAATATGAATCTAAAAAAAAAAAAAGCATAATTTCATTTTAAAACTGGTATTAAGGCTCAAAATTCCCGGTAGACTGAATATACTTTTTATTTTCTGTCTAAGGAAAAACAAGAATTATTAAACCAAATATTTTTTATATTAGTAGGTAAACCAATAATTAGGTGAAGAAGGTGGAGAAGTATTTAGGAACTATGAGCTTGGAAATTACTGAATAAACCCACGTAATTGTTTGCTGCTCTTTTTATATAACAGGAGGGGATCATTTTAAACAGTCTTATTGTGGTACAATTGTTTAGTGTATATGCTCGTAGGTTTTTCCTCCATGTGCACATTTGGGATCCCACATTTTTATACAGGTTTTTATATGTTGGCTCATTAATGACATGTCATATTTCATGACGTTTCATGACGTTTTCATTCATTATGCCAGTCGATGGTAAAAAAAAACAAAAAACAAAAAAAACGCTAAACAAACGGAAAAAAAGGTTTTCTACCAAGAAGTGATGTAAAATTTTAGAAAAACATGACAAAGAGATACTATTGTTGAAAACCGCCAGAGAATTACAATGA